CCCGCACCCGCACCCGCACCCGCACCCGCACCCGCACCCGCACCCGCACCCGCACCCGCACCCGCACCCACGCACGCACGCACGCACGCACACACGCACACCCCCACACACACACACACATGCGAACACGCCGCAATTCACATACACAATACCACACACCACACCACGCGCACACACCCACACACACCCACACACACACAAACACACCTCACAAAAACAGTACAAACACACAAGCCCACACACACACAAACGCGCACAAGCACAACCGCACACACAAGCATACACACAAGCACACACACAACGCAAACACACGCACACACACAAACAAACCAGACAAATTCACACAAACCCACAAACCCACACACACACACACACTCAAACAAACTAACAAACAAACAAGCAAGCAAGCAAGCAAACAAACAAACAAACAAACAAACAGACCAACAGACAAACAGACAGACAAACAAACAGACAAACAGACAAACAGACAAACAGACAAACAGACAAACAGACAGACAAACAAACAGAGAGACAATCAGACAAACAGACAAACAGACAAACAGACAAACAGACAGACAAACAAACAGACAGACAATCAGACAGACAAACAGACAGACAAACAGACAAACAGAACAAACAGAACAGAACAAACAGAACAGAACAAACAGAACAAACAGAACCAACACACAAACAAACAGACAGACGAACAGACAGACAAACAGACAAACAGAACAAACAGAACAAACAGAACAAACAGAGCAAACAACAAACAAACAAACAAGCAAGCAAACAAGCAGACAAACAGACAAACAGACAAACAGACAAACAGACAAACAGACAAACAGACAAACAGACAAACAGACAAACAGACAGACAGACAAACAGAACAGAACAAACAGAACAGAACAAACAGAACAAAACAAACAGAACAGAACAAACAGAACAAACAGAACAAACAAACAGACAGACAACCAGACAAACAGACAAACAGACAAACAGACAAACAGCCAAACAGACAAACGGAGAAACAGACAAACAGACAAACAGACAAACAGACAAACAGACAAAGAAACAAACAGACAGACAAACAAACAAACCAAACCAAACAAACAAACAAACAAACAAACAGAGACGCCATGCGTGCGCACGCACGCACGCGCAAGCGCACGCACGCACATGCACGCACGCGCACGCATGCGCGTACGTATATGCGCAATCATCCCCCACACACACAAACAGAGACACAAACAAGCACACACACACAAACATACACAAACCCACGCACACACACACACACACGCGCAAACATACACAAAAGAAGCACACACACAAGCACGCACAAACAAGCATACGCAAACAGACATACAAACACACGTACGCACACACACACACACCAACACACACAAACCGACGCAAACACAAACACAAACCCAAACGCGCACACACACACACATTGACAAACCCGCAAGGACACACAAACACACACACACAAGCATACACAGAAACGCACACACACACACAACCGCTCGCAAACGAGCGCAAACGCGGGCAAACACACGCACACACACACACACAATTGCGCAGGCAAACACAAGCACACACACACACCAACACACACCAACACACACCAACACAACCCAACACACACCAACACTCAACACACACCAACACACACCAACACACACCAACACACACACCAACACACACCAACGCACACCAACACACACCAACACACACCAACACACACCAACACACACACACACCAACACACACCAACACACACAGCAACATACACCAACACACACCAACACACACCAACACACACCAACGCACAAAAACACAGACCAACACACACCAACACACCCAACACACACCAACACACACCAACACACACCAACACACACCAACACACACCAACACACACCAACACACACAACACACACCAACACACACCAACACACACCAACACACACCAACACACACCAACACACACCAACACACACCAACACACACCACCAACACACACACCAACACACACACCAACACACACACACCAACACACACACCAACACACACACCAACACACACACCAACACACACACCAACACACACACCAACACACACACCAACACACACACCAACACACACACCAACACACACACCAACACACACCAACACACACCAACACACACCAACACACACCAACACACACCAACACACACCAACACACACCAACACACACCAACACACACCAACACACACCAACACACACCAACACACACCAACACACACCAACACACACCAACACACACCAACACACACCAACACACACCAACACACACCAACACACACCAACACACACCAACACACACCAACACACACCAACACACACCAACACACACCAACCCACACCAACCCACACCAACACACACCAACACACACCAACCCACACCAACCCACACCAACCCACACCAACCCACACCAACCCACACCAACAGACACCAACACACACCAACACACACCAACGCACACCAACACACACCGACACACACCAACACACACCAATACACACCAACACACACCAACACACACCAACACACAGCAAAACACAGCAACACACAGCAACGCACAGCAACGCACACCAACACACAGCAACACACAGCAACACACAGCTACACGCAGCAACACGCAGCAACACACAGCAACACACAGCAACACACAGCAACACACAGCAACACACAGCAACACACACAGCAACACACACAGCAACGCACACAGCAACACACACGGCAACACACACCAACACACAGCAACACACACACACCAACACACACCAACACACACCAACACACACACACACACCAACACACACCAACACACACCAACACACACCAACACACACCAACACACACCAACACACAGCAACACACAGCAACACACACCAACACACAGCAACACACAGCAACACACACCAACACACACCAACACGCACCAACACGCACCAACACACACCAACACACACCAACACACACCAACACACACCAACACACACCAACGCACACCATCGCACACCAACACACACCAACGCACACCAACGCACACCAACACACACCAACACACACCAACACACACCAACACACACCAACACACACCAACACACACCAACACACACCAACACACACCAACACACACCAACACACACACCAACACACACCCCAACACACACACACACACCAACACACACACACACCACACACCAACACACACACACAGACACACACAGACACACACAGACACAGCAACATACACACACACACACACACCAACACACACACACACACACACCAACACACACACACACACACCAACACACACACACACACCAACACACACACACACACCACACACCAACACACACACACACACACCAACAAACACACACCAACACACACACACACACCAACACACACACCAACACACACACACACCAAACACAAACACACACACACACCACCACACACCACCACACACCAACACACACACCAACCGCACCAGAACACACACCCACGCTACACCCATCCCAATCACAACGCGCACCAAATGCTCACCAACGCACACCAACACACACACACCAACGCACACCAACACACACCAACACACACCAACGCACACCAACACACACCAACACACACCAACACGCACCAACACACACCAACACACACCAACACACACCAACACACAGCAACACACACCAACACACCGCAACACGCAGCAACACACAGCAACACACAGCAACACACAGCAACACACAGCAACACACAGCAACACGCACCAACACACACCAACACACACCAACACACAGCAACACACAGCAACACACACCAACACACACCAACACACACCAACACCAACACAACACCAACACAACACCAACACACACCAACACACACCAACACACACCAACACACACCAACACACACCAACGCACACCAACGCACACCAACGCACACCAACGCACACCAACGCACACCAACGCACACCAACGCACACCAACGCACACCAATGCACACCAACGCACCCCAACGTACACCAACGCACACCAACGCACACCAACGCACACCAACGCACACCAACGCACACCAACACACACCAACACACACCAACACACACCAACACACACCAACACACACCGACACACACCAACACACACCAACACACACCAACACACACCAACGCACACCAACACACACCAACACACACCGACACACACCAACACACACCAACACACACACCAACACACACAACCAACACACAACCAAACTCAAAAACACCAAACAACACCTCAACCAGCACCAACAAACACACCAAACACAACCCAACAACGACCAACCACACACCAACACACACCAACACACACCAACACACCCAACACACAAACCCAACACACACTCCAACACACCACCAACACACACCAACACACACACCAACACACACCAACACACACCAACACACACCAACACACACCAACACACACCAACACACACCAACACACACCAACACGCACCAACACGCACCAACACACACCAACGCGCACCAACACACACCAACACACACCAACACACAGCAACACACAGCAACACACAGCAACACACAGCAACACACAGCAACACACAGCAACACGCAGCAACACGCAGCAACACACAGCAAAAATTAACACACACCAACACACACCAACACACACCAACACACCAACACACACACCAACACACACCAACACACACCAACACACACCAACACACACCAACACACACCAACACACACCAACACACACACACACACCAACACACACCGACACACACCAACACACACCAACACACACAAACACACACCAACACACACCAACACACACCAACACACACCAACACACACCAACACACACCAACACACACCAACACACACACCAACACACACCAACACACACCAACACACACACACACACCAACACACACCAACACACACCAACACACACACAACACACAACAACACACACCAACACACCACAACACACGACAACACACAACAACACACAACAACACACAACAACACACAACAACACACAACAACACACAACAACACACAACAACACACAACAACACAACAACACACAATCACACCAACACACAGAGAAAAAGAGAGAGAGAGGGAGAGAACCACTTTTGCTGGTTGTTTACGGAACCTCATGTGCCAGAATAGGGTTCTGGACCCCCACAAGGGGTGTTGTCCTTTGAGTTGCCCTTTCAGCTCGTTGAAAGGGTTAGGGACACCAAAGCGAGGCCCGCAGAAAAAACAAAACCAAACAATACGCCCCATTTGGCGCCCCGAATCGCCCGGGTTTTTGCGTGGCATTTGGCCAAGCCACGTCGCCAGTTGGATGCCAATGGCGACGGCACCTTGACCCGGGAGGAGTTTGCAGCCATGATGGCGGGCCGCTGAAGGCCCGATTCGTCGAATGGGACATGAGAACCCCTGCATGGAATGCTTTTTGTTGGTCGTCCTTGAAAATCCTGGGATGTTTTTTTCTGGGCTGCAAGAATAAGCACAGCCCAAAAGGATGTTCAATCTACTTAGGTTATACGGTGGGGACAAGTGTTGGTACCTACTTAGGACGAACATCCAAGTAGGGAAGCCCTTCATGGATGACAATATGGTACCCCAGCCTGTAAATCGATTGCTTCCCTATGTAAAGTACTCTGGATAGGTACAAACAATTGCTTCAGGCACTAGTTGGGATGGATGAAGCAAACACAGCGATGAAAACTTCGATGAACCGCTTACCAACTACTGCCTTGCGCGGATTTTGATCTTCCATCCGCTGAGAACCCACAAGGAAACAAGAGGGCGACATCGGACACAGGGATACCCTTCGGGTCTCAAAGTAGCGAGCCCTCTTTTGCTCTGCAAAGTGAAGCCAGAGCGATTTTTCCGACAGCATGCGAAGGGTTATTTTCTAAAGCGTTTGGGAACAGCATACACACCTTTCAAACGCACCTGTCAAACACCTGCCACACACTTGCCAAACACATTTGTCAAAGACAGATGAACTTATCTTCGCGTAACTTCACTACGTCAGAAACACCTGAGCTATCTCATTGTAGTTTCACTATGTCAAAGGCACCTGTAGCCAATTTCGCTGCAACATCACTACATCAAACACACCTGCAAGCTTTCACTTCTGGAGTCTTTTTCTCGGCGGATGTATTTTAGTAAATCTTTCCAATTTGTATCTGCTACTGCAAGATGTTTCCATCACCTAAACAATCCTCTCTGCTGCAGCAAAGAGCCAGTTGTTTAGGATGCTGGTTGCTCAACAAAGAGTGGTATTTTTTCCCCTATGCCCAAGAAAGACAAGGGCCGGGCTGTCAGGACTATAGTGTAGTTTAGTTGTGTATTTGCTCAATTAAAAATAGTAGGGGCGAAGCGGTTTGGTCAAGGGTCTGGAATGTATTTATTCATACGATGCCTTTTTCCATTTATGAGTATGCCAACCGGATTATCACAAATGTCTTTTTCACCAGACATGCGTGTACGAAGCTTTGCATAGCCTGCCCAACAGTCGCTCGCATATACAACATATGGTCAAACTTGTACGTAGATGAACAACACGTGAGCGGCGTCCCAAAACCCTATTGGCCATCGTGCTAGCTGTTTCTACTATCTGGGTTACACTAAGGCCCATCTTCGTAGAACAATTCGTCAATTGGGGCATGTGCAAAAAGAAGGTCCGGGTTGGTAGAGAAGGTCATCCACCATAGACATTTTGGTAGGGCCAGAAAGCCCTCGACAGGGCGTCCAGGCGTGGCCCATGCAGGGCATATGACATGAAGCAGCTGTTTGGAACCGCGCAACGCGAAGGGGGCATGCCAGAAGTTTGTTTTCAAGTTGACTGCCAGGCCAAGTATACGGATCAGCTACATCCAATCCAGTTTTGAGAAATCTTTTGCACATTGCTCTGGCCTTAGATCGCGAAACAAAGCCAAGAGGCGGGCTCCAAACGTCCTATGGGTGTGCGGATTCTGAGTGAGAAACAAGGCCTTTGAACGATCCTGAGTTGTGATTTGCAATTCACGCGTCACGGGCTAAGCTAAGGCTTGCTTGGCTCCGCGGAAAGCTGAGTCTCGAACAAAGAGGTTGATGGCCGGTTGATCCTTGTGACATGTAGATTTTCAAGGAGCAACGGAGAAGCACTTGAAGAGCTCTCGTAGTTTCTGCCGAACGGCCATCAGATTGTTTTCCATAGTATTGATTCTGCCTGTCGACTTTGTACTTGGGTGCAAAAAGGTGCCTTGCGCAGAACGCAGGGACGGCTAGAATTGGCGAACTGGCTCTGATATCAATCTGCGGTCTTGATTGATGGAGAGGTGCCTCAGAATTAGAAAGGTGCCACATGCATTCCAAGAAAAAGTTGGCTTCTCTCTTTTTTGACCCGTCACAAAGGGTGGGCTCAAAATATGCGCCGATTCTGTTTCTCCTCACTTGAGTTGCTGGCAATACTGTGGATGGACGAAAATTTGCACCGCTTTGACACCATGAGAAACCTTTGTTTGTTGGTATCTATAGGGGAATCATCTTTCCAGGGTTTCTTAGGTGGTGCGGACGGATTGCATCCACGGTAGCTCCGGAGCTATTGGGTGACCAAGCCAAGTCCGATTGACGGACTCGCCCGGTGCGTTTTCCATCTCCGCCATGGCAGCCACGGACGGTCGAGGGCTGTAGGTTACCATTCTTGTTCTTGACTTGTGGGCCTTTTGAAGGATTCCCCACTTTTGGTGTTCCCCTATCTTGAACTCGTCTTGGATGGTTTCCCTTCACCAAGTACATTGACTGGATCCACTGGGCAGTGGGCGTGATTCCCTTAGAGCTAACAGAAAATCCCACCCTGATACAGCTGAGAGAGGGAGTTTGCAGGTCATGTTGCCTTTGTCCCAGAAATTTCTCAGCTTCAGTCTGGGGCTAGAATGGCTTTTATGGGAACAAGGCCAGGCAGAAATGGGTGTCTATGTGTTTTTTGGTGCCTCCTAAATTGGCCACACACACACACACAACTTTCTCTCATGGCTCTTGGGCCGCGTTTTCAGCGAAAAACGGTGAGACCCTCAAAGAAATCCACAAAAATTGATGGCTTCGTGACTTTTCCGCAGGATGCCTTCGATGCAATGGATGCCAACGGCGACGGAGTCCTGTCGCGAGAGGCGTTGGGTGACTGCGGGGTGAGACGTTGAGAGACGGGTCCATTGTTCCACTTACGTAGCAGACTGGCACCTGGAAGATCAATCTTGTCTTGGAGAGTTTCATTGATGAAGTTTACAGGGCTGCTTTTGGAAGATGGGCGGCAAAAAATACAAATGCAAATGATGCGAACCAAAGTGCCCCCAATGAAATTCAGACGCATAGCGGTCTCAGATTGAATCCTAGCAGCCATCCTAGCATTTGCAGGAAGGGTTTGTCATTTGTGAGAGAGGAGTTCCTGAACATGATGCAAGCGCAGAGTGTACCAGTGTGCGCCTCAGAGATTCTTGGATGATCATCCACGCACTCATTCAGAGTTCCGATTGCCAAGCTTAGGCGGAGCCAACTTACACCTCTACGCCAACTGCTTACACCACTGGGCAACCTGTGACATACTCAGGACAGCCAGTGACCTATTCCACTGCGCAGCCGGTTACGTACTCCTCCGGGCAGCCAACCGCTTACTCTGCGCAGCCAATGAACGCCGCTCAGCCGGTAACCAGCTACGCCGCTCAGCCGGTAACGAGCTATGCCGCTCAGCCGGTAACCAGCTACTCAACGCAGCCAGTGACCAGCTACTCTGCGCAGCCAGCAACATACTCCTCGGCACCGATGCAGTACGGCGCCCAGCCAGCAACCTCTGCGCCGCAGACCTATGCGCAGCCCGCCCCTGCCACCTACACTGCCCAGCCGCAGTACGTGACCGGCCCGGCAACCACCATGGGAGCGCCAGCGGCTGCTGTCGCCCCCCAGACAGTGTCCTCAGTGTCTGCTGTTCAGCCGGCCACATATTCCACAGCCCCTGCGACCTACTCCGCTCAGCAGCCGGTGCAGTATGGAGCCCCTCAGCCGGCGACTTACTCTGCTCCGCAGACTGTGCAGTACGGAGCCTCGCAGCCAGCGACCTACTCCACTCCACAGACCATGAGCTACTCTGCTCCGCAGACCTACACACAGCCTGCAACCTACACGGCGGAGCCCACCTACATGACTCAGCCGGCTACCGGGGGCTCGGCGGCAGTGGTTGCGCCCCAGTCGTCCTCAGCTGCAGTTGTAGCTCCGACCTACTCTCAGCCGGCGACTTACTCGTCTCCGCAGCCAGCGACGTACTCGTCTCCGCAGCCGGTGACATACTCTTCTGCCCCAATGAGCTTTGCGCAGTATGACACCAACAATGATGGGCAAATTTCCAGGCAAGAGTTCATGAGCTACATGGCACCGCAGCAGTCGATGCAGCCGCCGGTGCAGCAGCAGCAGTCGATGCAGCCGCCGGTGCAGCAGCAGCAGTCGATGCAGCCGCCCATGGTGTATGCGGCACCTGCTGAGGCACCCAAGCAGCCTCAGCAACCCATGGTGTATGCGGCACCTGCTGAGACGCTCAAGCAGCCCCAGCAGCCCCAGCAGCCCATGGTGTATGCGGCACCTGCTGAGTCGCCCAAGCAGACCAGCAGCCCCAGCAGCCCCAGCAGCCCATGGTGTATGCGGCACCTGCTGAGTCGCCCAAGCAGACCCAGCAGCCCCAGCAGCCCATGGTGTATGCAGCACCTGCCGAGTCGCCCAAGCAGACCCAGCAGTCCCCGCAGCCCCAGCAGCCCATGATCTATGCAGCACCTCCCTCCGCTGGCCCTACACAGTCCACTCCAGCTGTCTATGCGGCGCCTGCTCCGTCAACAGTTGCTCCGATGTCTCAGCCAGCTCCTCAGTCAATGACATATGCTCCACCGGTCCAATATGCGGCACCCCAGCAGGCTGCGCCAGTGCAGGCCGCGCCAGTGTCCTCCGTATCTGCCGTTCAGCCGGCCACGTATTCCACAGCCCCAGTGTCCTCAGTGTCTGCTGTTCAGCCAGGCCCAGTGTCCTCAGTGTCTGCTGTTCAGCCAGCCCCTGCGACCTACTCGGCTCCTCAGTACAGCCCGCAGCCAGCAACCTACGCGGCTCCGCAGCCCATGCAGTACTCAGCGCCGGCCCAGACAACATACGCAGTGCCACAGGCAGCACCTGCTCCCATGTTTGCGCAGTATGACACCAACAATGATGGGATGATCTCCCGGCAGGAGTTCATGACGTACACCACCGCTCCGCCACAGTACATGACTGCTCCAGCGGAGTACTCCTCTGCCCCGGCGACTTACTCGGCTGCCCCTGCGCAGTACATGACTGCTCCAGCAGAGTGCTCGTCTGCCCCTGCACAGTACATGACTGCTCCAGCAGAGTACTCGTCTGCCCCTGCACAGTACATGACTGCTCCAGCGGAACCTGCGCAGTACATGACTGTTCCAGCAGACTACTCCTCTGCCCCGGTGCAGTACTCCTCTGCCCCAGTGCAGTATGGTGCTCCTGCAGACTACTCCTCTGCCCCCGTGCAGTACTCTTCTGCCCCAGTGCAGTATGGTGCTCCGGCTGACTACTCCGCTGCCCCAGTGCAGTACTCTTCTGCCCCAGTGCAGTACGGTGCTCCGGCTGACTACTCCGCTGCCCCAGTGCAGTACTCCTCTGCCCCAGTGCAGTATGGTGCTCCGGCTGACTACTCCTCTGCCCCAGTGCAGTACTCCTCTGCCCCAGTGCAGTACTCTTCTGCCCCAGTGCAGTATGGTGCTCCGGCAGACTACTCCTCTGCCCCAGTGCAGTACACCTCTGCCCCAGTGCAGTATGGTGCTCCGGCTGACTACTCCTCTGCCCCAGTGCAGTACTCTTCTGCCCCAGTGCAGTATGGTGCTCCGGCAGACTACTCCTCTGCGCCAGTGCAGTACTCTTCTGCCCCAGTGCAGTACTCAGCTGCTCCAGCGACTTATTCCGCAGCGCCCGGACAGTACTCCTCTGCCCCAGTGCAGTACTCCTCTGCCCCAGCGCAGTACTCCTCGGCGCCGGTTCAGTACTCCACTGCCCCAGCGACCTATTCCGCAGCGCCCGGACAGTACTCATCTGCACCCGTGCAAACCGGTGCACAGCCGGTGGCTTGACAGCAATTACGTGCATTGCAGCGGCCCAAGCTGCGCTTCTTACAATTTTCATGGGGGACCCTTGGGTGAACCTCCTGTACATGAATGTGTACTGTCTTGAGGTTTCCCTTTTTAGGTTGGTTTAAAGGGAAGCCAATTCTTTTGGGGTCCAAATCCCCAGCTTGACATATACCCACATGGTTAGATTTATGTCCACGGAGTCGCTGCCGTTGTGCGTGCCAAGGGCGACCTTTTCGCCCAGGCAGGATGGTTCGGTGATGTTGCAGCTTTCACACTCAACTGAGCCAGAAGACCGACTTGGGTAGATGAAGCTCAGTGCGGGACAGGGACAATCCCAGCTGGCGATAAATGCGGATATCCACCCATTTTGTTCTTTACATTTACATGGTTTTGGTCCCACTAAGAGTCAAAACATCCAGGCTTCGGGAGGGACATGGGGGAGATACTCAATCTCGAACAAAAACGAGGAAACGAGCCCCTGATTTTCCCATGATTTGGCCAACCACTTTTTTTGACCGTGATTCATGCGAGCAGCGGTCAATGCTGTCCAAGGAAATGACATTACCCACCAACTTGCTTGGGGTTACTCCTCCAACTCCAACTTCCAATGGCATTCAGCGAAATGTTGGACTCCGCCAGATGGACGCGGATGGCGACGGCACCCTCTCCAGGGAAGAGTTCGCTGCAGCTATGGGCGGCCGTTGAGGATTTTTGGGGCTCCGGCCGAATTCGGAATTGTGCCATCCGGCAGCGCGACTGTCGGCCATGCAAAGTCCTAGGTTAGTCCCCCATTCTTGTCAACCATTTTTTCCTTGCAACATCGTTCTTGAACGCATCGTTCATTTCACCCATCGCTCTTTTCCGACGGTTTTCTGGATTGAATGACCCCTACAAACAATCCAGGCCGGGTAAGACACTTCAAGGAAGCCAAGAGCAGATTGTTGCGTCCGTGCGGTTTTGCTTACAAGGCAAGATGAACTACAATCAAACGTTGGGCTATACTAAGGTTAGTGGGGTTTCCCCAAAGCAGGTGTCTAGCTGGGAATGTGTATAGGAGTACCTCAAAATGGTACCTTCAAAAAAGACCACCCCAGTTGCATCTGCTCTTCTCGCCCAGGCTCAAAGGGCATGGTTAAATGTCGGTAGACACCCGCTGGTACATGGATACAGCTGTGAGCTGTGGGGGGGGGGGGGGCTTCGGGGCTCCCACAGGGTAAGTTGGTCGTCGAAGCTCGCAGCTCGGCATCTCAACTTGTGGAACCCGCAAACGATAACTTCCGCTGCTCCAAGCTCAGCTTGGCTTTGGTTCCGCTGCGCTTCCGCTGGAAACGATCGTCGGATCGTTGGCACGCCCCAGCAATCTTTTGAGTGAATCAACAGGTAGATGAAGGTTAGAGCAGGACAGTCCGGCATAGGTGCGGGCGACCCGTGGATTCTTGAGGTTTTGGGTAGACATGGCAGACCTCTTGTACCTGGTTTCGATTGTGACCCTCCCAAATGAGCTTGTGAAGCTCATTTGTTGGACTTTTGCCCGCCCGATGCACCAACATGGACATGTTTTATATGCAAGACTTGTTGTGGGGTGTGCAGTCTGGGTTGCTCGCATAAACATTCAAGTTGTTCAATATTTTGGTTGGCATTTAAAGGGAACGAACAACAAAGAACGACATCTTTTGGGACCCGTATTGTGAGAACTTCGGGCGGCTCCTTTCTTTGTTGTGTCCCGAGTCTCGATTGACTGCTTGCAGGATGAGTATTTTGGACTTGGCGAAATGCTCAGGCTGACTGGGGTGTGCTTGTGGATTGACAGCTGCGAATAGAAGATACGCGAGGAACTGACAAAACCAAATGGTAGCAGGCTTTCATGTTGTGTTTAGTGGTTTACCCAGCAGTTCCCAGTCTACCTTGCGGCAATGAACAAATGGATCCGTGAGCTATTGCCTTGGCAAGTTCCTTTGACTGAGAGCCACAGATGACAGGTGGCCATGGGAGAACCGCCTTCAGTTTTGGTGTCAAGTATGCTTTCGCGGTGACCTCAAGAGTCGTTCTCTTTTGGACTGCGGATACCAGCCGTTGGTTTGCGCATCTCTCCAAGGGATCGCTGGTGCAGAGGAGGTGTCTTCATGCAAGCGACAGCGCTGAGGCGATAAGTTGGTCTTGCTTTGATTGAGAGCCGGGCCTTCCCGTGACACTTGGAAGACGGCTGCATGGAACAGGAGGTATGGGCCGGGTTGGTTCCACATCGGGGTCGTTTTACCCAAGGGCACGCATATTAAATGCGATGCGGGGTTTGCACGGACCGGCCTTCTGCACTTGCAGTCATTCCCAGTCATGCGGGATCTTTTCACTCTGATCGATTTTCTTGCAAATTCGAATGTACCCCGAAAGACCACCGGCGTCTTGCAAAAAGGAGTCCGCAGCATTGACAGGAACTGGTTGGTCATCTCGCAAGTGATCTGAATGATCGGATCTATTTTGGCCCAAGCGAGCCTTTTTGTCCTGTTGCTTGCTGACTTGCAGCAAGCACACCCCCGCGGAAGCACGCACACACACACACATACACACACACACACATTCACCTGTTTCCTCTTTTAAATGATGTAGTCTGGTGTGCAGCCACAATGCATATCTAAGGGATTCTTCCTCCCCGTGCATTTTGTTGGATGTTGCTCTCTGATAGAATGTTGGCTGCTTCGAGTTTGCCTGTCATCGAGAGGGTGAAGGCGCAACACTCATGCAGAGCGTCTACTGGCGGGTTGGGGCATGACATGGCAGAACAACCGACGGCCCACCAGAATGGTTTTCGGAACCTTCCCGGGCCTTGGGTGGTTTTCCTTGTACTTGGCCTTGTAAAATGGGCCCTAATTTCCGAAATGACCTCTTTCTGATCTCCTGGCTGCACCCTCGACCGGGTTGTCGCAAACATCCCCAGAAAGGGCCCGCTTGGATCTGGCGTGTCGGATCCACGCGTGTCGGATCCATGTGTTGGTCCACATTCCGGGCAGTCCAAACAAGCCGTTCACCCCCCTCTGGATTCACATGGGACCCCAAACTCACCATACAGGAAGCTCCTGCCCTTTTTGCTTCCATGTTCATTTCTGGAGGATCGATTATGAACCGGCAGGACGATGCCCCCCCCCCCCCCAAGGGCCACGATTTGCTCAACCTGGTAACCCCCTTTTTCCAGTGGAAAGTGGCAAGGGCTTTCGGAAGACCCATCCTAGAAAGGGCCTTCTGTCCACTGGAGTGGGTTTGTAAGGAAAGAGGTAGCCCCTCAAGTTGTGAACAAACAAAAGGGAGAAAAGGTTCAAGTGGGGATGTCTTTTTTCCAGGGTACCCTTTTCTTTGTGGCTTTAAAGAGAACTCAGGAGGACAATCACCGTTTTTGTTTTTTTTTGGGGTGGGGGTGGGGGGTGGGGTCCACTAAAAGACACACCAAAAGGTTGGGCACGTAGCCCCATGAACTCCCAATTCGGGAGGGGACCCTCCGGCTCAGGCGGTGCCAGCCAGGACCGGATGCGCCGCTTGGGATCCCATTTGATTGCTTCAACGGAATCCCCAGGTCCATTCCCTCATTTGATTTTCGTTCTAACATTTTGTTTTTACACAAATGAATACTAGGTTTCAACACCGGGTTTTCGAAAGACAGTGGTTTTCCCTTTGGGTTCCCCTTTGAACATCCCAAGAGAAGGATAGCCTTTGCCAATTGAAAGTCACCCAAATGCCAACGATCCGAATCCCGGTAAAGCTGCTGGTTTTGGATGTATTTAAGGAACCCTGAAAGAGGGGTTTCCCAATTCAAAGATGGAGAGAACATATTCTTACAGAATGAAAGGAGAAAGCCTTAGAAGGGGGTGAGTGAGGTAGTGCGGGTTTGGTGGGCCCCCAGCGTGTTCGTCCGATTCAGCAAGCCATGAGCCCGCCAGGCGTGAAAAATGCTTTTAGAGCCCGGGACAAGTGTCAATGGACTGCCTAAACAGATGACATGCTTTCGGTTTCCCTTTCCAACAAGCCCCGGACAGGTGACCAACTCGAAAATGACACACACACACAGAGACACAGACAGACATACACACCCATGCCTTTCGTCCATACCTGAAGGACTTGCTGGTCCAAGACAGCGCCAATTCATGCAGTATGCCCCTCCCGTGCTTTGCAAACTGTCGAGAGACAGCGAGAGAGAGGGTTGCTCCGAACCTTGGAAGAATGCCCCAAAAGATATAGAACATCGGTCGTGGGTCCTTTAATCTTCGGTTTTTCCGGGCTGTCTTGCACCCTTACAGGGTCTTGGGAGCAGCCCAGAGAGAGGGAGACGGAGCGATCAGTGGCGCAGCCTTTTCCAAGCTGAGCCATTTGATCTAAGGGCCAAGATTGAATCAGGCTCGGCGAAAGTTTGTGCTTCGTGCGTTTTTTTTTTTTTGTGTTGGCCGACCGTTTCACATTGGTGCCGTTTCGGTTCCAGCTGTAGTATTTACGTGTAGTTATTGGGGCGGGCTGGCAGTGTTTCGTGAGTGCCGAACTCAGCTTCCTGTGCCTCATGCTTCCGTTTGCTAGAGCGGTTGTCAAACAGAAAATAGCCAGCTGTGCAACGGGTAGTGGACGCCGTCTTAGAGGTTCGCGGGCATTGCTCCCGGCAAGCTTGGAGTGCATTGGTGAGCAGCACCCAAAGCCCCTGCTGTGATAGGATTAAGACTTCCAGTAAGGCAGAAACTGTGGCAACTTTCTAACTATCTTCGTAGAACCCAGGGTCAATGGGTTTTGGGCGCGGCACGCATGGTGTGCTTGTTTTTGGCTCCCCCGTTTTTGGGCGCATGTCTGTCCCAGGTGGCCGATTTTGGTGTCCGCTCCTTATGCAGACGCCGGCGTGCGGTGTCCGCATGTTTTGACCGAGGAATGGCGTGGAGACAGCGACGGCCCCAGGACTCGGGACTCGTGCCCGGGGACCATCTTATAGTCCTTTGAAGGGAACCAAGACTCTTTTTTTTTTGGGGGGGGGGGAGTTTTGCATTTTTTTTGGGGAGATTTGGGAGTTTGAACTAGCCTCAGGTAGTCGCGCCGTGGCTGCTGAGAGGGTCGAGGCTCGCTCCTTTGCTGAGGCAACAGAACTGGCAGGCAAGGCCAGTGGCTCAACAGGCATGGCAGCAGCTTGGCAGCAGGGATCTGCTTTTTGAGCCCGGGGCCATACTCTACATGGGTATGGGTCAAAATTAAACCACCAGGGGACCTCAGGTTTCGGTGCATGTTTCTACTTATTTTTGACCCACAGCCACATTCTGAGTTCTTTGACCTCACCAAAAACAAGGGTCAGAGGTTTGACTTTCTCAGGTCTCGTTTTGATTCCGGTTCACGTAAACGGGGTTCACGCCCATGAGATCATAGTGGGAGGAAAGCGGGGGTGGGCTCCACCTGAGTGCTGCTTCCAAGGCAGAAAGCTGCATGGCAGGCGGGGAGAAGCCCCGATCGATCTCTGCCGGAGTCAGGTCGTGCGCATGCGAGTTGGGGTGTGTGCGCTTTTTTTGGTTTTTGCAGGGGCCAAAAGGAAAGCCGTGTTGGGGATACCCTCGATTTTGGCACCATTCGGGTCTGCACCCGAAACTTTTGCACAGGCGACTGGCTGCTTGACCGAAGCCTTGTTTGCCTCGCGCATTTTGAATGAGCCGAGGGCAACATTTCGCCAGCTGTACCTGCCAATGCACCTGCCAAAGAAACCTATGCTGGTTTCCCAGTGGAGATATTGCCAGTGTGGGACTTGGGGGTGTTCAACCACCTTGGTAACCTTGGTTCTACCAGTGGGTTAGTCCTCTTATAACCAAGCTTATGACCTACTTGCTAAGTTGGTTGAACACCCCCCAGATGCTTGGCGGCCATGCGGTGCGCGTAAGAGCGCTAAGGTGGTTTCTACAACTGGCAAAGATAGCGAGGAAGTGGTGGTGCTGCTCCCAGTTCCGACCAATGGGAAGCCCAATGCCAGAATGAGGGCGCCCAAAACGCCTTTGGTACCATTTTGGCACGTGCTTATACTACCTGGATTCATGAAGATCACGGTATGACCTATGTAAACCTTCGAAACTATGCTGGTAGAACCAAGAGTCCATGCAAACTTGTGCCCAGGTGAGAACTCTGGTAGGAGAGTACACGGAGTCGGCATCCAACCATGGCCGAAAAGTCTTCAAGAAGGCAGGCTGCCTTCGTGCTTCATGTGCCCGTGCAGTCAGCTCCCGCCTTCGAGAGAAATTGCAATCCATCGTTTGCGCTTCCGCCGATAGCTGGCTTTGCAGCCGTAGCTTCGAGTGCTTGTTGTCTAGGGAACGCTGGCTTCTGGAACCACAACTTAACGTGATTTCCCGTTGCACAGCAGCAATGGCACAAGACACTGGCAACAGCTCGCAACATTGGGCTGGCACTTCCTGAAATGAAGAAGTCGTGTGACTCGCGGTGAAGACCCGGAAAGCCATGTGCAGCGATGCAGCCTTCACGGAATGCCTCATGAAGGCCGGCGGAAGTTTTTATTGTCTTGTTCGTGATGGAACCCATCACCCCATCCGGAGCAAAAAAACGAAAGGGCGTTTCAAGCGCCCTTTTGGCAGCATCTTCCTTTGGGGCGACGTATTTTTTTTGGCTTCGCGTCGGTCATTTGCGAGAAAGACCGACGCTTGCTTTGTCTCATGCGAGGAGCTGAAGCTGTTCCGAGACAACAGCAAAGTGTTGACGGATGAGGACACACAGGGCCCAGGTGAGCGAAACCGTTGGGCCATGTTAGCAGTCATGTTCTACTAGTCTGCAGAGAAACGAAGGAGGACAGCAAGGGACACATATGAACCAGAAGATCCATGCAAAAACACCTGTCCGTGCTAGAAACAACAGTCAATGGGTTGTGGCCGCTCAGGTTGGTTGCCCAGCCGAGTTGAAGGTGTTTTTTGCGCTTCAAGATGGCTATGGCATGGAATCAATACGGGGAGCTCTGACCATGCGGCAGACGGCGAGGTTCATCCTGATGCTTGGCTGTGGCTCCCAAACATATATATCAACATGGCACCTGGGTAAGTGGAACCGAAGACTACAACCTGCGTAACCCGAGCTCTTTGATTTTGAGCCACACCAGCTCGACAAACAGTTTCAGGGCAATTTATGATACACACACACACACACACACGGCTAAATCAAAGTCTCAGCAGGCTCCCCAACTCGTGTTGATGCATGGCTCCCAAAACAGTAGTTCCCTATCTTGATTCGCTGGTTTAAGACAATCTGACATTAAAACAGCATCAAAAGTTGCGGGGGGGGGGGGGGTAGTGATTCAGGTTTGGCACACAAAAGCTCAATGATTCAACAGATGACTTCCCCAGAATGGAATGCCTTGCTTCTCTCTCGCAAATTCAAGCGACACTCTGACTCCATTGATCGGGGTCTCACATGCCTCGTAAGGACAGCCTTCAGACCATGACCTTCGTCGGGGTACGCGAAGCCCCCCGGAAAAATCAGTGGTTTTTTGTGGTTTCCCTTCAAAACACTTCAACAAGGGGCACCCCTTGGCCTTTGCGATAGCGCGCAGTGTCTGTTCGACGCATCGATATATTGGGGGGCGGGGGGAAGACGAAAAGGCCCCAAAAACAATCAAGTCAGTGAATTCCTGAATTGCACATTGTTGCCATTGCCAAAATGGTGGCTTTTCCTGCAGCCAATGCAAAGCGATGTTCTGGCGTTAACAACAGAGGACTCTTGCAATCCGATGTGCGCCGCGTAGAAAAAAAGAAAACAACAAAAACGATGCGGCTGTGGGTCAAAACCCCGTACCCCCAGTGAACATCCGAATCCCCACAAACATAGACTGAAGTGGGTGACAAAAATAGACCAAAATCCTCACAGGGAAGACTTCGCATCCCCCTTTGGCCCGGATTTTCGGCGCCAGGAGCGGCGCCGGGCCTTGACAGGGCTCAACCACTCCCTGCGGCCGCGCACTGCGCAGCTGGGAGCTCTGGCGAGGCAGCGAGTGCAGCGAGTGCAGGTTCTGGTGGGCTGTGTGTTTGGTTCAATTTCTGTTATCCGTATGCGGTGCCTGAAAGGCGTCCTTTCGGCTTATCGTCTCTTTTTCTTTGCTCTGTGTTGCCTTAAAGGCGTCCTTTCGGCTTGTCTCCTTTTGGATGCTCAACTTCAACTGTTTCCTTAAAGGCGTCCTTTCGGCTTGTCTCCAGTTGGTTGCTATGTGTTTCTTACAGGCGTTCTCCTTTTGGTTGCTCTGCGTTTCCTTAAAGGCGTCCTTTCGGCTTGTCTCCAATTGGTTGCTCTGTGTTTCTTAAAGACGTCCTTTCGGCTTCTTGTCTCCTTTTCTTTGCTCAACTTCGACTGTTTCCTTAAACGCGTCCTTTCGGCTTGTCTCCTTTTGGTTGCTCTGTGTCCTTAAAGGCGTCCTTTCGGTTCTCGTCTCCTTTTGGTTGCTCTGTGTTTCCTTAAAGGCGTCCTTTCGGCTTGTCTCCAATTGGTTGCTCTGTGTTTCTTAAAGACGTCCTTTTGGCTTCTTGTCTCCTTTTCTTTGCTCAACTTCAACTGTTTCGTTAAAGGTGTCCTTTCCGCTTGTCTCCAGTTGGTTGCTCTGTGTTTCTTAAAGACGTCCTTTCGGCTTCTTGTCTCCTTTTGGTTGCTCTGCGTTTCCTCAAAGGCGTCCTTTCGGCTTGTCTCCAATTGGTTGCTCTGTGTTTCTTAAAGACGTCTTTTCGGCTTTTTGTCTCCTTTTCCTTGCTCAACTTGAACTGTTTCCTTAAAGGCGTCCTTTCGGCTTGTCTCCTTTTGGTTGCTCTGTGTTTCCTTAAAGGCGTCCTTTCGGTTCTCGTCTCCTTTTGGTTACTCTGTGTTTCCTCAAAGGCGTCCTTTCGGCTTGTCTCCTTTTGGTTGCTCTGTGTCCTTAAAGGCGTCCTTTCGGTTCTCGTCTCCTTTTTGGTTGCTCTGTGTTTCCTTAAAGGCGTCGTTTCGGCTTGTCTCCAATTGGTTGCTCTGTGTTTCTTAAAGACGTCCTTTCGGCTTCTTGTCTCCTTTTGGTTGCTCTGCGCTTCCTTAAAGGCGTCCTTTCGACTTGTCTCCAATTGGTTGCTCTGTGTTCTGAAAGACGTCCTTTCGGCTTCTTGTCTCCTTTTCTTTGCTCAACTTCAACTGTTTCGTTAAAGGTGTCCTTTCCGCTTGTCTCCAATTGGTTGCTCTGTGTTTCCTTAAAGGCGTCCTTTCGGTTGTCGTCTCCTTTTCTTTGCTCAACTTGAACTATTTCCTTAAAGGCGTCCTTTCGGCTTGTCTCCTTTTGGTTGCTCTGTGTTTCTTACAGACGTCCTTTCGGCTTCTTGTGCTCAACTGTTTCCTCAAAGGCGTCCTTTCGGCTTTTCTTCTTTTGGTTGCTCTGTGTTTCCCTAAAGCTGTCTTTTTGGCTTGTTTCCAATTGGTTGCTCTGTGTTTGTTAAAGACGTCCTTTTGGCTTCTTGTCTCTTTTTCTTTGCTCAACGGTTTTTTAAAGACGGCCTTTGGGCTTCTTGTCTCGTTTTCTTTGCTCAACTGTTTCCTGAAAGGCGTCCTTTCGGCATGTCTCCTTTTGGTTGCTCTGTGTTTCCTTAAAGGCGTCCTCCGGCTTGTCTCCTTTGCTTTGCTCTGTGTTGCCTTAAAGGCGTCCTTGCGGCTTCTTGTCTCCTTTTCTTTTTGCTCTTTGTCGCCTTAAAGGCGTCCTTTCGTCTTGTCTCCGTTTTTTTTCCTCTCTGTTGCCTTAAAGGCGTTCGTTTGGCTTCTTGTCTCCTTTTCCTTGCTCTCTGTTGCCGGAAAGTGTCCTTTCGGCTTCTTGTCTCCTTATCCTTGCTCTCTGCTTCCTTACAGGTTCTTTGGGCTTGTCTCCTTTTCTTTGCTCTCTGTTGCCTTGAAGGCATCCTTTCGGCTTGTTTCCCTTTCTTCGCTCTCTGTCGCCTTAAAGGCGTCCTTTCGGCTTGTCTCCTTTTCTTTGCTCTCCGTTGCCTTAAAGGCATCCTTTGGGCTTTTGTCTCTTTTTCTTTGCTCTCTGTCGCCTTAAAGGCGTCCTTCCAGCTTCCTGTTGTGTTCTTTTTCTTTGCCCTCTGTTTCCTTTCGGTCCTCCTTTTGGCTTTTTTTCAGTGTTCTTGGGGTTTCACGTTGGCTTTTCGTCTTTTACTTTATGTTCTGTAGTTTTGGGTTGTTTTCTGTGTTCCTTGTCAGAGTCCTTTCGTCTTGTTTCCTTTTTTGGCTTCTCCGGGACTTGCTCAAAAAGGCTGGTCCCAACTTTGTTATTTTTGACATTTCAGAATAGGTCGAGGGATACGATCAGGAATGAGCTGGACAGGGAGGGAGTTGGAAGCTGTGCTGGAAGAGAAAAGGTGCCCTGTTGCATGTGGCCAACAAGTTCCTGGAGTCTCAATGACCCTTTCAAAATGGGGTCAACGACCCCATTATTTTGGGTAATGACCCCATCTTTAAAGGGTCGTGGAGACTCCAGGTTTATAGATTCATGGAAGAAGTTGCTCCTCCCCGCCGTGGCAAATAGAAGATTGGCTTGTTCTATCCCAATTCATCTGACGTTTTAATGCCTCACCGATGATTTCGACTTGTTTTTGGTGCTTCGACGGTTTACCCGGCCTCTTCCTGTCCAGGGTTGGGTGCAACATTTGTTCAAACCGCCATTCCTGGTTCTGGTCTTAAGCCCCTGCAATCAACATGTGGTCAGAGGCGGTCGAAGGAGCCTCGCAACTGCCATTCTGCCCTCAATCGACCCAGAACAACGCGAGCCCGCCCACTGCCAACCTATCCTAAACCCGGCACCATTCCCACTTCATGGCCACAAGGGGTCCCTTTCTGGGTTCTTCCCCGGTTTCCCAGGATCGCACCCTTTGGGGGTCCGAAATCACAAGTAACTTGAAAAGCAAACAACACATAGAGTAACTTGCTTATTGACATGCGGAATGACGAGAAACCCTTGGATCCCTTGAATCTCTTGGTTGTTAAGCTCAAATCCTTGGCCGGTCGCCTCTCCGCTAAGTCTTTCCACCCTGCCAATTCCTTCCAATCTCTTCCCTATTCACTTCACCAACCCCTCTTTACACCAAGCCAAGCCCCAAACCAGGCCGGGATTTTTAGCAACCCCAAGAAGAATTCAAGCGCGGGAACAGGGGGCCTGGCGCCCTTTGATTTTTGCGTTTTGTCTTTTTGGCACTTACGGCGGTCAACCAGGCAAATTTGGCAGTCATGGGTATTCTTGGCAGACATGGAGTACAACCCCCGTTCCGGCATATTGTGTTCGTGGGTTGGAGCCACCGGCCTGCTGACCATAGCGCTAAAAAAAAGAAAGGCGCTGGCCCACTCGCAACCCCCCCCCCCCCAACCCCCCCCCAACCCCCCCAACCCCCCCCAACCCCCCCCAACCCCCCCCAACCCCCCAACCCCCAACCCCCCCCAACCCCCCAACCCCCCCCAACCCCCCCCAACCCCCAACCCCCAACCCCCCCCCCCCAACCCCCCAACCCCCCAACCCCCAACCCCCCCCAAAAACCCCCAACCCCCAAACTCCTGCAACCCCGCCCCCCCCCCAACCCAACCCGCCCCCCCCAAACTCGCCCCCCCTAAGCCCCCCCCCTCCCCATCATGCCTCCAGTTTGCAAGGCAACACAAAAACAACCAAAACCTCACCCTTTCTGGGCCCAAAAGCTCCACTGAATGGGACGGGCCACTTAGTACGTGGCTAGCAACCACGATTCTACTCACCGAAGACATGGTTGTAAAGTACCCCAAGTGGGTTATAGCCATGGTTCTTGACCACTTACAAGACATAATGGGAAGCCCGGATTCATAAACCCCGAAAGCTGCCCCTTTTCGAGGGACCCCTCCTATTCGTAGGGTGGGTTTTTGGATCCGGGGTAGGATCTCTTCGGCGCCCCAGCTGACACCCGGCTGCTCTGTGCGCCTCGCGGGCCTTCGGAGCCGCGCGGAGTTCAACGGGACCGGCGACCGAATCGACCGAATCGGTCGATTTGGGTATGGGTCAAAACAAAACCACCAGGAATCGGACCGCAGGTTTTGGTCTTTGGTTCCATTTACCAGGGCAAGCCATGTTCGGTACGAGTTTCTTTGACAACCGCAGCCATTTGGCGATCGGGATTTGGGGATGGGAGGTTTCGGGGGGCAGAGCCACGTGCTCAAAACCGATTCGGGTAGATGAAGGTTAAGGGACAATCCCCTTGCCAGGGATAGCTGTGGATATCCGCCTTCTCAATTCTTTACATGGGTCAGGGTAGACCATTTTAATGCCGGGTTTTGATTATGACTCAGGTGGTTTTCCTTTTGGCTTCCCTGAACCAAAATGGGTTTTCCCGCAGTAAAAACGGCGCGCCAAAACGGGTGTCTGCTTTGTGCTGTAACCGCCCCTTTTGGGCTACAGACAAACCAGAAGGCGCACCACCATTCTTGTCGGCCCCATATTGGGGTGGGTTTTTTGTTGAGGCTCAGGCTCGGTACCCGTTTTGCCTTAGGGATTGGGAACTTTTGACACATAAGACCGTTGGCTTCCTTCGGCCGAGGTTTCTAGGTAGCGACATCCTCTACCAGGCCGTCTCCTTCCAAAGCCATTTCAGCCCTGGAAACGTTCACTTGGCGAACTTTTGCATTTTTGTCGAAGAAAACACATATTGCACACCCCAAGTGCCCGAACTCCCCAATTCCCAGGGGTCTTTTTTTTAACAAGAAACGCGCCTGAGGCCGCTGGTGTTTGCCCCCCCCCCCCTCCCCCCCCCCAGCCTGCAGCCCGGTCCAGCGCGATAATCGACCCTCGGTAGGACTGCTGGGGAGGTGGTGGAGCGTGATCCGGACGCACATGGCCAGGTGCTGGTGCGGCTTTTTCCTGACCGCGCCTCTGACAAACGAAAAACGCAACGCGTGCGGTGTTGACACGGGCACTCTTGAGCGCTTTGGAATTCTTTTCCCGAAACAACCCAAGGGTGGGGACCCAAAGTACACTCATTTAAATTTGGGTGCTTTTTTGTTGGGGGGGGGAAATCCGTTTGGGTTGGGAATTGAAGGAAGACCAAAGGAAATCCTTTCCACGGACTGATTCCTCCGAACACTCAAATGGGGGGAGGCCGGGGGCGATAGATGCAACCTTTCTGTTTGGGGCAGTGGTTCTTTCAGGTTTTGCAACATCGCCTCTGGGAAAGGGGCTTTCCGGTTGCACTAAAATCCCAATCACTCAAAAACGAGAGACGAGTGGAGTCTGCGGACTCGTCCATTCAAACGACGTGCCCTTGGGGTGACTCAGCTTAGGCCTGCTGCATGTTTGCAGGTTGGTGCTGCTTGGGGGCTGCGACAAGTATCGACCTGTGGTACAGTGGATGCCCTAGATTTTTCCGAGTGAGGGAATAAGGAACCCCCCTCTGTTTTACCCTGTAGTTTACCATGGTTTTGTGAGTGTCGAAATTCAGACCATGTAGATTTGCGGTGTTTTTGTATTCCTGCAATATTTGGGGCATCGATGTAACATGTATGGTGCACCAGATGGATGAAGCCCCTATGAATACCGGTCAGTTGTAGTGACCCGCCAATCTCAACTGGGACAAGCCCGAGAAGCCGCCAACCTGCCTACCAACTTCCAACTTGGATACGGACAAATTTTCTGAACCAAAGGCGGGGGTTTCCACTGGCGCGCGAAGCGAGGAGACTCCCAAAAGCTGGTTTGGGTCAGCCGCGAGAAGCTGCATCCCGAGGCTGGGATCGGGTTGGGGTGGGCGTGGGGGGGGCGGCTCTTTGCGGATGATGGAGGAAAGGGAAGAAAACGTACTACGGAAAAAGAGGAGGTTCAGGGGACGAAAGTGAAGAATGGGAAGGAGAGGGAAGCTATTTGCAGGGTTTGGGGGAAAGGAATATTTTGCCAAGTAATATTTGGGAAGACCAGTTGGATTTTGGCCGCTTGGGTGTTTCCCATTTCACGGCTTCGGCAGGAGTCGCCGCTGAACACGCGCGCGGGGAAGCAGTGGCTCTCCAAGCCTTTGCGGCACTTGGCCCACCACTCCTTCAAGCGCGCCCCGCACGGCGGCTTCTTCAGTCGCTTGCCGTTGTGGTGTTCCTTTTTTGTTTTGTTTTTGTTTTGTTTTTTTGAGCCAGTGGGGTCTACCGGCTTGTTTCGGTTTTTCCTTTTTTCTTTTTTTGTGTTTGGGGGGGGTCGAACCGCGCCATGCATGCATGCATGCATGCATGCATGCATGCATTCATTGATTCATTCATGCCTTCCTTCCTTCCTTCCTTCCTTCCTTCCTTCCTTCCTTCCTTCCTTCCTCCGTTCGTTCGTTCGTTCTTTCGTTCGTTCGTTCGTTCGTTCCTTCGTTCTCTCAGTTGTGAATGAAATGAAATGAATTGAAATGACATGAATTGAATTGAAATGACATGAAATGAAATGAAATGACATGAAATGAAATGAAATGGAATGGAATGGATGAATGAATGAATGAATGAATGAATGAATGAATGAATGAATGAATGAATGAGTGAGTGAGTGAGTGAGTGAATGAATGAATGAATGAATGAATGAATGAATGAACAAACATCAATGAATGAATGAACCGAGATGACATGAGATGAGATGACCTGAGATGAGACGCAATGCAATGCAATGCAATGCAATGAAATGAATGATCCAATGCATGCACGCACGCACGCACGCACGCACGCACGCACGCATGCATGCATGCATGAATGAATGAATGAATGAATGAATGAATGAATGAATGAATGAATGAATGAATGAATGAATGAATGAATGAATGAATGAATGAATGAATGAATGAATGAATGAATGAATGAATGAATGAATGAATGAATGAATGAATGAATGAATGAATGAATGAATGAATGAATGAATGAATGAATGAATGAATGAATGAATGAATGAATGAATGAATGAATGAACGAACGAACGAACGAACGAACGAACGAATGAATGAATGAATGAATGAATGAATGGAATGAATGGACTGGACTGGACTGGACTGGACTGGACTGGACTGGACTGGACTGGACTGGACTGGACCGGACCGGATCGGACCGGGCCGGGCCGGACCGGACCGGACGAATGAATTCTTTGCATGCATGAATGCATGCATGTATGGAAAGATGGAGTGGAATGGAATGGAATGAAATGACATGTAATGACATGAATGAAATGACATGATTGAAATGACATGATTGAATGAATGAATGATGCAAGCAAGCAATCAAGCAATGCAATAATGGACCCACTCGCTCATTCAACCAATCGGTCGGTCGGAAGCGATCGAGCTCGCGAGCGAGCGACCGATCCCAACCAACTAGCCAGCCAACCTATCAATCCATCAATCAATCAGTGCGTCCATGAATCCATCACCTGAGTGATTGAAGACATTGTTGCTTTCGGTCACAGGCGAAGGCACTTCACAGCCCTTGCTCTTGCGGGACACGCAGCGCTCAACGTGAGTCTGGTGATCGCTCGCAGGGCGCTTGCACTCGAAGAGATACTTGCGACTTGCAAGAATGGGCGTGCTTCGCGGCTCCGCATTTTCCCGCGACGGCTCAGTCGCTGTAAGTGGCTGGACCGGGCTGCTGAGTGAGCGATTTTATAGACACTCTTCGTCCAGGCCCGCCTGGTCGAGGATCCCTGGCTGAGCCACGGTTTAGGTGTTAGACGCCGCATGCCAGCGACTTGGTTGTATTCCTTGTGCCAAGCTCCTCGGTGATATTGCCTGGTACAAGCTCAACGCAACTTCTGCAGGCATGCCTGGCAGGTTTTATGGCGTTGCCGCGCCAATGGATTTGCACGGAGCCACCCAAAGGGTGTGCTGATGGAAGCAAGTCAAAATGCAAGCCTTTGGAGCTGAAGAAAGTTACCATTAGTGGCGCCTCATTTTCGCAGCAAGGCTCGGCAGGTTGCAAGGTGAGGCGTGCGCACAGGTGGCTGATGGCAGGGCTGAGACTGTGGACGTCTACATGTACTACTGGGACAGCAGGGACGGGCTTCTTTGCTCAAATCAAGTGCACAGAACGCATACTCAATTGACAAGAGATCACGCATACTCGATAGACCGCACAAATTGGATTAGAGAAGCAGCTGCTTTGTTGAGCATTGCCCAGCACTTTCTGCGATCGGGGGCTCAAGGACAGTTTTGCTCCCAGCAGGCTCTTGAGCCAAGGGAGGTGCTGCAAAGGCCGAAACAATTAGAATGGGGTGAATTTGGGTTCAAACTAAGTTTAGTCACGATCATAATAGACTAGTGACTAGTGTGTGCAAAATTATTAAAACCCTCGTTTGTCTTGTATGCCAGTTTAGGGAACGGAAGCACGATGTACACTCGATTTTGCCGCATGTTTGGGGTGTTGGGATTTTTACGGGTTGAGTCTGGATTTCGCTCCTTGCCGATTACTTTATTCTTTTAGGGACCCCCCCCAAGAAAAAAGAATAAACAAAGAAAAAGAAAACGGCTTCGCTTTTCCTCTTGGTGTCCCTAAGCCACGAAACAGGGGAACAAACTCAAAACAAAACAAGACATATCCATATTGCCTGGTCTTCCAGTTGGCATGTTGAAAGAGTACCCCCACCATTTAGGCAGCTTCCAATGGAGGCAAAGACACTTGAGTCAGAATCAAAACCCGGTAATTGGAGGGTAAGGGACAATCCCAGCCATCAATGGGTGCGGATATCCGCCTGTTCAATTCTTTACATGATTCGGGGGATCGACCGCTTTTATGCCGATCGGTTTTCATTTTGACTCATATACTGAGTATAAGAAGCATACAGCAACGCAGCCAACAAGTCTTCTCTGTACCATTTGTATACCGATCGGTTTTGATTCTGACTCAAACGTGGTTGCCCAAAAGACTGGGCTTTGGCTTCCCCCATGGGTGTCCCTGAAACACTTTATTGGTTCCATCTATTTTTTTTGAAACAAACACCCATTGGTTCCATTGGTTTGCCAGGTTTTGCTTATGACTCCCTTGTGCCAATTGGCTTTTCTGAGGCCATCCTTCGAAGGATGGTGGTTCGGCAACAAGCTCGGCGGCACCCAGGCGCGACGATCGTTGGGAGGTTGGGATGGGACACCCAAGGAGGTCCGTCCTAGGTCCGTCCTTTTGGTTTCCCTTAGAACCCCCCCAAGCAGAAAATAAAATAACACAAAATAACCTCAACAAAAGACACACACACACAAACTCAGACACATACACGGGTGTGCCGTGTGCCCTCCCCCCAAAAGAAAAGAAACCAAAAAGACAATAACACAGAGTGGCCTCAAAAAAACAACACACACACAGACACACATACAGGTGTGCGTGTTTTGGAGTTGGTGCCCCTTTCAGGTTGGTTTAAAGGGCACCCAAAGCAAGGCCGTGTTTTGGTGGGTCGGTCCATTTGACACCTCAAGTCATCATGGAAGCCAGTTGCAGGAATACTGGACATTTGCCAAAGCCCCACCAAAAGCAAGGACTTCTTGTAGAACTTCGTGTAGCTGTTTTGATAGAAGCAGTTCACGAGCACACCAATTTGGGGGTAAACCGAGCGATTGAACAAATTCCACCCATGGAAGTTTTAAACATCAAGGGGCTTTCTTAGTTTCAGTTTGGCAGTATAGCTAGTTGCATTGGGTCTTTCTACAAACCCAATTCAACGGTTCCTATATATATATATACACCTATTTACACATATATATATATACATACACATCTGGTTTTGACATATATATACACATATACACATCCAAGCATGTTTGTTGACAGAGACCTGGAAACCGCCTTGAGAAGCGCTCGTGAGGTGTGGTCGCACAACGCGTCTTCCGGTCTGAGCCCTCCGCCGTCTGGATGGAAGATCCCGTGGGACGGCAACGTGCGCCCCACTTTGTCCGTAGCCAACAAGGCCGGCGGGACGCGGGCGACCGGGACGAAGCCTCCGGCGGGAGCGTGTGTCGTGTTTGTTTTTGGGTCGTGCAGAGCTGGATTTTTGAGGCGGAGAACTGTGACATGTGGTGATGGGTCAGAGAGTGAGCAAGAGAGAGAGACAGAGAGAGAGAGAGAGAGAAGAGAGAGAGAGAGAGAGAGAGAGAGAGAGAGAGAGAGAGAGAGAAGAGAGAAGAGAGAAGAGAGAAGACCAAGTGCTTGCCAATGCTTCACTATCTTCATTCTTCCAGGCCGAGCAGGCCAAAACTGAAGCGCAGTCAAGACTGAAGCTGCTTAGCTGCAGGCTGAAGGCCACCCTTGAGCCAAAGCGATGGAAACTCGATCCATACAGTGGATGGTTGCGAAATCCGTTCGCACAAATGAAACCATGGTTGACACCTTTGTTAGTTGGTATTTACAGGAGAATCAAATCAGACACCAGGGTTTCTGAATGGTGGTGCGAAATGGTGTTCGTCCATCCACAGTATGTTTCATGGTGGGCATTCCTGAGCACAGACAACGTGTTTCCGTGAGGAACATGGGCTCCGAAGTGAATACGGCTTCTACTGCTGCCAAAGGTGCGCTAGAGCAGGCCACGGGCATAGACAGAGAGTTCTTCCGCGCTATCTCTTGTGGTGCTCAGCTTCCCTCTAACCGGTGTTTTGGATAGGTGGTTTGGAGCTCAGGGGTGGTTTCCGATGTACTCCATACAAGAGCCAGGGGTTCAAATCCTAAAACCACCAATCCAAATCACCAAGTAGGGTTCCCTGATCTGTGGCTGCTCCAAAGTAGTGTTAGCAACCACAAAGCCAGCGAGTCTGCGGTCACCTGGGTCCCCAGTCTTGAGCCCCACCCACATCCCAGAAGACGTACGCTTCTGTTGCTCCACACCTGGCTGTGGGTCAAAACCAATGATACCATGTTGGGGTAGGTGCACCACCCATTTAATTCTTTTTTTTGTGGGGATTGGGATGTTCACTGGGGGTACGGGCTTTTGGCCCATGGCCACCCACATCCCAGAAGACGTACGCTTCTGTTGCTCCACACCTGGCTGTGGGTCAAAACCAATGGTACCATGTTGGGGTAGGTGCACCACCCATTTAATTCTTTTTTTTTTTGTGGGGATTGGGATGTTCACTGGGGGTACTGGCTTTTGACCCATGGCCACCTACATCCCAGAAGACGTATGCTTCTGTTGCTTGACTTTGCGTCTAAATTCAAGAACAAATGAGCAAAAGGGAATTGGAGATACTCCTGGATCGGCTGGATGGCCAGTCATTCAGCCATGCAAATAGGGATCGAGAGAAGTGTAAGATGATGCGCTGCAAGAGAAACGACGGAGGACTATTTTCAAACGTATCGCATGATCCACAGAGCAAGCAAGATGGCAATAACATGTGCAAGCTGTGGAAAGAGCCTGCGTTAAAATGATCCACTTGTTCTACAAGTGCGACAATGAGGGTTCTCGGAGCTTTTTGGCATGTTAGGCTGGTCTTAAAACTATGGGAGCACCAAAACGCTTTCCTTTGGCCTCCCTAAGCCAATCCAAAGAAGCTTCTCTCTCGCAACAAACAAACACACGCGCACATACTGGTGTTGGCATGAGGGAAAGGAGTCAGGCAACGTTAGTCAACCTGCTGGCTTACTTTTTGGGTGTTCCCCAAACAGGCGTGTCTGTTTTTTTTCGGTGACCTTTCAACATGGTGGTTTGGTTTTGGTTTGCCAGAAAAACACACTCCAAACGGGGGCCAAACCAGGCTAAAAGTTTGATTTTTGTTGGCACGATCAGCCGATCTTAGCAGTGGTTGGGTTAGAATGAAAGCACTGTGGTTGTCCTTATTATTTCTAGCACAGGAATGCCCAATCGACGGTCGTTAAACGCTTATGAACAGAAGCAGTTGTTCGGGGCGTGCTTGGCACAAAACACTTCAACCAGGGCTACATCTTCTTGGAACTCGGTCAGCTTCGAGGCCAACACTTCCTGAACAAGCATGGGCTCCCTCAAGCAATTTGCCGCCCTCGCCCCAGCCGCCCCTTTCGAGGGGCGCTGATTTATAGGCGAAGGCGGCGGCAGGAGACTACACTTCCTCAGAAGGCGCCGGCATCCCCGTGCGCTGTGCACGCGTGCAAGCCCGTGAAGGGGTCATTGGAACCACCTGGCGGGTCCTTGGGCGGTCCCCAAAATGGCCTCAACCGAGCCCTGGTTCACAAAAATGAGCGGTCAAAATGGGTACCAAGGGAACCACAAGTGACATTCCCTTCTTGGAATCGGGGCGTTTGGGCAAATTGGCGGGAGTGACGCCTGATACAGTCGGGAATTTTGCCAGTTCAGAGGGGTTGAGGGTGGCCATTGAAGAACATGTGGCTGATCAAAAGGTCCCTCTTTTACATGGGGCCCATTGGTTGGAAAACAAAATCAAAAGGGATACGACGTTTTGCCACATGGGAAAAGTTACCTATGGTCAAAACTGGGCGAAGGGAAGATTTGTCAATCCTTTTGTGTGTGGCTGGAAGGTGTGGTTTTTCAACATTGGGTGCGGACATGAGTCCTCTTGATTCTTTCCACTTGGGCTCCTTGAATGCCAGGTTTTAAGTTAACATTATGACTTCTATGGTGCCCTCTTGTGGTTCGCCAGCAGCAGAACCACCTGGATCAAGCGCCAGCCAACCTTTGACTCATTCACCACCAGGTGCTGTGCCAGGTTTCCTTTTGTGTCCCCGCGGGGTGCCCGCCCCGAAGAGAGGATGCAACTTGACGACTACGTGCTTCACATCGGGTTGTGTTGCAGAGGAACCACCAAAGTCGGGTTCGTTCGTTCGTGGGGGAAATGGCAAAACGAGTGGGTTTCTTTTGGTTGCTCTTTGACACCAAAGAGGTAGCCTCAAAGGAAGACTCGCCCGGGCTTTGTTTTGATTTCCACCGTTCAACAGGTTCCAACACACGGGTTCCGATCGACTGCACCCAAGGACTGCCCATTTGTTACAACCCAATTGAACTTGAATCTACTTTAAGCCACCCCAGCAATTGGATCTCGGCTTACCCTTAAATGGGTCTTTGGGATCGGTGTCTTAGCCGTTTGACTCAATCGCACTGGTTCTTGTGGATGGTAAATTGGACAAATTCTCAAACTAGCCCCCGCCCCCCCCAAAAAAACAACAACAACAAAAAGCAAAACAAAAAGAGAGATTGGAAGCTACATGTTGTAAACCAACCCCCCAAAAAGGCCTTCCAACAAGCCGCCCGGAAGCTGAGCTTCTGGCTGCCAGGCCTCAAAGAGGCCGAGAAGCTCCTTCAGCCTCAGCTCACTGCGCTTGCAGAGGTGGGCTGAGGGATCTGGAATGGGGATCTGAGGAACATGACATGGGTTTCGGCTTCACATATATATATATATATATATGTGCATGCGTGCGTGCATACATACACACATGCATACAGACAGACAGACAGACAGACAGACAGACAGACAGACAGACAGACAGACAGACAGACAGACAGACAGACAGACAGACAGACAGACAGACAGACAGACAGACAGACAGACAGACAGACAGACAGACAGACAGACAGACAGACAGACAGACAGACAGACAGACAGACAGACAGACAGACAGACAGACAGACAGACAGACAGACAGACAGACAGACAGACAGACAGACAGACAGACAGACAGACAGACAGACAGACAGACAGACAGACAGACAGACAGACAGACATGACACATACATACATACATACATACATACATACATACATACATACATACATACATACATACATACATACATACATACATACATACATACATACATACATACATACATACATACATACATACATACATACATACATACATACATACATACATACATACATACATACATACATACATACATACATACATACATACATACATACATACATACATACATACATACATACATACACATATACATACATGCATGCACACATACATGCATGCATGCATACATACATACACACATACATCCATCCATACATCCGTACATAACATAATTAACATAACATACCATACCATAACATAACAGAACATAACATACATACATAACATTACATAAATTCTCAGTGCATTACATTACATTACACTACATTACATTACATTACATTACGCTACACTACACTACACTACACTACACTTCACTACGCTACACTACATTACATCACATTACATTACATCACATTACATTACATTACATAGATACGACGCACGTACGTACGTACGTACGCACGTACGTACGTACGTACCTACATACATACATACATAACACAACACAACACACCACAACACAACACAACACAACACAACACAACACACCACAACAAAACACAACACAACACAACACAACATAGCATAACACAACACAACATAACATGACAATACATAACAGCATAACATAGCATGACATACATTACATTACACTACACTACATTACGGTACATTACATTCCATGGCATTGCATTGCATTTTATTGCATTGCATTACATTACATTACACTACACTACACTACACTACATTACATCACATTACATTACATTGCATTACATTATATTACATAGATACGTACGTACGTACGTACATACATACATACATACAGACATAACATAACATAACATAACATAACATAACATAACATAGCACACCACAGCATACCACAACACAACACAACACAACATAGCATAACATAACACAACACAACAAAACATACCATACCATAGCATTGCATACATTACATTACACTACACCACATTACATTACATTACATTCCAGTGCATTGCAATGCATTGCATTGTATTACATTACATTACACTACACTACAGTACACTACACTACACTACATTACATTACATTACATTACCTAGATACGTACGTACGTACGTACATACATACATACCTGCATACCACAATAATTACGTGTTGTTCTTTTTTGGTAGGGGAGCGAAGCAACGGTGCCCTTTGCCCCGCGCGGGGAGAACTTGGAACCGGTTCCAAGGCCATGAAGCAGCTCACAGATGCCCAGCCTGGCGCTGAGCCAGGGATTTGGCGAGACGGGCTGAAGAAAACTCGTTTTGGTTGGTTGGTTGCTGCATGAGCAAGGGGGGCTGCAAACATCAAAACACGGTTTTGGGGTTGGTTGGTTGCTGTGAGAGAAAGGGGTTGCAGATAGCAAAGCGGCTTTTTTTGTGGCCGATCCACCGGCATTGATCCAAAGGCGGGAAAGCGGCTATGCTGGATGGTTTGAGCATCCTCCGAGGTTGGCGGTTTCATACATCCCTCATGCTCGCGTGATGCCTGCCAAAGGGTCCGTTTCTATCGAACATGAATCCCCAACACTGTCGTACCCAGGGTTCCACAGGGTAGACTTAAATTCAGGGGTGGTTCATCCCCTCAAAAGGAGAAGCCCTGGGATTCAGTCCATCTTGGGGTAGTCGAAAATCCAAGACCCGAACTCCGGCACCGCCGCAGCTCGGCCGAGCTGGCACCGAGGCGAGCTGGCAGCAATGCCGAGACCCAGAGGCAAGTCCAGCAGATGAGGCCGATGGCAGATGGGGGACAGACGCATTTTTTGGCACATTTCTAAGGGTACCTTCCATTTCCATTCTTTCCAGGGATCCGAATCTTTTCAGGAAGCCATCAAAACCCAGGGGAAAAAGCCGGTTTTGAAAAGAATGATGGTTGAAAAGAATGGGGAATCAACCCCTAGAACATTGATCACCGTCTGGTTGATTTTTTGATTGGGTGCCCTCATGTTTCGTGTAGATGCTTCGTCTTTTGGGGAACAACCGCTCAATCACCACCTTGACCTAACCATCCCCAACCTTGACACCACCTCCGTGATGCCTCAGTTCTCTCCCCTTGCGTACTACTTACTGGAACCCACCCTGGAGTCGGCAACCTTACGCTTCACCAACATGAATTAGGTTTGGGATAGGACACTCAGCACAACCTTCGAGGCTTCAGCAGAATGAGGCTTCAGCAACATCAACTATCAATTACAGGGTCACTTGTAGATATTGGTTTGTGGGGGCCTGTCCAAACCATACATAGGCGCAGATATCCGTCCTTCTAATTTTTCCCCAACAGCTGAAAGCTTTGGGGTCTCAGCCCAGATAGGCTCCGGGGTGGTCTGGGGCGGCCCTTACCTCATTCCACCACGAGGGTTCCACCAGCGTTCCACCAGGGTTTCACCAGGGTTCCACCAGGGTTCCACCAGGGTTCCACCAGGGTTCCACCAGGGTTCCACCAGGGTTCCACGCGGCCGCGAGCACTAAAAAGAGCATTGGAAATATCACCTGAGCTTATTCGCATGTTTTTGGGTCTCTTAAAGTGGACATTTTGAGGGTGGTGGTCTCAAACCTACTCTTGGGGTGGGAGCTCCCTTTGAACCGCCAGAGATGTCTTACTAAAAATGGGCCCAAGTAGACCCGCCCTGTTTTTGGCGACACAAACAAGCTCACCGCGCGGCCAGCACGTGCACATGCGTGAGCGCGCTGCGAGGTCTGGCTTGCAGGCGTTGATGAGTTCCATCAACGTGGAGCTGGGGAAAGTCCGCAGCTCCAAGATGAAGGCACGGTGATTCGGCGGTCAAACATATGGGCGTGTCTTTCTACGGGAACCCACCAAGATGGTGGTTTTCTTTTTTTGTTAACCACACAAAAGAAACCTTTCAAATAGCAACACGCTCATGTAGGTGTTTCTCAAAATGGGATTCGGACCCACTTGTGGTTGGTGTTTAAAGGGACATACTTGAACAAGTTTTTGAAAAAGGAACCTCTGCTTTGAGAAACACCCATATGCCGCCGATCTCTCCCGCCTTTTTAAGGTGATACCCTCCCATCAACTAACATGGAACTTGACACGGGGTCCCTTTGAAGGGAAAATGGTCCAAACAAGTTGAAGCAACCCCCCGGACTCCTTCCAATGGGCTATGGATCCATCGGCCTGCTCCAATTGCCGCAGGCGGAACAGTCCGAAAAGCAGAAAGCTTTGGAAGAGCGCGACATGGCCGTTTTCCAGGAGGCGGCGGAGATGTTTTTCTTTTCGGAGTGAATCTGAGGAACCAGAAATCTTCAATTTCGACAATGCCGAACTTGGTGCTTGTATGTAGTGCATACATATTATATATATACATATATATATATATATATATATATATGTATATATATATATATAAGTATCTGATCCAGGTCTGCACACCTCCCCCCCCAAATCTATCTATGCTATCCGGGTGCCCCTCCTCCCCCCTCGGCAGTTGGTAGTATTGGTTTGGTTTGGTTTTGTTTGGTTTGGGTGAAAGAAACATGTTCAGGTTGGCTTGTTTCGAGGCGGGTGACGCTTGGATTAGGATTGGTTGGTTTGGGGTTAGGTTGGCTTAGGGCTGGTTTACGGCTCTTTTAGGGCTGGAAGGCTTGGTTTAGGGTTGGTTTATGGCTGGAGTTGGTTGGCCTAGGTGGTTGCTTTGGAGTTGATTTAGGGTTGGTTTAGGGCTGGTTGAGGTGGGTTTAGAAGGTTGGCTTGGGCGGGCTTCGGGTGTGGTGTACAGTTGGTTTTGGTGGGTTTCGGGTTTGTTTAAGGTCGGTTTAGGGTTGGCTTAAGCCTAGTGTCGTTGGGACCCGGTGGGTTTCGGTGGTTTTAGGGGCGGTTTATTTGGGGTTGAGGGTTGGTGTGGGTTAAAAATCTTGGGTTCCGGCAGTTGGTTGGGTGATTTAGGGGTGGGTTTAGGGGTGAGGTTAGTTGGCTTGTCCTGGGTGGTTGCGGCTTAGCACCACTGTGAGATCACAGTGGGAAGCGTCTGTGGAAAAGCGCTGCCGTGCGAGGATGTCATGCTGTCTTGCCCGCGGTTCGCGACTGGCACTTTTCTTGGGCCACTGAGGGGCGCTTGTCAAGGTGGAGGAGCGATGACGTTGCCCGCCCGCCCGCCCGCCCGCCTGCCGCCGCCCGCCCGAACGTGCACGCCCCCGCGCGCGCATGCGTGCACTCGCTCGCTCACGCCCTCCCTCCCTCCCTCGCTCGTTGGCTCGCTCATGTATACATGTATTTGTATACTGTGTACATGCAGTTGTAAACGGGGGTGGGCATCATCGTGTGCTCGCAAAGCGGTCAGGTTCTGCCGGAGGCTGTTAGCAAGGCGAACGCAGCCGAGGCCGCGATGTGTTGCGCCAGGGAATCAAGCGCAGAGTCGTTTCTGCAAAGCGTGCAAACAGAAAGAGCAAGCAGTGCTTGTCGGTGTGTGTATTTTGGTTGAATTGTGTGTGTGTGTGTGTGTTTTCTGTTTTGTGTGTGTGTGTGTGTGTGTATGTGGGGGGGGGGTGGGGGGGGGCAAGATTCCGCTTTGATCTGGCCTTCTTGCCTGTCACATGACGGAGCAACAGGACGCCAGTTAGAGAGCCGTCGTTGTAGGAACACCCTCATGGGGCTTGAAAGGAAGGCCAAAGGTACACACTCTTTTTCAGGGGACAGGCAAAGGACAGCTTCTGAAAACTTGTGGCTCAGTTTTGGGGTTCCTTCAGAACCCCATCCGAAAAGTGACCGGACTAGTGAGGCCAAGGCCCGGCCAGTTTGGCGATTTAGCCCCCAGCCATGGTTTAATCACTGGGCGCCCGTTTTTCTTCAACCTCTATTTTTTTCTTCTCAAACCCCCCTAAGCAGTTGTTTTCAATCACAATGGCTTCCAACGCCACTGCAAGTTATCACGATCTCGGGCCAGAGCTCCCGCCAGGTCCTTTACTTCTGAATCACGTGCCCGGGTCGGAAACCGGGCGCTCATTTTCTCGACGTGTGGGAATGACACTGTAGGCCTTGCTGGGTCCCAAGGAAGTTGCGCAGCGAACCTTTGTTGGTGAAAGAACATGTCACCACCCTCCAGCGACTCATCTTCTTCCCCCCCTCTAAGCATAGCCTTCTTCGAAGCATCTCCCACATCCAAATGGGGACGTGGTGGTTGAAGCCAAGCTGTTGAAACGATCCCCTTTTGGCAGGGCTCCTTAAACGAACGATACATTTTGCCCATTTGAAACATGGCTTTTCCACCAAAATACAGGGAAACCACCATTTACAAGGCAATGTTCAGGTGCATAATGTAAGGATCCCTGTTTGGCTTCGCTTGAAAGGGAGCAAGGACAGCGGAGCGAGCACCAGGACGCTGTGGAGAAGGCGGTCATCACCTCCGAGATGATCGCGGCAGGGGGCGACGACTTGGACGAAGTGCGCCAGGCGACTTGGGCTGTAGGGGGGGGGAGTCGAAGGTGGAGGGGAAGGGTGGAAAGGGGTGGAATGGGGTGGAAAGGGGTTGAAAGGGGTGGAAAGGTGTGGGGTGTGGTCCCCCCGGTTGGGAGCCCGGTGTTTGGTCGGAGGCAAACAACCCCAAACTGACAGTCAGCGGGTGGAATCGTGTCTCAGTTCCCTCCAAGACAACCCCGACCTTTTAGCTTGATTAGGGCGCCTTCCCCCCCGCCCCCTGCCCCCAAATTCTGAGACACGAGCTTTGGCCGGAGATTTTTTTTCTCCCCGAAGTCGCGAGATCGCAGGCCGTCGGCGCCACCGAGCAGGCGTGCGGAGGGTGGGCTCCGGGGAGAGGGGTATGGCAGCTGCGGAGAGCTTTGTGCCAAATGGCCATGGGTCAAAACCCAAATCGGTTAGCCCCCAGTGAACATCCGATGGGTGGTGAATTCACCTACCAACCAAAATGGGATCCCAAAGCGTTTTTGTTTTTTTTCTTTCTTCAGTAGTAACGGTTTAGTGAAACATGGCCAACACACATTTTTGGGTACAGGCTTGAATGGATCTCAAATTTGCAGTGCTCAAAACACCCATTGGCCGGCTTCGTCGGGGGGTTCCACTACCACATATATATATATATATATCTATATCTATCTATGTATATATAAATATATAAAGAAAAATGTACATGCACATGTAGACATATGTATATAGCTATATATGTAGACATATATATGTATATGTATATACAGATATACACACCTCTATAGCCATCTTGGCCGCTCAAATGGATTGCTTCGAGGCGGTACAGGAAGCACAGAAGGCCATGGGCGAAGCCCGTATCTTCCTGAACGCCAAGCAGGCGAGCGCTAGGCCCGGCACTCAGACGCTTGACACGGTTGAAGAGCCGTGCGCTTGAAGGAAAACGGATCCAAAGCCAAAACCAGCCGCGGCAGGGCGAAGCCCATCCAACGCCCATCGAAGCTATTCTTGAGGAAACCAAAAGCCTAAGGAAGCGGGAGCCCAGGAAAGGCTAGATCTGTAGTTCTTGGAAGGATCCTGAGAAGCATGGTGGTGGTGGTGGGGGGTTGGGGTTAAGGGGCGGGCCGGAATGATGAGCCTTACTGGGAAGGCTGATTGGTCATGGGTTTTTGGTGAGTTGGGAATCTTTTTCGGGACAAGCTTTGGACGCCCCACTTGTTGCGTAGCTCCACTCACTAGTTGAAAGCGACTTCCCAGTAATCCCTGGGATTACGCCCTCTGGAGAATCACCCTATTCTAGCCTATTTAGAGATAGAACCTGGTGTTTTGTTTATTTGGGGGATTATGTTGCAGTTTCCCCAGGGTGTAATCCCAGATTTTTTGTAGAAAAAGCCTTGGACACTTGGTTTGACCGAAGGATGTCTCCAGCTTCACTCTGGCTGTTGCCTTCTTCAAGCGCTTAGTTGGCCATGGGTCAAAAGCCAAATCGTACCCCCAGTGAACATCCCAATCCCCACCAAAATAGGTTCTAAAATGGGTGGTGCACCGAAACCCCCCAAAATGGGATCCCATTGGTTTTGACCCGCAGCCAAATGGCAAGACAGGCCGTTTTTGTTCTCCTCCTTTTTTTTTTTCTTCTTCCGATAGTAGCGGTTGAGTGGGACATGGCCCACACACATTTTTGGGTACAGGCTTGAATGGGTTCAACCAGTTCCCAGGGCTTCATATCGACCCATGGAGTCCTGGGCAGACGTCGCTGCATCTCTGCCCGTGCAGCTGGACTCTCCCCTGGAGCTGCGTCTGCGCTCGGGGAAAGTGCAGGACGATGCGGGCAACGTGCTCCCCTTCGCAATGACACAGGTGCAAGCGCTGATGCCAGACTGAACTCACTTGGGAATTCTTAAACCCCTAGGTTTCCTTTCCATCTCCCTTTGGCCTAGCACGCGGCTCAATTTTCTTTGCAGCATCTAAGTCTTCCTCGATTTCCCTTCTTCATCAGCAAGCAAAGTGGGCGCTTGTCGCGGGGCAGTCAACGCTTCCCTGGATTTCCCATGGTTAAACAGCGCGCCGAGTGCTCGCTTGGGGCGGGGTTTTCCGGTTTTGGGGTGAGGAAGCAGGACCCCACTCTGACCGCCACGAGCTTCGGGTATGTCACGGCCGAGTATACCCTGGGGCCCTCTGACACGGAGCCCTTGATCCCGGGCCTGACGTATCTGCCAGACTTCTTGAGCGAAGAGGAGGAGCGGCAAGTCTTGGCCGAGGACAATGGGCACAACATGTCACCCCCGGTTTGTTGGCCTAAGGGGGGGACCAGGCTCAAACTGAGAGATGTTCAAATCACGTTTCCCGCCACGTTCTTGCGGGCATGCGCTGATCACTGTTCTCCTACTCACAAAGATGAGCATTATAGTTGAGTTGCCTGAGCTTGGCTATTCTGCTGGGTGCAACAAACGACCATGCTCTGTTTTTGTTTTCCCTCACAAGGCTTCGGCTCAAGGCTTCGGCACCCCGTGAGGTGGACGGGGATTGGGATGATGGGAACAAATCCCGGCGCACCAAGCAGTATGGCTACGGCTTCCATTGGAGGAATCGCCACTCCAACGCGCTGGCGCCCCTGAGACCTCCCCGCGACCAGATGCCCGCGAGCTGCCACGCTGTGCTGGACCGGCTGAAAAAGCAGGGTCACATCCCAGACGCGCACTTCCACCAGTGCAGTCTTGGTTGCTCTTATGGGGCTGTGTTTTGTTGAGGGTACCTTTTTTTGTGGTTTTGAAGGCAAAATAACAGGACAACCCCACCATGTTGAGCCTTGAACCTTTGGCTTTCTTTTCTCAGAGCAACAAAACAACAAACACCTCCCCCACTAACCATCAAAGGGTTTCACGCGTTGGTACCGAACTAACCCTCAAAGACCTTTGCGAACACGACCATTTCCCTAGGGAGCCGCGGCGATTTTCATTTTGCAGTCAGTTCCGAGGCATTGTCAACGACTACCTGGGGGGGCAAGGGATCAAGCCGCACCGGGACCGGGAGTTCTTCGGGGAGGTGGTGCTTGGGATGTCCTTGCTGGAGCCAACGGTCATGGACTTCAAGTCGGGTGGGGAGGTCCGTGCGCTGCTGCTGGAGCCGAGATCGGTTCTGATCCTTGAGGGTGAAGCCAGGCGATGGGATCAAACCGAACAGTGAGCAAATGGAAGTTGTTGGAGTCCAGCCCCACGGGGGATTGATTCTGAAGACCTTGGAGAGGATGGGTTCTTCAACCCCTCGCTGTAAGATCCCTCACAGGGTTAGGCGCCCTGGTCCGCTCCCAACTGGCACAGGTGGTCCTGGCAGCACGGGATCACGGGAGCGCCCACGTTGCTCTACCGGGGCGCCTTGCTGCAACGCGGACGCCGCACGTCTTTGACCTTCCGCACCATCATGGATGAGTCTGTGATCACCCAAGATCCATCGGACGCTTAGCCTCGGAGCCGTGGTGGCCATGTGAGCGGTGCCCACACACACCGGAAGGGCCATAGGGGTGGTTCTATTGCTTGGTTAGGTTGTTGTTATATGAAAGCCTATATAAATCATTGTAGCCATGTTGGTAGAGCCAAACGTCATTTGCGTTTGATCCTCGCTCCTGTGCGAAAGCTGCCCTTGAGAAGGGATCCGTCTAGGCCAAGTCCACTGATCAACTGATTTAGGCATGTACAGACTGTGTCTAGCATGTACAGCTTTTGATGCGACCAAAGAGTACCTGCTTGCTGCCTTGGAACTGATGTGTACCCGGTTTTGGGATTGTTAAATGGAAGCCAACAGGAAGCAGGATTTTTGTTCTCCGGGTGGGGAGGTGTAAGGGGTTCCCTTTAAAAAGGCACGCCCATATCAAATCGTCTATGGAATTTCAGAGCATAGGGGACTTACTCACGGGAATCCCCTCAACGGAAGGAGCCATAGCTCGCTGGTTCGGGGGTAAAGCGAGCTTGCCCTGGTAAGTCCTTGGGGAGTTATTGTAGAGTTGGATCACTAAAGGCCCCCCCCCCCAACCCGAAATGGTTCATTTGATTTGCAGGGCTTATTTTGACCGCGGCGTTTGCGACAAACCGCCAGGCGCTATGAAAGCGACAAGGTGAAAGCCAAGGCACATGGTTGAGAGCTTTCAAGGTCGAGGCTCAGAAGCCTATGGAAAGGCTGTGATTTACAGTAAAAGGTGGCTGTAAAGCGACAAAGGGACAACCACCTTTTTTTTTGGGGGGCCCCCAAATTGAAGCACGCAAATCGATGTTGCTTCTTTCTTTTCCGGCTTTCTGTGAGTTGCCAAGGGAATTTCTTGCGAAGTGAATTTTGGGAAGTCATCGGGTTGGCCCACTATGGTATCACGGAAAGTGAAAAAACATCCACATAAATGCAGAACCCATGCAGTACAGATACTGCGACCACAAAGCCTAAAGGCTCGTCGGTCAAAAAGGGGCCATCCACGGTTCTGGGGGCTCCTTCGGGGTTGACATCTGTGGCGATGGTCGAAAGACCTGCAAGATCTCGGGGTCCTTGGGATGGTCATGGACCAGCATTGCAAGGGTTCCTACTATGGAAGTTCCCCGCGGATTCAGAGTGATGGCCCATTTTGGTCTATGGTAGGGAGCCCGTTGACTAGTTGCTGTACTGCCGGACGTTCAAACAGCTGCAACCTCTCAACTGCACAGCAGGGCAGGCCCTGGGAACCCTTTCCGGAGCAAAAAAACGACCTCACGCGAGCTTTTTGTTTTTTTGGTTGGGACTCCCGTACCCCCGTGGATTCTCTTCACATGGCCGCTTGGCGATCGGCCCCGGCGAAAGCGAGCGGCAGAGGCCATTTTTTCGGGCGTCCTCCGAGCCTTTGGCGCCGGTTCGAAGCGTGAAGATCCCGGGAAGCTGGGCTCCGTGGCTCCAGTTCCGGGGGCCTTTTTTTTTAATAAGTGGCGCAAAAAAGGGGGTACCAACTCCAAACCAAAAGAAATTCCCGGCTCCAGTTCCGTTCCAAAGCTCCCTGCTCTGACAGCATGCCGGATCAGGTTGAAGACCTTCCCCCCACACAAGTTTGGCAAATGGATGTGGCTCAAAATTCAACAGCTGGGGCAAAGCGCAGGTTTTGGTCCAGGTTTCCACTTACCAGGGCAACCCATTTTGGGTACCAAAATTTGAGCCACAGCCAAATCTATTTGGCAGCCAGGCTGCGCAAGAGTTGGGCCAGCTGCAGGCCCAGCTTCAAGAGGCGACACCGGTTGAGGTTTCGGAGGTTTCGGAGCGGTGGGATTTGGGGAGTTTGGGTTTCCCACGGTTCCGCTTGTTGTGCCTCAAAGTTCAAGAGAGGGACCCTGGGTATTTTCGTCTTTGCCCCATTTGCCAGGCTTCCGAACTTCGGGAGAATAGTTTTGAGCCACTGTGTAGAAACAACGCAATGCAATTGGTGAATGGCGGTTGGATATCCCGCCCTTTTCATTCATGGGTTTGGGTGGGTGTATCCTTTTTTTCTTTTTTCATTTCCGGGGACCCCCAACATGCTCGGGCGCCTCGAAAAAACGCTGCCCTCAGAGGTTTGGACACAGCCCTTTACCAGCCTCCGAACTTCCGGGCCAGGCCCAGCAAAAGCTGAACCCGCTGAAGAACGTGCGGCAGGACCGTGATCCGCAGATCCAAAGCGAACCCTTTGGCTGTTTCGTTTGAAAGGTAGAATGACTACCTGGAGTCTCCACGACCCTTTAACAATGGGTCAATGACCCCATTAGTTTGGGTAATGACCCCATTTTTTAAGGGTCATGGAGACTGCAGGTATGCCCTAGAGGGCTATAAACTGGTACAAGTGTAGATGGACGAAATATTCGAACCTTATATCAATTATAACACCGGCAGGAACAAAGTTCAATGAGCGTTTGTGAAGGATGCATGCGAGTGGACTCATCAGCTGACTTAGGGAACCCCTTTGCGCAACATTGAACTTTGGGGCTAAGGGGGGTGACACTGTAAAGTTATACAGGGTTTGATTATTTTGTCCATCTACTGTAGGAACACGGCTGGGTATCTGTAGGGTATCTGGGATCTGGGATTGATTCCATTGCTAACAGTTGGACATGCAAGAACCAGATTGTCCCCTTTTGGATTGGCAACCAAAACGGAGGTACTTTAAACACTCGTGAAGCGCTGCTTAGACAAGCCTGGTGCTCTTGCACCCAAGCCTGGTGCTCTGCACCCAAGCCTGGTTCTCTGCACCCAAGCCTGGTTCTCTGCACCCAAGCCTGGTGCTCTGCACTCAAGCCTGGTTCTCTGCACCCATCCGAGTTTTCTTGTTTCCCGCTGTGGAAGGATCACTGGGTCCTCGTACAGCCAAACTGATGGGCACCGCTTCCCCGCAGTCACCACTGTGGCCTGACGTGTCAACCTGGGGCAAGTCAGAATTTGCGGTGGGTTTCCGCGGGGATTCCAAGAAGAGCCTTAAAATGGACCACTAGGTGACTTTCATCGTAGCTATCCATGAGGCCGGTCCTTGGAAGCACTTTTCACTTGTTGAAAGACTTGCAACCTGCACGATTCGGGCGTTCCTCGAACTGGGACATGTTCTTCCCCTAAAATGGAAAGGGTGCCCTTGTGTTCTTCCTTCAACTACCAACTAAAAAGGGAGGCGTCCGCCATTGTGGACTCCCACTGCGTGATGTGTGCGGATTGTCTTTCAGTGACATCTCGCACCATTTCGACGGCCGCCGTTCACGGATCAAATCTTAAACACACACCCTAGGAGCTTTAGCCCTGAATATGAGGGCTTTGGACCCCCCCAGACCGCTGCTTTCCGCGTGCCTGCCATGCGGTCTTTCTCGGACTCGGAGCGCAGGAGTTCGTTCAGAGAACCGCAGCGCAGAAGATTATGCAGGAGGTGCTCGAGAAGCTCTCACCCGCCGAGGCGGCTCTGAAGGTTTTATCAAAGGAGTTCTTGGGTGCATCCTTCGTCGACTATAAGCGGGCAGTTGGTACCCGTTTTAGGGGCTAGGCGCGTAAACGGATGGAATATCCACGAAAGACAAATCTCAAGCATTTTGTTTTCAGCATGGGTACCCGATTACAGCTTCTATCCTATGGGAACACTCTTGCTCTGAGCCCTCAACGAACACTGCATGTTTTTTTTTTTTTTTTTGGGGGGGGGTTGGGGGTTGGGGGGTGGGGGTTGGGGGTTGGGGGGTGGGGGTTGGGGGGTGGGGGTTGGGGGTCCACTTTTTTATTCTAAAGAAAAGCCCAATCAACAACGCTTGGTTAGAAGCGAAGCCTTACTGCGTTATATCGAGCCCGACCAGAAAGGTGACTGCACCTGATGTTTCGGCCAGTGAGTTTTTGGAAAGGCCAATGCTTGGCGATGAAAGTTATCAACCTCATGGGGGTAAAACCACGACTCTGTCACTGACCATGTCAGTCCACCAACGAGTTTCTGGGTGTGTCGTTTTGTCGGGTCTCCTGTTCTTTCTTCTGGTTCCAGAGGGAAACCAAAAGGAACACACCAAATATAAATAAACAACAGATACCACCAAACAGGATACCAAAGAACACTTATTTGGTTTTTGTTCTTCTGGTTCCAGAGGGAACCAAAAGGAGCACTGAGGCCTTTTTGGGTCTGAGGTGGATGTGGACCGGGCAGAGGAAGCCACCGAGATGCTGAAGCACGAGGGCTTGTCCAAGGAGTCCGTCCGGTCGTAGGGCGGGGGGGATGGGGTGGGGTGGGGTGGGGTGGTGTGGGGTGGGGGGTCTTGAGACCAGAAATGGGTGGCTCGCCTTTACCCGTTTTGGCCTTTGAACCCAAAAGTTTGACACTAGTTTGGTAGGGATCAGAAGGATTAGCTTCCGGCTTCAGTTGTCAAGTCGTAGCACATTGCTTGCAGGGAATGAGGGCATGCCGCCTATAAACCGTCCCTGGTTTCCTTTAAGGGTCCCGACCCTTCGGTTCATTCAACCACATCCCCTACCTATGGCAGCAAGATTGCTATGATCGCAAATGAACTTCGGAGAAGTCCAAAGCGGATCGGACTTTGATCCAGCTTCCAGGCCCAGAGTTTGAGACAGAGCCAAGGCGCGCTCCTGGCTTAGACGCGGCGTTTGGTGCTGAAAGCCCACCGTCTCCATGCGCAGGAGTTGATGGTGCAAGCGCAACAAGCAGTGGCCAAGGCGGCTGTGCTTCATTTGGATGTGTGGCATTCACAGGGTTCCATATTACTTCTCCTTTTTGGGTGGGTTTAGGTTTAGGCACTTCTTGGTTGCCCACTTCAAGTGAGTTTCATTTTCTGTCGAGTGGCTTCTTCAGTTAACCTCATCCGGAAAAGGGACCCGTTGGCTGCCATTTTGGTTGGCGGAGTGCATGAAGTGCCAATTGCCCATGTCACGGGAGCTTCCTTTCGGTTGGTGGGGTTCATTTGGTCCTTGAATCGACTGCTAGGCGGGCGACCACATCGGCGCGGTCATGCGCTTTATCGAAACCAAGAAGAAAACCGCTGTAGGCGCGCAAGCGCAGTCCACTGGCTGGGAAGCCACACCCAGTAGGGCTCTTTGAGTTGGTGGTGCTGCTCTGGCTCAAATGGATTGATAGTATGGCCTATACAATCGTTTATAAGCTGCTCATTTGAGCCTCGGACTTGTTGCAGCCTTCCCACTGAAAAACACACGGATTCCAACAAGAGTTTCTTTCAGGGTTCCATCCCAAACTGCGGGAGGTGTGTGTGTGTGTGTGTCCCAAAATAGGGGAGACCCAATAGGATTTCGGAGTGCTTTCCCAAAAGAAACACCCGAAGCCGACACCCTCGCATGGTGTCCCTTTAAAGCAACCCAAAGTGAGCCACTTGCTCAAAACCCGGGTAGATGAAGGTTAGCAAGGGACAATCCCAACCATCAATAGCTGTGGCGCCTTTGGGATTCTTTTCCATGGCTTTTGGGTGCACAATTCAATAACGGGTTTTGATGACAGTGGGAATCTGCCGAGCCTGAGACCGGCCTAGCAGACATGACAACCGTTTTTCAGGTTTTGAGTAACTACAGGATAACCATGGAAGGGAATGAAAGGGAATGAAAGGAAAATGAAAGGAATTTGAGAGGAAAACAAGTGGACGGGAATGAAGGAAAATGAAAGGACAACGACAGGAATATGAAAGGAAAACAAAAGGACATTAAAGGACCATGGACGGGAATGGACGGGAATGGACGGGAAAGGACTGGAAAAGACGGGAGTGGAGGGGAATGAAGGAACATGACGTGAATGAAGGAAATTCCAGAAAATGAAAGGAAAATGAAAGAAACATTGATTGGAATGGACAGGAATGGACGGGAGTGGACGGGAATGAAGGAAACTGAAAGGAAAATGAAAGGAAAATAAAAGGACAATGAAAGGACAATGAAAGGACAATGAAAGGACAATGAAAGGACAATGAAAGGACAATGAAAGGAACATGAAAGGACTATGGACGGGAATGGACGGGAATCCCGTCCATTCCCGTCCATTGTCCTTTAAATTCCTTTCACTTTCTTTTCACGTCCATTTCATTTCCTTGCATTTTCTTTCATGCTCCTTTCATTTCCTCTCATTTCCTCTCATTTTTTTCTCCATTCAGTGTCCTTTCATGTTCCTTTCATTCCGTCCTCTCCCGTTCAACTCCCATCCATTCCCGCCCATTGTCCTTTCATTTTCCTTTCATGTTCCTTTCATTTTCCTTTCATTTTCCAATTATTTTTCTTTCATTTTCCTTTCATTTTCCATTTAATATCTTTCAACTTCCTTCATTCCGTCCGTTCCCATCCACTCCCATCCTTCCCGTCCATTGTCCTTGATTTCCTTTCATGTTCCTTTCATTTTCATTCATTCCCGTCCACTCGTTTTCCTCTCATATTCCTTTCATTTTCTTTCATTTTCCTTCTATTTTCCTTCATTCCCCGTTCTCACGCACTCCCGTCTTTCCCGTCCATTCCCGCCCATTGTCCTTTCATTGTCCTTTCATTTTCCTTTCATTTTCCTTGCAGTTTCCTTCATTCTCGTCCACTCAATTCCCATACGTGTCCGTCCATTCCCGTGCATTCCCGTCCATTCCCGTCCATTCCCCGTCCAGTCAACCCCCATCTTCCATTCCCGTCCGTTTTCGCCCATTTCCGCCCATTCCCGTCCATTCCTCCGTTCCCGTCCACTTCCTTTTTTGTTTTCTCCTTGATTTGTGTTTGGTCGAGTCGTGGTTGTTGACTTTTTCCGGCGCGGTTGCTAGAAGTTAGCCTGGGAACCGACAAAGATGCCATGCTCGAGCGTGGTTCCCATCCTGTCTCTAGGCCTAGCCAAAGAAGAGCTGTCCAAGATGGAGGAGCGTGCCAGGCAGTGGCGCTCAAGCAGACTGTGGCTTGCAAAATCCGCGAGTCTCGCACGATACGATTCCCCCTTTAAATACCACCGAAACGTTACGGCTTCAGCCATGATTTCGAAGTGGTGCGAAATGGATTTCGTTTATTTGCAGTATGTCAAGCGCAGATGTTTTTTGGGTGCGTTGGTTTTTTGAGGTTCCATGTTCATTTTGCGGCTTTGCACCAACCTAAATGAAGGCATTTCTCCATTGGACCAGGCCACCCCAATGGCCAACAAGAGACGGGCGCGGAACCCTCATTGCCCACTATGGGGCAACGGCCAATTTGGGGTCAGTCTGGAACTGCCTTGCCCTGGAAATTGCCCGATTTCGTTGTAATAAATCCCCAGTTTAGGGGGCCAGCCTAGCGCCGCTTGATTGGTGGTTTGGATTGGGGCAGCTCAGTACCTTTGAAACCAGTGCCACCAAACTCCAAACCACCCAACTCCAAACCACCAATCAAGGGGTACCTCGAGCCTCACTATCTTTTGAAACCAATGAGGCAAGCCAAACCAGCCAAACCACCAAATCGGGGGAAGGTGAACCTCAGCACCTTTTGAAACCAATGGGGAAGGTGCCCCAACCACCGTTCGGGGGTAAGGTGTCCCGTCCCGGAAGCTAAGGGAACCGCGGCCCACCAGAGCCGGGCCTTGGGATCGATCCATCCGCCCGCCGCCGCATCCGCCGCATCCGCCGGGGGAGGCAATCGGTGCAACGCCTGGCCGACCTGAAGAGCTCCCAGAAGGAAGCCTCCGAGCGCGTGGGCCTGGAGGCGAGTCAAGTTTTTTGGTGGCGCTTGCTGCTCAGACGTCACATATATATATATGTATATGTAGATTAGGTATACATACATATTCATATGTACACATGTTTATCAAGTTATATTTAACTATTAATATTTATATTAGGTATTATATATATACACATAGTATGTATACATGGATGCTTCTTTCTTGAGGGGACCCCCCCAAATGGTGATTTTCCTCTTGGTTTCCCTTTGAAGCCACCAAACACGGGGACCCTCAAAAGAAAGGCAGACCCAGATTCGTTTCGCTTTGTTACCCTTGTTGGGGTGGGTTTATAGTGAAACCATCAGGACAAACAGGAAAGAATCCACCTGGTGGTTTTCTTTACGGGTTTCCGCTCACATGGCAGTGTGCAAATGTCCAATGAGCATTCATACCCACAAGCAAGGCGACGATCAATCTTTGCAATCATTTGCAAAGTGGATGACGGGGGGGCACGTTCACCAACCTACCATTAGGAAATCAGGGTCGCCCAACCAACGTCCAATTGCGAGGCAAACTGAATAGGGACCCTGGCTACGGGATTGTGCCAAGTTTTTCGACCATCGCAAAAAACCTCCATGGAGAATCAAGGAGCTACTGTGGATGGTTCCGAAATCCATTTCGCACCACTGTTCCGAAACTCTGGTTTCTGATGATTCCCCTGTAATTAAGTGCCAACAACCCCATGGTTTCCAAGGATTTTGTTCATCCACAGTATGATTCACATTTCATGGGCTTGTCTCAAAATAGGGCGTAATTAATGCTGAACGGACCTGTCCAGGTCAGTTTTCTTCTGGTTTCCCTTCAGGACCAATCCTGTTTCCTTTTGCGCTCCCTGAAAACTAGCCCAAAGGAAGTAAGCGAACCACATCCAAGGTTGCCCGTTTTGAGACCGACCTTCGGCCCGCGTGGGTCTTGCGGTACGTAAGGAGCAAACCAGGGTTACTGTTGCAACAAGCCATGGCCCCCTCAACGGAAACCAAACGGAGGCTGGTTCAACAATGCTTCGCGAACATGGGACCCAACCGCCCTCCCCAGAAGAAAATCCCCTATCAGAAGGTTGGAGCCAAGGGCCGTGTTTGGTTTTTTTTGGCTGAAGCGAACAACCCAGGTTCTGTTTTGGGAGCTGCGACTTTGATGCCGAAACCGCAGGTCTTGGTGAAGGAAGCCAGCGAGAAGCTGGCCACTGTGGCGGAGACCGTGTCCAAGGCGGTGATCCGCATGCGAAGCGCGTCGCGGGGGGTGAGAGGCATTTGATTCATTTGATTCTCGGTAAAACCCGGGGCCCCGGAAAGGGGCTGGGCCCGAAAAAAGACCACAGAAAGATCTAAGTTGGAGTGCATCTCGTTCTTTCTTTCCCGTGATTGGTCTTGGAGGGCGCCAACAGCGGGTTTGGTTGGAGAACGGGTCCGCCTTGGCTTCGCTGAGGCCGCAGATGCCGAAGGCCCCTTCCTCATGGGCGTGGAGGAGAAGGGGCTGGGCCGAGCAAAGACGAAAACCAAAGAGGTCGAACAAGTCCGATTTTTATTTCTTTTGGGTTGTGTTGGTTCCAGGGATCTCAAAGTCATTTTTGTTTGTGTTTGTTGGACATGGCTTGCGAAGACTCTGCCTTCGGCTTCTCTCCAAGCTTCTCGAATCCTTCGGCGCCTTTAAGCCGCGGAAGCGAAGCTGGAAGGCTTCCGGAAAACGGCAAATGGGAAGCTTGGAGTCCAAGAATCACTTCCGAGATTCACTGAAAACGCGGCATATATTTTTTTGGGGCATTTTTTGTTCTAGAGTTCTTTTTTGTTTTCCCTGGGATGATGTCGTGGGGGCATTCTGGGAATTGTACCAGACACTTCCCGATTTCTTTGGGGCCTCCGTCCAGGAGCTCCCTCTTGATGAGACGCTGGCGGCAGTGAAGGCCGAGCTAGAATGACATTGGCCTTTTAGGGCTTTTGCCTGCAACATATGCTCTCCCCCACCCCCCCCACCCCCCAAAACAAAAAGAAGAAAGAGCAAAATCAAGCACAATCGCTCCCATCGCTCCCCCCCCCGACCCTCAAACCAAATCTGGCAGGCTTGAGTCAACATCGAAAAGGCCTGTCAAGCCCTGGACTGCAGCATTGGATCTTGCTGTAGCAACTTTTTCCTACCACTTGAATGTGGCTCAAAGTTCAACAGCTGGGATTAGGCAGGTTTTTGTATTTGCTCTATATACCAAGGTACCATTTTGGGTATCATTTCTTCCCAAGGTGATGCTTGACGGGTTGGTGCGTTTGAGGTGTCGCCAGATTGGGAATGTGACGGGGTTGGTTTATCAAGTTTGATGTTGAGCGCCGACTGAGAGGATGTATTTGCCGCGGTTTGGTTCAGCGATGAATACTGCGCAATTGTGGGGCTTTGGATGGGCTTTGCAATTTGTTCACGCGCACATCACATGAGCAACCGGCACCATGACTATTTAGCAATTGACGCTCGTGGACCGCCTGATTTCAAAGACACGGGCACGGATCCTGTGCAGTTCTTCTCTCCTGTATAAAGAGGTTGGCTGAACAACAAAAAGGAAGGTTCGCAATTGGCAAATTCGGGTGCACAGGGTTCGTAAGAAGGTAATCCCGAGATCTAGAGGAAATCTCTTTACAAACATTCTTTAGAGGTTGCACGTAGTGAGCACGTATTGGATGTGTGTGTGTGTGTGTGTTTCAAGTCTGAGCATTCTAGGTTTGCGAGGTAGGTTTACTTGAGGTCTTTTCGGGCAGGGACGCGCGTGTTCCACGGTGAGCCGCTCAGCTCCATCAGCCATGGCTTGGCGCTGGATGTGGCGGCTGCTGCTGTGCCTGGTTCTGGCGCCCCAGATGAACATGGCCGGAGGTGGGTCTCGCGCTGGGTTATTGTTTGATGGCACCCGGTTTTGGCATGGACTGCGTTGCTTTTTCTGTTTTGGGATACCCGGTTTTGAGAATTGTTTTGATTTTGGGGCGGACGTTTTTTTGGATGGCTCCCTGCATGTGTGGGCTCGATACCTTTGTTTTTTGGATGGTTCCACAGGGAAACCAAAAGGGAACCAATCATCGTTTTGGGGGAGTCCTCTATTTTCACACACACACACACCCATACGAATTTTTGGAGTGTGGCCTCCTCTAGTGTTGCCAAATATATATATATATATATAATATATATATATATATATTAATGAACAGCCAAGGGCCCCGGACTTTTTGGAAATGCCCAAATGGGTGCTTGGGCTTCCCTTTGGTTTTGCATGAAGAGGGCCCCAAACAGGGTGTCAGCGGAAAAAAAAGAACCTGCCAACTTTGGCTTGACCTGGCCACCCGGAAGCTGGAACCCGGGGTTGACACTGGCGGACGCTTTCCGCAAACGAGCGACCCTGTCTCGCAGAGGGTTGAATCGGGGGAAACGGGTTTCCTTTGGCGGGGGGGGGTTGTTTCCCCTTTTTCCCTGGTTCTCCTCAAAAAGGGTAGTTTCACTCCCAAAAAGACGAGCCACCCGCACGAGAGACCATTTGGGCTCCCTTCTGACCAAGGCGCCCTTCGTTCTGTTCATGGTGATGGAGAAGGCCCGCTCAAGAGGCAGCAGGCATTCAGGTCGATTTCCCCTTTCGGCCGGTTTGGCCATCCCGGAACCAAGTTTTGATGGCAACTTTGGCAGGGTTCCCGATGTTTCTCCGGAAAGGGTGGCTTTAAGCATCAGATGACGTTCCTTTTGGTTGGGTGATGTTCAACGGTCAAATATGGGGAGCATTCGACATGCTCTTCGCGAGCTTCGTGACAAAGGTGAGTAAGGATGATATTTAAGAGGGAACAATGAGCCTTGAGCTACCATTCCGTATTGGCTGAGCGAGTGCAATTGCGGTGCTTGCTGGCTTTGTATTGGTTTGCACAATTTGAACACCTTCCACAAAAGGAGCAAAAGGAGGTCTTATTCCACGGGTGTTTCTCCTTCTGTTTGGTTGGCTTTGCCTTAGAAACAAGGGGGAGGTCACACCAATCTCACAATCTTCGGGTAAAAACTCGGACAATGAGTTTTGGTCGCCACTTTCCGTGAGTGTCCAAGGAAATTTGTCTTGCGCAGTTGCATTCAGTCGTATGCGAATGGATCACTCCGGTGGCGCCTTTAGCCGCCATCCAACAGGGGAGTGGCAACTGCTTTCCAACCAACCACCTTTCAGACAAGTTGAACCTATATGTCCAACAACCACACTGTGTTTGAAGGTATTTAATGTCTTTGCCACGTTCGCAGTTGTTACAATATTCAGTTGAATTTAAGCTTACACAATGGTTTCAAGTTTAATCTATTTTGTTTAGGATTTTTGAGACCATCACGTTTGTATTTCCCCAATGGTGTCAAGTGCTGACAGGGCCAGGGCGCTGTGCCTCTGTTGTCCTTTGCTTCGACGAAAAACCACGCGGGCGCCTCAGCATGGGGATGGTCTCCAAGTGGGGATGACTCTCAAGAATGGTCGCTTTCCTTTTGTTGTTCTTTCGTCGAAGCCGTGGTGGGAACGAGGTTTTCGGCTGGGATGGGCATCGGTTCGCTTGCTGTTTGGGTGCAGCCCCTCACCTTATCCGTAAGGAGGAGCCGGACCTGGAGGCGAGCCCCACACAGCGCGCGCGGATGCGCGCGGGCTGCTCTTTGGCCTTCCTGGTCTTCTACTACTTCTGGACGGCCCGGTGCTCAGCTGGTTAATCCGTCACATTCCCCGCGGAATGCGGTATGGCTTCGGGGCTAGAAATTCTCCATTGGAGAGTCCGGGAGTCTGCACTGGAGGGGTCATGACCCTTAGGGCTGAACCAAATCCCGGGATTCCGAGTTTGCCGCTTTTTGGTTCCACCCTCTTCCGCTTTTGATTCCGACTTTTGACCCAGAGGTGGGTGGCGGGGGGGGGGGGTTGCTCCAAAAATCCGCGCTCTCAGCCGAGAGGTGAGGCACTATGAGCCGCTGAAGCACGTGCCTCCGGACCACCGGAGCGCCGACATCCTGGAGGAAATTTGGGCGGGCGGCTGCCCTGCTAAGGGGTGGGGGTCGGCCTACGCATGAAGCCTCTGAGCCTCTGAGTGACGTCGACAATTAAAAGATTCTGCTTCAAGTGACTTCCCCTCTGTGGGTTTGGGGTAGGTACTCTTCAAAGAAGACATCCCCCATTTGGTCTCACTTTTCTTCTTTTCTGTTGTGGGTTGCGGACCCCTTTCCATTTAGAGCTCAGATGGCCGTCGATTTGAGAGCCCTGCCCGGGACTGGTGTAGATGCACTCAGCCTGGTGGACACCTGCCAACCAGCTGTTTGGCTTCGGGGGAAAGAATCTCTGCCGAGTCAGCTGAGCCACTTGCTCAAAAACCGGTTCGGGTAGATGAAGGTTAGTAAGGGGCAGGCCCAGCCGGAAAGAGTTGCGGATGTCCGGCTTTCTAATTCTTTACACGGTTCTGGGTTCACCATTTTTGTACCAGGTTTTTGATTGTGAGTCATTGAAGTCATCTGACTTGTATCGAATCTTCTTTTGGGCGACCCTGTAATTCCCCTATGCGGGGGAGCCACAAGGCCATGGGTCAAAACCAATGGGATCCCATTTTGGTTGGTAGGCGAATTCACCACCCATTTTAGTCACTTAGTAAGTCAATTTTAGTGGGAATTGGGATGTTCACTGGGGGTACAGGGTTTTGACCCACAGCCACAAGATTCCGCCGAGAGGTTGACGGATTCTTCCCTGGGACAAGCTCAAGCCAAGTTGCGGGAATCGCGGGAAGGTGGAGCCAACCGCGCGCCCGCGCTTTGGGAATGACCCGCACTAGGACTCACCGGTCTGCGTTTGCCGGCATGTCAGCCTGCCCAACTGTATGCTCTCCTTCTACTGCGAGTATGCGCGCAATGCCCACACCCTGGAGAAAACAGGCCTGGCTGCGCGGGTAGTGGCCAAACAGCGAGAGGTTGGGCTTTGACCCGAATACCAATTTCTTAGCTTCTTTATAGATTCTTTCTCCATACTTTTTGGGTCCCTTTCTTCTTTCCCCAGATTTCTCTCTGAGTTGGAAACGTTCACCTGGTTGCTTAGCTGGGTTTCCTTTCGGCGGTTGGTGACGAGGGAGGCGGGTTGCCGGGCTATTTCCCAAATAGCTGAAAGCTATATTTATAGGGCTTCTAACTTCTAATAGTAGGGCTTCTAACTTCTAATAAAGAGGGGAATGATTTGCGAGATTGACGTGGGGGCGCATGCTTGCGAGATTGACGGCCAGGTGCTGGGGGGCATGCAGTTTGCAGGTGCTGTTGGAGGTGCTGATGACGGTGTGGGCGAAGTTTGGCAAGATTGACGGTGCTTGGGGTGCTTGTGCAGGTGCTTGAGGTGGTGGTGGCGGTGTGGGCACATTTTTGCAAGATCGACGGCTGGGTGCTAGGGGGCATGCAGTTTGGGGTGGTGGTGCAGGTTTTGAGGTGCTGGCGTAGGTGCCGTCAGATGCTGGTGACGGTGGGTGCATTTTTGCGAGATTGGCGGGGGTCCCTTCAACCCGTGCCAAAAATCAAGCACCTATGCTAAGGTTTTTGTTCTTTCAATTCCACTCCGGATCCCTCTCAATTCTACACCCAGAAGTGTCCCTGAATGCGATATGATCTGGCCAACGAGCAGTGTGCAATCCTCGACCTGATTATTCTATTTGGGGTCTATGCTGGTGTAATTTTTCTTTTGCTTGGCTGGTTGCTTGGCTGGTTGCCCGATAGCTTGGCAACACTTTCTGTGTGGCAAACGCACACACACACACACAACACGCTCCAAAACTGAGGCTTTGAAACTTAGGCTTGATCATCATTCCCTTCGGCCCCCAAATGACCATTTAGTAGCAGCACGTCATATCTTTCCGGTTTTCTCTGGCTTCCCCCCATCCATGGTCATCCTATAAGGAGGGACCATCCCCCCCCCCCCAACTCCCGAAATTTCTCGCTGCGCCCAGAGCAACGGGGGGAGGGGGGGACGCCCAAGTCGGATGCGCGAGGCATGGCGGCCTATTGGCAGGGCGCGTTGGCCAGCCCCTCTGCGCGAAAGATCTCGGGGTCGTCGGCAGAGAGGGAGCTTTTGGGGAGCCCAAAAAACCGCCCGCGTTTTCGGGGAGTCTGAGTGAAAACGGAGGGGAGTCTTGTGCAGACTTCTTGAAGAGTTGGGCTTTGGACGACTCGATACTGGCTTGCAGAACTGGCAAGATCAACTTCAACCAATTTGAAGTCTTCGAGTTTCTCTTGGGGGGTGGTGATGTTTAAAAGGGACATATAAGGGACCCTACGAACATTTTTGGATCCCCCAAGTGGCTGAGTGGGCAAGCCTTAGTTCTTTGACGAGGATGGCTGGCAAGAATGAAGGGGGCAATATTCTGTTTTGCCCGTTGCCTCGCCGAGCTGGACAATACCCCTCCAACTTGTGTTGCAGCGTGGTGCGAATGCATTGATATGGTCTTGGGTTGCTCCAAGCCTGTCTGAATCGAACGCTGATTGCTATCGGCTGTTTCATCGGATCCCCCTCCCCCCGAAACCGGAACCCAAAGAGGCCGCCTCTCTTGACCGTACTGAGGCCAAAGCGGGAAAACAAAGGGTTTCCACCAAATCTAAGGGATCTTTTTGATATGTTGCCTCAAGAAGTGGACCCATAAAATGTGAGTGGTTTCCTTCAAAGCCCAACCAACAGAGGTACCGGTACCTGGGCGGTTTCCTTCAAAACCCCAACCAACAGAGGGGGTACCGGTACCCTCAAAAACAGAGGAGCCACCTCGCGGAAGGTCTGTGTTGCCTTCCCTGCACGTTGCTCTACTTCCAGAACGGGGTCCGCAAAGCCATGGGCGCCGGGCGCGTGGATCCGCTGGCAGGCTGCATCTGAGCCGCAAGCGAATGGACAAATGGATGTTGGGAGGTGAGCAGTGTTTTTTTGATTCCAGCTATAACTAGGGTAGGGGTTGATTCCCCATTCTTGCCAACCATGGTTCTTTTGAAGAACCGGGGCCTCTGACTCCGGGGGTTTCTGCCAGCCAGTGTTGGCTTGAACACCGGATCCGTCTTTTTTTTCTTTTTCGGGGGGTTTCCCGAGGCCTTCTAAGAAGGAATGCACAGCAGTTGGGCCATGGTATGCCTACTAGCTCCACCCACCAACCATGAGTAAATCATGGAAGGTATAGATAGGTTGCTGAGGCAGGGTTCTACTTTTTGACTACACCAAGGTAGACTTAAACCCAGGGGTTTTGCTCTGGGTTTAACTCTTTTTGGGGGTTGTCGGAAGGTAGAACCCTGTGCCGAGGCGTTTACGCCTTCTGCTGCCCCTGGTGCCTAGTGGCGCAGCAGGCCGAAGCCCTGGATACCGCCACAGGGCAGCACCTGCAGGTGGGGGGCTTTGATCGAGAAATCGTGCAGTGGTTTCTGAACTTTGTCACCTTGGAAGCCTTTAAAACGGCTACCCTCCCTCCAAGTAACATGGAACCTGACAGGGAATCCTACAAGACCTCACTGTCAAGTTCCATGTTAATTGGTGGGAGGCTAAGCCCACAAGGGAAAAAGGAAAGACTTGGTGGACAAGATTGGGGTTTGCAGGTGTCCAAGACGCCGGGTTTTTGTTAGGTACTTGGCCAATGTCCAGCAGAATGTCCTGTCTCCAAACGGGTGAACTCCAAAAGTGAACGTGTGTTTTTAGAGGTACCCTTTTCAGCTTCCCACAAAAATAAGCTCAGGTGATATCCCCAACAGCATGCGGTGCTCTTTTTCGTGCTCGCACCACCCCGCAGCCCTCGCAGAACCTCGTGGAACCCTGGTGGAACCCTGGTGGAACCCTGGTGGAACCCTCGTGGAACCCTCGTGGAACCCTCGTGGAACCCTCGTGGAACCTTGCCTCAGGGCCGCCCCGGACCACCCCGGAGCCTATCTGGGCTGAGACCCCAAAGCTTTCAGCTGTTGGGGAAAAACCACACGGGAAGTGCCAAGCATGGAGAAGGGTTGCCATGAATCCTCATGCAAATGTCCAGGATGGGATCGCGTATCTTTAGCCGCTAGGATTTCCACAGGCTCTGTGCGTACGGCATGCCTGAAAAGAGTTGCGGAGCTCTACACAGAACATGGAGGTCTCCTAAACTTGCTGGTTCTCAGGAGATTTTCAGGAATGCGTTCTTTTCGGGGATACCGAATGGTTCATCCGCCAAACCTCTGTGGATTCTCTACCAATTGAACCAACAAGGACATAGATGCCTTCTTATTGCAGGCGTTAGGCTATATTGAAGGAAAAAGACAAACTGAAGCCCAGGCGTGTCAAAAGAAAAGAGACAACCACAAACGGGCGTTGCATTTTCTGAGGTTTCCCTTTTTGCGTTTGTTTAACACTGGAATCCACATGGGAACCCCCCTTTGAAGAGTTCACTCACAGCAAGACGAGACCAAATGGGACCTGCGAATGTGCTGTGAACGGCAGGCATTTCTTCAAGTTGGCCGCTGCTTGGAGTGGAATTTGCTCGAGGGCGTTGATGTGGGCTCGATTTTGAGATGGTATACGTGTGTTCGCTTGTTTTGGGAAATCAAGGGCAAACCACCAAGTTGAGAATTTCCCTTCTGAAAGAGAATCCCATGTGAGCCACTTGCTGAAAACCCGGGTTCATGAAGGTTAGTAAGGGACAATCCCAACCTACATAGCTGCGGCCGCCTTCTTAATTCTTGAAGCATGGTTCTGGGTCGACCATTTTACTACCGGGTTTTCATTGTGACTCATGTGTGTTGGCAATGGCCTAGTTGAGAAGCCTGAAGGAGCTTGAGGCTAGCTTCTATGCTCTTCAAGCCAGCTCAGGGCCGACTTTCATGATTGGTTGTCAGAAGAGATGGTACTCCAGGGGTTTCGCAGCAGGCCGTTCTCAAGTGCCTTGCGGTTGAAGACGGGGTGAGCCACTTTCGGTTCCCTTGGAACTGAATGCCATGGCCCATGTGTGGTGAAAGGATTGAGGGTTTGACAAGAGGCACGGCTTCTAGGGCTCTGATGGCTCCTGTGGAAGCCAGAACTCCTGGATGCACTGGGGAAAGCACATGATTTTGGGTGTTCGTCTCTCCTTGTCCTTTCTGGGCCATTGTGACGTTAGGGTTGCTTTGGGCCGAGTTGAGACGTGGGCAACGGCGTCTTTTTGGCTCTTTGAGAGCCGGGAATCATTTCTTGATACGACTTTTTGGCGTAGACTCGCAGGACTGTTCGTCACGTCCCAAGCCAAGTTCCCCATGGGTATGCTTTGAGACAGACCCATTGCAGTATTTTTTTGTTGAAATTTAAAGGCGCGGGCGGTGATTTTTCGGTCAGTCCGGGTTCGCTCAGGAGGCGCCCGCCCTCGCTTTGGCTTCGGCACCGAGGAGGAGCAGGAGGAGAGATGTTTTTGGAGACTTTCCCACAGAATCTGGTGGCTAAAACCAACGGTTTCAACAAAAAGGGAATGGTGGACTGTATTGCGCCAGCTTGATTTTCTAGTGAAACAAGGGGGTGAATCGCCCGCCCCTGGATGTGGCCGTTCACTCTGGCTTCGCTGTTGGTTTTCAGGAGCTACTTCGCCAACCTGGAGCACAAACGATGTATGGCAAGGATGAGATGCTCAACGTTTGATCGAATCCGCGCGTGTGCCGGGCCTTTGGGCGGCCTGGATCCTCGACTACCGTGAACGACTCCGCGAGGAAGGAACCGGGGACCACCCCGAGCGCGCAGTGTGGAGGGAGCGCGCGCGCGGTTGAGGCGCGTTATGCTGCGCGCGACCAGCCAGGTGCCAGTTCCCCGCGCGGCGTGCCCAGTGCCAGCTGCGTGGGCGAAGCCCTGGCTGGACGCACTGAGCGGAGAAGGATGGAAGCGGAAAAGGCTGCGAAGCGACAGCGTGGGCTATGAATTTGAATTATGGGTGGCCTTCTTAGGTGGTTAGAAATAGATGGCACTGGTTTAGATGGGCTTTGTTCCATTTACCAGGGCCATCAATTTTACCAAAAGGACACCTATGTTTGAGTTGGAAACACCCTCAAACGTGGTTTGGCTGCATAAATCCTGCCCTTGATGTCCACCAAAGGGCCCCGCACACATGAGATTCACACCCATGTTCTGGGCGCGCGGCAGGCCGTGGAGACAGCATCCACCGCGGCCAACACTGCAGCAGCTTGCATGCGATATGCAAGAGAGGTAATTCATGGGGAGGGGGGGGGGGAATGGGGAAAATATATATATATATATATAGATATATATGTATATATATATATAGATATATATGTATATATATATATGTATATGTATATGTATATGTATATGTATATATGCACGATAGATATATGCTGATACTTTTCCTGGGCCCCTTTCGGGAACCAAGGGCCCCATACGTAAACACTTTGAACCCAGGATGCAACGTGAAACGCCGTATCCCCAAACGCCATCGTGGAGAGCATCTGAAAATATGAGACAATTTCAGCCTCACGTGCAAGGACGTTTGCACCCTGGTTTGGGTCAGTCTGGGAAAGTCTGAACGCCGCTCGCAACCGATGGGTTGGGCAAAGGGAAAGGGAACGAAACCAGAGGGACCTCCTCCACTCCCCCCCGAAAAAGGGGGGGTGTTTCGATTCGGACATGTCCCATTCGGGCATGTCAAAATACGGACTCGGATCGGACCCAATCGGATTCTCACTTCCCTTTCAGTGGAAATCGTTCAATGGCTGAATTGGACCTCGAAAGGGGCTCGCTCTCGACAAAGTGGGCATGGGGCAAAATGTCTGACGCCCAAGCATGGATTGGTGTTTTCCTGCCGGTTTTCCCTTTGGACCGCCGATTTCGGAGGCCCTGGGGGATTTCCAAATCCCCCGTCCGGGGTCCCCGAGTTCCCCGCACCCGCGGTTTCACATGCCCGAGGCCTCCATCGCGCGCATGTTCATCGCGACGCCGGTGCCCCAGGGATTGAAAAAGGAAGACGCATCTGCGGGGAAACCGAAAAGCTCTTGATGTTCGAACAGAGAACGGCCATCACTTTTTGCACCTGAAAGATCAGTCCCAAGAGGTCACTTCTTTGGCTTAGAGCTTGGCCGGAATCTTGAGTCCACCATCTGTTAGGGCACCATCAAATAACACCTACTTGGATGGTCTGGGAGTTGGCCAAGTGGTTAGCTTTGCCCTGGTTGTAACCCACCAAATCCATGGTTGTAAGTCCCCTAACACCAGGGTTGCTAACCATTTAGCGATTCGTCCCACACCATCTAAGAATCTAAGTAAGGGGACCATCCAAAAACGAGATGCAATCTTGTCCCTTGCGGAACACTTTGGCTTTGTGCTGTGAGTCTGCTGCAGGCGATCCGCTCAGCTCGCATGTGCCAACATACTCAAGAGAGTCGCGTCATCATGGAGTCATGTTCTACAGCTAGGACACTGATTTGGAGCTTCAGTAATGGAAGCCGAAATATATGCCTCCTAAATTGCCCCATAGCGCAGTGAACACAAGATCAGTCGCTGGTCTTACGAAGTCAAAAGCTTTAGTTTCCAGCTCCTGGCAGTTGTCACCGTTGGCCACCAGGGGTAGAAAGTAGCAAGGGGGCAATTCCACTACCCCCAAACCACCTCCGGGCTTTCATGGGATACCTAGCCACTATATAGATCCACTGTTTTCAAGGGTATATGCCCCAAACTTGCACAGCCCAGCAACCAACCAACCAAACAACCAACCAACCAACCAAACAACCGACCAAGCAACCAACCAACCGACCAAGCAACCAACCGACCAACCCTGGGGGGAGTGGTTCGGGGGGTACTGGACACCATCTTGGAGGGTATGTATTTTTGTGTAATGGGGGTGTCCCTGGGCTTAGTCTAAGGACCCATATGGTGGATGGTTGCGAACTCCATCAACCGCACCACCGTTCAGAAACCCTGGAACGATTCGATTTCCTTGCAACTACCAGCAAACATGGTTTCGCCTGGTTTTAAAGTGGTGCGAAATGGATTTCGTCTATCCACAGTATTAATTGTTGTGGGTTTGTTGCAGCTAATTGTCCCTGGGCTTAGTGGGGATTCACCACTTTTGGAGGGGAACACCCCCACATCAATAAGGAGGGGTATTTAAATTCAAAAAAAATAAATAAATCCCAATTTAAATCCGCACCCCATGCATAAACGGGCGTGGCAGAATCCGGGGTCAACGTGGCTCCTCCGCCTAGCACGGGGCGCATCGCTTCCGGCGCTCAGGAAGCTAGTGGAGGCGAAGCGGTTCACGCCGGAGCTGGGGAAAGAAGCCCAGGCCGGAGCTGAAGTGATGCGTCCGTGTTGTCGGGGGTTCGCTTTGGTGTCCTTGGTGGGTTTGGTTTGAAACAACTCGAGGGTCTGGTTCTTACCTGGTGGTTCACTCATCTTTTGGTGGGCTTGGATTGAAACAACGCGAGGGTTTACCTACTGGTTCACTCATCTTTTTGGTGGGTTTGGTTGAAAAAAGGAAACGAGGGTCTGGTTTGTACCTGCTGGTTCAATATCTACCACACCCATCCATTTTTCAACATCTACGGTTGGTGAGTTATTTTATTCAGCTGATCCAAGCCGTAGGCCGAGGACCTTCCGCATCTGCTGTGGTGCTGTTGCGGATATCACCCGAGCTTATTTTTGTTGAGTCGGCACCCTTCGCACCTGAGCCACTTGCTCAAAACCCGGGAAGTTGAAGGTTCGCAAGGGACAGTCCCACCAGATATGGGTGTGGCTCAAAATTAAACAGGAGGGGTTACGCAGGTTTTGGTCCATGTTTCCACTTACCAGGGTCCCATTTTGGGTACCGGTTTTTTGAGCCACAGCCATATGGGTGCAGCCGCCTTGGTAACCAATTTTCCATGGTTTGGGAATCACCATTCTGGTACCAGATTTGCTTGTGACTCACCTTGCTTGAAAGGGACGCGAAAAGGACCGCCGTTTTCGCGAGTACCCCCCCGCCCCCAAAGACCAAGACCAGCTGATTTTGGAGGACCTTCGATTTGGCAGGCCTGGCTCAAATATTTTGTACCACCGCCCCCGTTTGCAGAGAAACACGTCCGCCAAATCTGCGGTCAGGGAGAAAGCCAAGCAAAAGAACAAACAACCACCAACTCCTAAAAGGAAGCCCACGTTTTTTGGGGAAAGCGGCTGGCTTCAGGGCAGGTCACTTTCTGTGACTCCAAGGATTTGAAGTGAGTCGATGGTTTGACAGATGTGGTTCTGATCCACTTGGAAGTCCTGGATGCAGCGTTGGAACCCAATGTCCGAGTGTTTTTTTAAATCTTCCGAGGGCATTAAAAGGGGGGATGGGTGATGTTCAACGATTGTTCCTCAGCCTCCCGTACTCGCGTTTCCCTTAGTGGAGCACACAGATTGCAATTCGATTTTAGGGACCATCCATCCGTTTACCCTTCCTTGCAATCAAAAAGGCATTATTTTCCTCACCGTTCTTTTGCGAAACCACCAGGATCTCGGGTTTTCGATCCCCACAAATGGTGGGTCAAAAACCAATGGTAGCATTTTGGGGTAGGTGCAACACCCATTTTAGAACCTATTCTAGTGGGGATTGATGTTCACCGGGGGTACGATTTGGATTTTGACCCATGGCCAAATTGCTGTGGCTCAAAAACATGTACCAGAATGGCCCCCTTGGTAAATGGAAGCAAAGACCAAAACCTGCGGTTTGCCCCAGCTCTGAAATTTTGAGCCACCCATAATGTTGACCCCGGATTGAGTAATAAACCTCTGTTTATTAATATGGGGGTGTTCCCCTCCAGTGATAAATCCCCACCAACACCGAGGACACCCCCATATTAATGAACAGGGGTTTATTAATCCGGGGTCAACAAATCGGTGTGGGAAGTTGCGTCAAGAGCCTTCGCAGACGAAGCTGAAAGCCTTCCAGTCGGATTTGGAGACCCACACCAAGAGGCCGGGACGACTCGGCTCGCGTTTGGAGGTACCCCAAAGCGAAAATGCCATGTGTAGGTGTATATACAATATATACTGCATGTATACACATATATATTATATATATACAAACACTCAGCCACTGTATGGCTTGGGGTAGTCACCCTCTTAGGTTTGTCGTGGATGAGTATCTTGCAAGTGCACCAACCCCGAATCAATGAGAGCAAATGACTGGTGTTTTCCTGGTTCGTCACTTGCGATATGCAGGAAAATCACTATAACAATGGGACATCGGAAAAACAACAACAACGACCACTCTATCTACACTATTTTGAAAGGCTTGAATATCCTCACCATGATGGACATAGAAAAAAAGCCCCGTCCACTCTAACAGTACCATTTTTCGGTGGCTTGGAGTATCCTCATCAAAAGCCCTGGTCCAGTGACCTGGGGATGGCTGATGGGACTCCCGCCTTAGGCTCAACGAGCTGAAGAAGTCCACCGCGGAACGGAAGAAGGCGAGAGCTGGGGTGCTAAAATGGTCTTACAATAGGGGGACCCGAAAATGGCTGTGGTTGTCAAAATAGGTACCCAAAATGGAACCCTGGCAAGTGGAAACATGGAAGCCCTGGTCTTCACTTTGGTGCATTTTGCCAAGGGATCTTAGGACTTTAACAACTTTTGCCAACTCATGGGTTTTCCGTATTAAACCACTAAAGGTTTTAAAAAAGTAGGGGACCCGAAACGTGTCCTAAACATTTCATTGAATTAGGTCCCCTTAAAATATCTCCATTTTGCAACCATTTGAAACATGTGGCTTTTTCAACAGCAAGATAAAGGGAAAATACCATTTACAAGGCAATGTTCAGGTGTATAATGTAAGGATCCCTGTTGAATGGGAGTCCTTAAAAAGGGGTTAGTTGCCTGTTGGATTCAATCCGCCAGAGCACCCAAAACCCAGGGCCATTTGCCTATTGTAGGTCCTGTACTTGGCGATTTTTTAGCTCGGGTTTTGGGAATTATTGTATTTTTGCGGAATCCTTAATCCTAGTGATGGTGATGTTTCTTGTTATCTACAACTATTGTTAGGCTGGGGCCTTTTCACTTCGAGCAACCCACCGGGGGAAGCGTGTTTGTTTGTGGCTTTCATGTTCCGAAGTTGGATTTCCGCGTTTTGGTGGACCCCAGCGACTCCAACGATGGGGTGGTTTGATGTGGAGGTTGATCAATATTCCGTGCGGCCCCCATGTTGACACTTTTCCCATTTAGTGAATATCATCTTCTTTTTTTACACATAGGTCATCTTGACAGTTTTACCATTTAGTGAGCATCTTTTTTTTCATCCTATGCATCACGGAGCTTTTGATCCACCCCCATCTGCCAAAACGGGCATCGGAGCCAACTCAGCCGCTGGCATCGACATCGGCGTGAGGCAGTGACGGTGAGAGAAGCCGAGCACGAGGTGAAGAAGGCCGAGACGAGCCGAGCCGAGACGTTTCCCAATCGCGCCAAGCGCGATTTGGGGGGGGGGAGAACCTCCGGTCCGCTAATGTGGAACAGTCCTGATATTCGGAAATGGACACATGGTTTGCTTCTTGTGGTTTAGTGGAAATCCAAATCCACTGAACTGCTAAAAATTTACTACAACTTTGGCTCCCTTCCGACGCCAACCAAGAGCGAAGGGCGATTTTTTGGATACCCTCCGGTCCACTAACGTGGAACCTGACTGAGGGGTCCTGGAAGACGGATTTTCCCCTGAAAAGGTTTGCAAGCTGATGGCACTGGTTTCAGTTATACTCATTCAGTGCCGTTTGGCTTTCCCAAAGCGCCCATAGTGATTTCCACCCTTTCGCAAACAGAGCCGCATGGGTGCGTCTTCTCAAAGGGGGCAAGTCGCGAGCCCTTCTTGGTTAGAGGAAAGCCAACACTGTGACCAGGTTGGCAAGGTCCAACAGGTGACCTCCAAAAAAGCGGGAGCTCCCCTTTTGCTTGAAACTTACACCCCCTTTCTTCTGCGTGCATCCCATGGCACCCCATTCCCCATGGCATCTGGCACCCCTGGCGCCCCTGGCGCCCCTGGCGCCCCTGGCGCCCCTGGCGCGGGCGGGTGGATGGGTCGATGGGCTCAAAAACTTCAGGCGGAGGACCTGGCCAAGGAGGTGGCCAAGGCGGCGGAGCCCCTGGAGGACGAGAAGTTGGCCCAGCTCAGCTCCGAGGACGGCGGAGTTGTGTTCTTTTCTTCTTTTTTTTTGGGGGGGGGGGGGGGGGGAACTTTATTTTCGTCACCTTTGGGCTTCGGGGAGGCTGGGGCATGGGGGAGGGCGGGGGGGGAAGTGGTGGTGTGTTTTTTGGAGGTATTGGGTGGGATGGAGGTGGATGGGTTTTGGGGGGGGGGGGGGCTGTCCATTTGGGGGTGGGGGGGTGGTGTTTCCTCCTTGGGCAGCGGCGCACAGGAGGTTCGTGCTGCTTCAGAAGCCACGATCAAGGCATGGGCATGACATCAAGCGAGCATCACTGACACGCATTGCAAGTGGGTTGACCGACGGGCTTGCTGGAGCTGCCAGTGCTTGGATCATGCCTGAGAGGAATTTTCTCTTGCTTGGGCAGTGCTGCTTGCAGGCCGAGCAGGCAGCAACCAAGCATTTGGCAGAGACCAGGAAGTTTATCACAACGAGGCGCGCATGCCACGCTTTGCTCCTACGTTTGCACTTCCGAGGTCGTTTTCTAGGGTCAGCTTGCCGCTTTCTCAAACCCGCCCAGCTTGCCGCGCTTCAAAAGCGCGGCCTTGCTGCAGGCAGATCGAAGCCAAAGGAAGGGAAGCTTCGTCCGAGATCAGCGGACGCCTTGGCCAACGGATCAGTCGGGCGGTTTTTCTCGGGCCGCTCGATGCGGATGTGAGGTAGCGAGCTCATCAAGTACGAGGCCAGATTACGCGCTGTCGCCACCTCAGGCTTGACTCGACTGTGAAGAGAGGGCTGCAAGCAGCAGGCAATTGGCATGGGCTTCGGTGATTCATTTGAGCTATAAGCTCAGGAACAAGTTCTTGCGACTTTCCATTATAGGTTCTGGCAATGGTGATTACAGTGTTTGTCATGCTGGTGGTACTGACGGACCAACTCCTGCTGACTAGGTCGGGGTTTCATCCGTCCCAACTGGTGCAGTTTGGATTTTGTCCATCCACTATGGTTATGGTGTTACGGTAGGTTGGCGATGGCCACGGATATTGGGCTCCGTATTGGGAAGAGAGAATCATCCCCAATCAAATGGGGAGCTATGTAGCTCCAATGACCGCCAAAATCATGCGGTGTGCTTGTTGCGTCTTAAAATATGGGCCCCCCAAACTTACGGTTCTCCGTTTGATTTCCCTTGAAACCAACCCTAAAAAAGGTACCCAGCTAAACAAAGACACATAGCGAGGGCACTTCGGGGGTCCAGTTGCTAAGCACCCGGAGCCCCCGGTCGCTCCGAGGTGGCGACGGAAATTGGCGGCTTGGCGTTGGGAATGGGAGGTGTGCCCAGCCCATTTGGGTCTGTTGTCTTTTTTCCCCCTTTTGGTGGGTTGTTAAAGGAAACCAAAAGAAACACAGTGATTTGGGGGGTTTTTTGGGCTGCAACTCGTGGAGTCACCCAGCAACCAATTTGGCTGTGGCTCAAAAACATGTACCAAAATGGCACCTTGGTAAATGGAACCAAAGACTAAAACCTGCGAAACCCTAGCTCTTGAATTTTGAGCCACAGCCATGTTTGGGAAAAATTCGTTTTGAGGCAAGGTGCTCTTAGGGCTGCTGAAAAAAACAGGCCAAGACTCAGCGCGACCGCGTGTCCCACGGGGCCGCGGACTTGTTTTGGGGGTAAAGTTGGATCGGGGTAGTTCCTCTTTGGGGGTTTCCGAGTGTTCTCCCTACGTGGCTGACTTTGATGACAAGGAAATATTGGGGAAACTACAACTCTTGGTTGTGTTTTGCTTGTTTGGATTGTCTTGAATTTTGGTGAGGTTCCCTTTTCCTTGTTTTCCTAGGCTTTTAAGTGCTGGCCCGTAGATTTCTTGGCTCGTCGGGCCCCAAGAAAGCATATCATTCTTTTCTTGGCTGGGCGGGCCCCAACCAAAAGCATCATTCCGATTCCTCGGCTGGGCCGGCCCCAAGCAAAGTAGCTTTCTTGGCTTGGCGGCCCCAAAGCAAAGTATCATTGATTTCTTAGATCGGCGGGGCCGTCCCCCAAGCCAATTTCTCATTGATTTCTTGGCTCCGCGCGCTTGAGGCAAGTACAAGAAGATCTCCGCGTCGGTGGAGTCGCGGCTGGCGGCGAAGAAGGCCATCGAAGACTGCTCCGCCAAGGCGAGTGCGGGGGGGGGGGGGGGGCGGGGGGCTGGGGAGACCCCTTTGCCAGGTTTTGATGGCTCAAAGATAGGGGGCCCAACCACTATTTGCACCATTTTGAAATGGACATTTGCAAACCACAATTCCCCAACAAAAAGGTAGACAAACGCTGAGATAACCACTATATCAAGGTTCCACATCCAATTTTCCAGCTGGTTTAGGGGGGGTAGGGGAACCCATCTTCAGCGTTCCTCTTGTGCCCCTTGGACTATCACCCAATCCAAGGGCACCAGAAGGACTCCTGACATCGGTGCCGTTCGATCGGATTTACCCTTCAAGCCTTCCATCCATGGAAGAGGGTGCTTATAGGCAACTCGTCTTCCAGGACCCGCCCAAGGTGAACATGGCAAGGGTTCTCAAAAACACTTTTCGGACCCGGTGGTTTCCCTTGCAGCCCGGGTGATTTGGAGAACGTCTTGTTAAAATGGACCCAGTCAGGACTGATCTTAGCCACTCACACTTGCATGACCACAGAGTTTACTGAAAATATTTGGAGGTTGCAACATATATATATATATATACACATAGATTGTACACATGCATATCTCTATCTCTCTCTCTCTCTATATATATATACTATATATGTAAGTATATATATATATATACATATATATATATATATACACATGCATATATATATATATGTATATATATAATATATATATATATATATACACACACACACCTAGACACAGAGAACAAGCATACGCTTCGGTTCCTGGAAAAAAACGAGTCCGGGGCTGGGCTCTCACGGCTCGCCCGAGGTGAAGGCCGTGGAGCAGAAGTTCGAGCGGCTCACGGAGCTGTCGGAGGCCATCGACGGGGAGAAGGCGAGCCGCGCGCGCCGATTGCGCGCCGATTGCGCGCCGCGCGCGCCGGGCCGCGCCGGGCGCGCCGAGAGAGCGGGAGCCGGAGCGGAGTCGGAGCTGAGTCGGGTGTGGAAGTGGTGTTGGGGGGGGGGGTGGTTGGGGGGTGGTTTTTTTGGGGGGTGGTTTGGGGTGGTTTGGCTGCGTGGTTTGTGGGGTGTGGGTCACCGACTCCAACGAAGCAAAGGTTTTGGGCGCTCACATGGGTTTAGTGTGTCTTTGTTCAGATGCTCTTGCTTGGGTGTCACAGGAAAACCCCTCCAACTTTTACCCACCCAGCTATGTTTTTGTCAGGACAAGGAGGAGGGCAAGGAGCCCGACATCAGCAAGGACAGCAAGGAGAAGGTGCAGAAGGCCCTGAAGGCACCTTCGAAGCATTCGGCGTGAGGTCTCCGGGCGTGAGGGAGGTGATCCCTGATGGACGCCCGCTTTTTTGGCGCTACCCTGTAGACAAACGTGGACCGGAAGCTCAAATCGTCTCCGTTTTGGAACTTTGGTACTGCTTTTGGTTTCCAGTCCAAGATGGGAGTGGTCCCCCTTAAGCACGTGGAATTTTGATTGGGCTGTCCTATTCTGGAGCTGTTCATTTGCAAGGTTCTTCTTGGATCCGGGGTCAACAATGCTCATTGTGTGGCAGCCCAAAAATATTAAAGTTTAGAGGCTGCTTGTTTTGGCAGAAACTTTTTTTAGCGATACGTGTTCAGGGGAGCAAGCTTCTTGCCTACAAAAGGGGGGAAACCCCATTATGAAATCGTTTGCAGTGAGTAGTATGAATTTCTCATGGCATGGCATGGCGAGAACTATTTGCATTGGGGCGAGTATCAATCATGGAGTACCAAAAGAAACGGGTTTCCTCCCAGCTTTCTCTGGCGTGAAGTTTGAAAGGGCAACATAGGCCTGGGCAACCCTCAACCTGATGTGATAACTTGCAGCTTCTCACCTCCATGCACCTTTCTGGAAGCCTATGCTCTTTGGGCTCCATGTGGGTATGAATTTCAATTGCGAAGCCTTGGACTTCATTTTGGAGGAATTTCTGGCCACCACTCTTCAGAGGTTCCAGCTCTGAAACTTCCTAGCCAATTGGATCTCTGGGCCTGTTGCACCCGCAGTTCAAGCTGACATGAGTGGATATGCAATTAAACCTGACATCCCCCAAAAAGAGACAAGCCCCCCCCCCATCCCCACCCCCACCCCCACCCCCACCCCCACCCCCACCCCCACCCCCACCCCACCCCACCCCACCCCACCCCACCCCACACCACCCCACCCCACCCCACCCCACCCCACCCCACCCCACCCCACCCCACCCCACCCCACTGCCCATCCCCCACATGCTCATAGCACCCAGGAGGCGGAGGCCGCGGCCGCGGAGATGCAGGCGGCCCTGAAATCTGCCTGGACCCCGACTTCACACGTCCCCCCCCTCTAAGGGTGGAAGTACATACCCCTTGTTCATACCCCTTGGCTTCCGTGGTTTCCAACCCACTTTCTAAGGGGTATATACCCCTTTTGCGGAGAGGGGTATGAACAGCCCCTGGACCCGTGTTTGTGTTGAGTTGGCGTGGGTGGTACCATGTTGTGTGGGCTTGTCCACGAAAGCTCTGACAGCAACGCGATGCGTACTCTAGGGCATTGACAGACTTTCAGCGTCTTTTGTGGCCTTTTCAACCTCAAACAAGGAGCTCCAACAAAGAGGCTTCCCCTCAAAACATTGGGTCTTCCCCACCAAAGAATGGCATCTCAAAGCATGCTTCCATGGGGGCCTCCAAAATGGGTGGGCATAAATCTACACTGAACTTTTGATGTCCCTTCCCAGACCCAAGAAGATTCATGCTCATGTGGGGTTCGACCTCCCCCCTCCTATGACATGGGTGTGTCTTTGCTTGTTGAGTTGGCATCCCCTTTTCTTGGTGGTTTTTCACGGAGAAACCAACAGGAAAGCCACCACATCCATATGCAGCAGTCTATGGAATTTCGGGTAAACATGGGGGACTCACTCAACGTCCCATTTTTGGGGTCCGATTCCTATCCCAAAGAAGAAGATTACACACCCCACGTGGAAAAAACACCCAAAAAACGCATGACACCGAGGCCATGCGCTTCACGGACATGCAGATCAAGATCCAGCCGGCGGCTTCGAAGGCCTGCGGATCTTTTGGATCTCGCGCGAATCTGACTCCGAGTCGACCCATCGACGGCTGCGGGGGCTTTTTGTTTGCTTGTTTGTGTCTGCGTCAGTAAAAATGGGTGGTTTAAAATGAACCCCAAATTGAGTTGGTATCGGATTGGGGTGGTTTAAAGGGAACCCAGAAGGACAAACAGAAAGAAATCCATTTTTGGGGGGCGCCCCTGGTCTGACACAGATGACCGATAAGACACGTTTAGAAGCCATCGTAAAGAAGATCACGAAGATGCATGCTTGTTGGGTACTGCCCAAAGATGGTTCTTCACGTGCTGTCGAGCTCAAGGGTCATGCTTTGCAGCTTTCCCATGGGGACCCCCTCTTGTAGATACACAGGGGTTTGCCTGAAGGTCCCACCCACAGAGTTGTGGGTTGCACTCAGCCCTCGATTGGCGCTTGCTGCATTGTTTCTGTTCTATGATATTTCTGTCCGAAACGCATCGCACTACCAGCGGACATGACATGCCTTTGGTGCGCACCTCACGGCTGCCCAACATGCCGACTGAATCTGTTGGCTGCTCTTTGGCTAGGCGAATGACCATTGCTAAGCAACCGAGGGTATCACTTTGGCGAGGCAAGGACCAACCCAGAATCACTACAGTCTCATTTTGCCCTCTCAACCCAGCCTGGCTGCTTCATCCAATTTTTGGTCATCCCCCGCCTTCAACCAACCCAACCCCCCTTTTTTTGCATCGGACTAGGTCAACCCCCCCTTTGCCTCGGACTTGAGGAGGTGGAGAAGCTGAAGCCTCGCCTGGAGGAGCTCCAGCAGAGCTTGGACAAGACGGTGTCCGGCATGCGCCCCTCGACCCGAGAGAGACGCACACGGGAGCGAAGCAAAAGGCGCGCGCGCCAACGGGCGCGCGGCGAAGCTCGTTTTTTTTTTGAGGCGCGGGGTAGCCTGGGGTTGGTTTGGCTTTGAGGGTGGCTCATGTAAGATTGCTCCTTGGTGTCCCTTTAAGCCCCACCAAGAAGGGTAGCGAAAAAAAGGCGGCCAAGACGACCAAAAAGCGGCCCGCCTGGCATATAACCTTGAATAAGTGTCCTTGGTTGACAATTTTGTTGAAGACAAATGGGCTCCATGGGTTCTTAATGGAGCAAACAGGGGTTCTTGGATGAGGGGGTCAGAGACCGGAGGGGTGAAGCATCGGGACTCTCGTTAATATATTATGATGGGATTTTGTTATGAATAAAAGCATTCAGAGATAGCAGCATTCGATAGAAGAAGTGTATTAGCAAAAGTTAATTCACAAGGATCTGGAAGATAGAAAGCTTCTCCTGGCCACACCCCTAAAGTTGGAGAAGATCAAAGAAAGGGGATCCGGTTTTTCCCCCCCAACCGGAATTGGTGGACTCGAGGTTATGCTTTTGATTTATGGCTTGATGTTGCTCCTAGTGCCCTGCAACTGGTTTCAGTCTGGTTGAGAACAGATATTTGTTCCGCGGGCTTCAGCCTTTGATGTTTTGCCAAAAGGCCTCAAGCAAACACCACAGAGGCTCTCAATCGATCCTAAAGGATCGCGGGTCACGAGCCAGGAATACGCCGAGAACCTCAGGTTTCCGCTTCAGGTTGTGTCAGGGGTTTCGTTGGCAGTTGTTTTCTTTTGAAGCCCGTGGCGTTGTTTGGTACGGAGAGATGTTGCGGGTCCGTTGGTTGGGACATCCAACTTGCCCGAGGCGAGCGCTCTGAGAAGGCCATCGTGGACAGCATTGTCAAGGAAGCGAAAGCTGGGGTCGTTGAACATGGGTGTGTCTTGAAATAGGGGAACCCACTAAACCGAATCAGTGGCTTCCCGTTGGTTTGAATTGAGTGTGTTCCACCTGTTTACAGATTTTGAAATTTGTTCCACCATTTTGAGGATCATGTTGAGAGTGTCCACCTACTTCAAGGCGATCACATTGGCCTTAGAGCACGCAATGACAAAACCAAGCGCCAGGTGCGTCGAGTGTTGTCCCATCCCAAGGCTGCCGGGTGGTTTTTCTTGCCCTGGCCGTGTTTCTTCAGGTAACTCGTCAGGTTGGTGGTTTGGATTGGTGGTTTGGATTTGGATTTCAACCGTTTCCTGCTTCTGGTTGGCGGTAAATGGGAAGCCCTTTAACCACCAAGCCACCAATCCAAACCGCCGATTCGGAAGCTGATTTCTCTTCAGTGGTTTTTGTGAGCCGATCTCAGGTGTGCAAGGGTCCTGTTTTTGCCGCATTTGACGTGTGAGGACTCGGAACACCGCGTCAAGGAGGTGGAAGAGGCCATGAAGAAGCTGGAAGAGGCAACGTAGTTGAGCCGCCCATCGGACTCGAGTTGGGGGCGATTTGGACAACGTTCAAAGCGCCCCGGGAATTCGGACAAATACTTCCACTGCAAAAAGCAAGGAGTTGGAAGCAGGTCGCCGGTCTTCCGCCCTTTTGCTTGGGAACCGATGGGGTTAGATGGACTTCTCTCCTGGCCTTCTCGGGAACAGCAAGCCACTGTTGGCCCTTGACAACCAGAGGAAACATACGAAAAGTATGGTTTGGGTTTCAACTACATATGGGCTATGGGTGTGTCCTTTTGGGGGAACCCTTAAAGTGGTGGTCTTCCTTTCGCTTTTCAAGTTTAAAACCACTCCAAGAAGGGTACGCTCAAAAAAAACCTTCCCCGGAGCTTGTTGTAGACAGAATTACTTATTTCCCCTCATGCACAGTGCCCAAGGTCGATTTCGGTCGACTGGGGGGGGGGGGGGGCTTGAAGTCTTGACAAGCATAGGACTGTTGAAAACCATTGAAATGGGATGTGTCTAAACGTTCGTTTTGTGGGTGCCTGGAGTCTCCATGACCCTTTAAACATGTGTCAATGACCCATCATTTTGGGTAATGGTTTTAGGGGTCATGGAGACTCCAGGTGGTTCCCCTCCAGACTCCCCGCGCAAGCGAAAGGCAGCTCAATCGACCGTCCACTGAACAGGCAGAGAAGCCCTTCAAGGCGGAGCAGGAGATCCCGGCAGAGCAGGCGGGAGGTTCGAGAAGCAACCTGAGCCACTTGCTCAAAACCGATTCGGGTAGATGAAGGTTAGTAAGGGGCAGTCCCAGCCAGAATTAGTTGCGGATATCCGCCTTCTTCATTCTTGAAGCATGGTTCTGGGTAGACCATTTTAATACCGGGTTTTGTTTGTGACCCTGAGTCCGAAGCAATTTCGCTGAAAGGCCCCCGAGAGTAGGACTGGAGTAAGATCTAGAGGCTGGACACAGGATCTTACCCCGAAGCTGGTGGACGGGCCCCCCTTATTTTTTGGCGAGTGATGGGAGCTTTGCCAAAGCAACTGGGAACTCCCGAGAAGGGCGACCGGGCGCATGGTGTTGCTCTCCAAGGAAAGGTGCAGTTGCACAGGTTGTAGAGGCCCAGGTTGCTTGCTGTTCAGCAAAACCCACCTTGCGGCAAATGGAGCATGTTTCACAAGGCGAACTGAGGGAAACCCGAATTCCAGTTGTTTAGCAAGCTCGTTTTGCTCTTGACAGAGGTCGGCCAGGAATTAACTGCCCTACTCTATCTCTCGCCCCCTCGCCGGCCGTTGGAGTCACGGGCTCCTCACGGCGCGCGGCGCACGAAGCGGCGCGGAGGTCTCCGAGTCGCTGTCCGCGTTGGAGGGGGCGGCGCAGGCGGCCACGCAGGCGCTGAGCGGCGCCAAGACCTTCGTTGGAGCGGCTCGGCAGGGAGCGCGGAGAAGGGCGGAGAAGTTGGTGGCCGGCTGGTGGCGGGTGGCTGCGTTTTCTTCCTTTGTTTTTTTTTGGAAAGGGGGGTGGGGAAGGGTGGTGGGGATGAGTTTCTTTCCTTTTGTTTGTTGTTGTTTTTGGGAAGGGGGGGGGTTGTTTTGTTGGGAAGGGAGGGGGGTGAGGTGGGAAAGCGGGATGGTGGGGACACTTCGAGATTTGTTTGCAGACTTAACCCCTCAAAAGTCCATACACCTAAACGCAAAGGTTGCAACATAGACATACCCCCTCACCCAAAAACAAATCATGAATACCCGCCCTCCCCTTCCCCCCCCCCCCCACCCAAAAAAACAACTCATCCCCACCCTTTTCCCCTTTTTGGCACCCTTTTGGGGGTTGGTTCAAAGGGGAGTCAGCTTTGACTGACATACCTTTGCATGCCTACCTCAATGCCCGGGCGCCTTAGACCCCTCCCCCCTTGGCGCGCACGCCGCACGCAGTTCCCGCCGGCGACTGACTGGTTGATGTACGGGGGAGGGCACTTTTCGAGGGAAACACCCCCTATTCATCAGTTTGGGATCGACCTTATATGAAGTATATATGGCTATTTTAGACTTTGACCCACGGTGAAAGCCGCACACTTCTCACACAGCCACGGGTAGAAGATTGGAGTTGGTTCCTTTCGTCTCCCTGGAGTTTTGTGCCCTGTGACCAGAATCGTATGGTTTTCAAAGATCATGAGTGCTGGATGTCCTTTTGTTTTTTCTGAACCATCCGCTTTGCGATCCAAACATGGAACACAGATTTGGGTTCAAAGCCACCAGGTTAGCTGCAATCCAAACACGTGGCGACCTCACAAGTGGTGGAGATGAATCCGCAGCGAGTTCTGATGTCCGCCAATGGGGTGCCCTACTGTGAATGGACGAAATCCTGCACCACCTGAGAGACCATGGAATGATTCGATGCCCCTGCAAGTACCAACAAACGTTCACACCCATGATACCGCATAGCGGAGCCATATGGGTGTGTCTATGGGGCGTCAAGCCCCACCTACGGGGGATACCCATGTGGCCCATGACTTCTAGTAGGGAACCACCAACCAGGACATGAATCCCCACCGAATTCTGATCTCCACCATTTCGGGTCCCTTATCTAGGTCCCCCAGTAGTGCCCTTTTACCAACTTGTTTTGCGGAGGGTTCTCCTACTAAAATAGACTACAGAAAAAAAAACCAGGGTACCACCTGATTCTAACCTCTCTACTGGAGGACCTAGTTATGAAAAAAGTCATAGCCATGTCAAGAAAACAGCAACTTTCAGATTCTGATCTCCACCATTTCGGGTCCCTTGTGAAAACAAATCACATGGGATTGGGTGAAAATTAAACCACAAGGGGACCGCAGCTGTTTGTCCATGTTCCCATTTACCAGGGTTCCATGTCCACCTATTTTTGACAGCCACAGCCATATGAAGAACCACAATTTTCTAAGAAAAAGGGGGGGTGGGTGGAAAGGAAAGCCCCTCCAAAAGTGATGACTGATGACTCTACTAGTAAAATGGGGTTGATTCACATCCCCCCCCACTTTTGAAATCTGCATTTTCATTTACTCTAAAAAAGTATAAATTCTATCTGCTCGCCCGTTAGTATCGCCATGTCAAAGAAAAGCACTGGGGTTGATTAACATCGCCATGTCAAGAAAAGCAGACAACTTGTTCAGCGAAGGTGAAGAAGCTGGCGGCGCGGCGCCTGGCGGAGGCCCCAAAGAAGGCCGCCGAGGAGCTTTCCAGCGAGTGAGTTTCGAGCGAGCGAGCGAGCCAATGGTCGGATCGATGGAGGGGATGGGTGAGAAAAATCCAGGGATTCCACCTATGGTCCTGGTGATTGGGACTCCCAACCCAACCAGAAATCGCTGCGGAGATCCGCCTTCTGAATTCTTGAAGCATGGTTCTGGGTCGACTCGGTCGACCATTTTAGTACCGGGTTTTGGTTATGACTCACCTGAGCAAGTTCGATGATTCTTGGAGAGGGGCCTTGAAGAAATGCCACTTCCCCTTTTGCACAAAACCAAGTCGAGATTGCCTTGCAGCCAGTCCGCCATGCACCGCTTTCTTGCCGTTCTTTCAACACAAATTCGGTTGGTGCACGACTTTCTTTTGAGAAACCCTTAAGAAAACACACACCCACACTCACCCAGGATTCTTTTCAGGCATTTTTACTCATTCTCTAGTTGGTTGGTTTCTTCCCATTCCTTCCTGCGGGTTCTTTCGGGATACCTTCCGGGAGCAGATTCAATGGCCCGCATGGCCCGCATGACCGCACGGGCCTCAGGAGCAGCTGAACGTGGTGGTGACGCGCCTGGATGAGCTGACGAAAACCCTGTCTGAGAGCAAGCCCCTTTGAAGCAAGAGGATGCGCATGCCTGCATACACGTGTATATATATATATATAATACATATATATATATGCGTGTATATACATGTGTGTGTGTGTGTGTGGTTGTGTGAGTGTATTCCACCGCCAGGAGTGTTGACAATGGCGCAAATACTACGGCCTTGGCGCCTGGAAGTTGTGAAACATGGTGAAACATGGAAACTCGGGGAATTCATGTCCAGCAAGCGCTTGTGATTGGTGGTTCCGACTCTTAAACAAATCATGGGCCATGTAGAGTTGAGTGATAAAAAGGGCGAACTCAGTTCCATCCCATTTTGCCCATCCCACTCCCCACCAAAAGGTAAGTTATGGATATCAACGGGTGCTCAAGGAGTCTCCCTTTTGGGCGTGGCATGTGTTTCTCGTTCCGTTTCGGGAGCGGTTTCCTTGAATCGAAGGCTTTCCTGCGACATATTTCGTGGCCCAGGAAAGCCATGAACGAGCAGAAGCAGGCTGTGTTGCACTCCCTTGGCTTGGCAAAGGTTTTGCGCCGGCTGGCTGGGGTCATTACTTTGATTGTTTCTAGACAGGGTTGTGGGATCACTCGGGGTTTATCCAAGCACTTCTGTGATACAACAAAATCCCCTCTTTATATGGCTGGTTAGTCTTCGGTAGGCCCTTTTGGTTGTATCACAGAAGTGGTCATTTCACACAGCCCTGTTTCTAGAGGTGGTCAGAAAATGGGATCGGTTGTTTCCCTTTAACCCATCACTTAGGGGGTGACTTTGATCATGGTAAAATAAAGTGAGGCCAGGCTGTCCAGGCAGGTCGGAGGCGGATGCTACTCATGATACGGCAGATGCTTGCGTTATCCTGTTTGATCTTGCTCTTGTGACCAGGATTTGGTGAAGAAGGAGGTTGAAGGAAAGGTCATCGAGGCCAGTTCGGGCTGCCTGCGTTCCTTCTGGACCCGCAGCACTTGAGTGCAAGTCAAGTGTCGGTCGCGTGTAGCAGGCGTCCCCATGGAAACACGGCCTCCATGGCTTCCAGTCATGCGGTTTGATGGTCGACTTGATAAATCGATACGCTTCTTCGAAGAGCCAATGGGGCCTTGCGAAGCCTTCGCCCTGCCACCGAACATGGACGTTGACACAACCCCCTTTTGAAAAGGAAAGCTTTCGTCCCAAAAAGTATGCACCAAGCCATGTTTGTTGGTGAAGCCAGCGTGGTGTTCCTTGGATTTTGGTGGTTGTTTGGTTGGTTTGGTGGTCTGGTGGGTGTGTGGGATACAACCAGAATCTTCTCGGTGTTTAATGTGACACACTTGGTCACTTGGTGAGTCAATTGGGGATCAGCTGCTTCTAGAGTCAGAGGCCATGTAGTTCTACGACCAAACCCATGGAACCCATTGAACCCTCGGGCCCGGTGTAATTGGGTTGGGGGGAGTGGGGATAGTGGAGACCAGGGTTCTATCACTTGGCCACAGGGAATAAAACCCAGGAGTTCTCTTGGAGGACATGACTCATTTGGGTGTGGCTCAAAATTCAAGAGCTAGGATTCCGCATTCCCTAGATTCAGCAAGATCCAACTGGCTTCCTTTTTTCGGGAACCCCCAAAACCGGTTCAGCAAGATCCAACTGGTGGTTCGGCGATCCCCAAAACGGTTCGGTTCAGCAACCCTACATCCCCTACTTCTCGCAGCAAGTACAGTGAGCCAGCAAGTAAAGATCCAAGTGGTGGTTCCCCCCGTAGAAACCAATCTCTTCTGATTTCCATTCCCCCAAGACCGGGTGGAATCTTTCTGGTTTTTTTCAGGAAGTCCCCTACCGGCTTATTCCCACTTCCAATTCTTTTCCGGAAGCCGAAGCCAAAACCGGTTCATTCCCTTCCCTACTTCCCCCGTAAGACCATCCCTTCTGGTTTCCTTTTTTTCGGTGGAATCCCCAGGCGGAGAAGAAGGTGCAGCTGGCGGAGGAGGCCACCGCGGAGCTGGCGAAGCTCATCCAGCCCCGAGCTCGCCCGCGCTGATGGGGAGGGCTTCGAGGGGGGGGGTTTGGGCGAGTGCCATGCAGCCGTTGGCTTTTGATGACAGGTGTTTTCTGGGGTTTGAGTCCTTTTCCATTCTAATAAAACCCTTTTGTTCTTTTCAAAAAAGCGGATCCGTTTTTTCCGGGTTTGTGGAGGTGTTTTAGAAAGCCCCTAGAAGTATCCTTCCATAGCGATTTGTTTTTTGGGCTAGGCGTTTTGATGGAGAAGGTTTTGGCTATGAGTTTTACGTTTGGGAGCATCTTGAGAAAGGTTGGTGGACAATAGACCCCCATATCATGAGTAACTTACCCACACAGACACCAGGAACCCTGGCAAAGATGTGGTCCCCGGAATTTAAAAAACCAGTACTCAAGCAAGGAGTAGCTCGTTTTCCTCGGGCAACTGGAACTAGAAATCCAGCGCCACATGGCCATGGTTCAAAACCAATGGTACCATTTTGGGATAGGTGCACCACCCACTTTAGTCTATTTTAGTGGGGATTGGGATGTTCACTGGAAATACGGGGTTTTGACCCATGGCCACATGGAGAGGCCCGCTTTGTTGGCGCAAGCGCGAGTGTAAGCACTTCGCATCCGCGTGTGGCGAGCGAATCACGGCGATTTGTGAGGTCCGAAGCCGAGGAGGAGAAGCCGGAAGGCCAGCGTTTTTCTTTTCTTTTTTTTTTCTTTCATAAAACCTATTATTTGTTTGTGAGAAAAAAGTAGTTGATTGCTTTCAAGGGAAGCTGAAAGAACACTGAGGATCATTTCTACACTTGTTGTCTTTTTCTTGTTGGGGGGGGGGGGCAACATGTTGAGACGAATATCAAATATCCACAAGGGATGAACGGGGGAGGGGGCAACACGGACTCCCTTCATTACGGGTTTGACCCCCTACTATTCCCCCAGAGTGTGCCAATCACCTGGGTTCTCATGAATTCGCGAGCTTTCAGGCTTCGAGGCCCCTTGGGATGACAAGAACTAGGCACCCTTGGAATGAACAGCATTCCCTCTTGGTGGACCCGGACCCTGTGACTTGGGCCGTTTTTGCTACGCACCCTTCCTTAAAACAAACCCAATAACATCACCAAATGAAAGCAAACATAGAAACACCCAAATAAAGCTACCCAAGAAGCACACCCTCCAAAAAAGCACCCAATACACGTATCCAAATAACAGCGCCCAATACACACACCCTCTAAAACCACCCAAGTACAACCACACGATTTAAAGATATACAACAAACCACCCAACAGACGTGACACACCCAAATACATCTCCAGTAACAATACCCAATAAGAGCACCCAATAAAAGCACCCAACAAAAACACCCAAATCACACACACAACACCCACGCAAGAAGCACACACACACAAATAAGAGACTCAATAAAAACCGAACAAACACATCCCCCCAATCAAAAACAACAACAACATGCTCCAGCAACAGGAACAAAACACACACACACTCAACACAATCACCCATCGGCAAAGCGAACGTCCGGGCGTCCGATGGCAGCTTGGGCACCAAGCCTCGTCGTTAGGCGCGGCAGAGCTGCCGGCGGACCAGGTAAAGTCCAACTGCGAGAAGGCGAAGTGGGCGGCTGTCAGCCGGGTGCTGCATAGTAAGTGGCCCAGTGCTTCCGGATACCGCCGTAGGTAACCAGGTAGTTTTACCTCCAGGTTTAACATCAATAGTTTCCCCTGGTTACTTACTGCTGGCTGGAAGCACCGGGAAGGAGTTACAATGTTCATAAGGGGACTAAAACCCGGTACCCCACTGATAACCATGGTTATCGCCTACTTGCCAAGTAGCTTGAGCACCCAAGTGCGCAGGGAAACCATCAGGGAACCAGGAGGCCCATAGGGTTGGCGACAAATGTGGTCGACACGAAGAACCAACGCCTCCCTTCTGCCTCCCATGAGGCCTATAGGCTTGGTTACATGTTTGTGAGCAAGGAATTTGGTGCACCCCGAGCATTTCGAGGGTGGAACTCCGATCTCCCTTGCACCTTTTGGCCGGGGAACGGAAACAGGAACCCCACCTTGCCCCAATTGCCAAAGGACTCTATTCTGACCATGCACCACATAAGTTTTGACCATCCCCAAGGGCTGACTGAGTACCTGACAACTTGAGGCAACCGTTTCGGGCGGGTACCATTAGGCTAGGGCTTGATTCCCCATTCTTTTCAACCATCATTCTCAAGAACCAGCTCCTTTCCCTGGGTTTCCTTTCAGGTTCTAGGAAGGATCCCTGGAAATCATGGGAATGGAAAAGGTCTTCCGCGACTCGTGTTCTCGTCACCGGGCGTTGCAACGCCAGGTGGGAAGCGCCCAGCAGGAGGCCCGCACTTCGGTCACCTCCGCGCAGAAGCTGCTGCTGTCCAGGCGGGGGGCGGCGGTCGGTCGTGGGACGGCCATGGGCGCTCGGATGGGTTCGGAATTCCCGACGCCCCAAAACCAGGGCGGCTTCCCCGATGGGTGGATTCTGGCATCGTTTTCGCCCGAAGCTCAAGGACGGGATCCACAAGGCCACGCCTGCGATGGAAAAATCCGCCAGGCAGCGCGATGCCAAGAACGGCAGCGGGCCTCCGAACCTTTTGGAGGCGCGTAGGGGCGGGGTTCAGCTCAGGGGCGCTGGGCGGGGGGGAAGCAGAAGGCAAAAGAAACCTCTATGAAGATGCTCATTCCCCAAAGCAGAGCGCCTTGAGAATGATTTCTGGGTAAAAAAAGTGTCTCTCTCTCTCTCTCTGTTTGTGTACATGTTTGGGTTTCAGGGTAACCAGGACCTTTGCTTGTGGAGTCCCAAAGCAGGGGGTGGTCCAAGGCTTCCTAGGGTTCCCTAAACAAATTCAGGGCTTTCAACAACCCGGCCCCCTGGTACCTACTCCCCCTTAGGGATTCCATTGCTGGGTTTCCCGGTTCCTCTTCGGCGCCTTGGTGCCAGGACATCAACAAGCAGCTGGAGAACCTCACTAAGATGCTGACCTCTCTGGATAAGCAGAAGAGCACCCTGAGAGACCAGGACACAAACACACACAACCCCCCCCCCCCCTTGCGGCTTTGCGGGGAGAGAAAAAGAGACCAACAGGTCATCGCTTCTTCCCTCAAGCGCGGATCTCTTTTGCGGCCAAGCTGCGTTTGGTCGCCCTGATGGCCAAAACCCCGCCCCCCCCCGCAACTGGTTCAGCTGGCAGGAGCACAAGTACGTGGCCCAGAAGCTGCAGAAGGCCTACATTTGATCAACGAGATTTCAACGAGTGGCATTCCTAAGGGGTAGGTACGTTAGGGGTGGGTAGGTAAGAGCCCTAGGATTTTGTAGGGTTCCCCAAATTTCGCTTGGGTTCCTTATGAGGGAACCTTCGGGAACTCCCCCCTTGGACCACCCCCCCTTTGAAACTCCATAAAGTTTGGTTCCGGGCCCAAAAAACAAATTGCAGGGACGGAACAGTTTTTGTCCTGAACCATTTACTAGCCGCTTTGGATTCAAGTCCGGATGTGCGCGGTGTTTCCGCGCGGTTTACTGGATTCCCTTGTTCTGCTTTTCTTTGGAAGCCAAGTTTGAGCGGTACAGGAAAGGGACTTGCCTCACCACTTCACATGAATGTCTTGTTTTGAAGGTATCCCTTCTCTACTGGCTTTGAAGGAAAGCTAAAAGCAACATCACCATTCTTGGGGGTCCCCTCCAAAAAGACCCGCCCACATGGCAGTGTCTGCTTGCGTGTTGGTCTTTGCGGTCGGTCTAAAGGGAAATCCACCGCTTTCTCCCCCTATCTGGAAATGGGCACCCTCCCAAAAAACCAAAGAAAGGCTGGTTTCCTTTGGTGTCTTGGCAAGGAGAGGGCCCCGTCTCCTGGGTTGGCTTGGTACCCCAAGTCGGGGACCAAACAAGGGAAAGGGCAAAGCATGTCTATTTCGGGGGCGGGGTGTCCTGTTGGCTTGCGCTTAAGGCGAAAAGCCTGCTGGGTGGTTCACCAATTGAGGGGTCAAGTCCGCAAGCCAATTTCTGGATCCTTCTTTCCAGAAAAGCAGCCACAAATCCAGGAGAAAACAGCTGGTTGAAAACAAGCAAATTCACCAGGAATCACCCTCTAAGAAAGAAATCACGCCAAAGCGACCTTCCCCTCCACGTCACCCGCATTGCTCGCTCGCCAGGACGTCATGACGTTGGCCGCGGCGGAGGAGGCGAAGCTGGCAAAGCTCTACCCCGTGGCCGAGGAGCTGGTCGCCTCCCTGGGAGGCGCCTGCGACCTGCAGCGAGAGCGGGCAGTGGAGTGGGGACTCAGGGACTCGGGGACGTCGAGCCACCAGCAACGAGAGGCCATCCTTAAGATAAAATAAAACATTATTTAATAATACTATTATTATTTTTGTTTTTCCAGCGGCCGGTTGGCGTTTTCTCCGGTGGCTTTATCTTTATGACACGTGGCCCCGGGGTGTTTATTTAGCTGGGGCCGAGTCCCAAGCGTGGGGTTCCCTTTGTTTTTTTGTTGCTCCGGTTTCTCCGGTTTCAGAAGGAGCCCTGAACTCGGGGAAGGTGGACTTGATTCCAAACGACCAACCAAGGGGCGGGTCCCTATATACACCCTGTTTTTTTGTGTTTTTTCTCGGTCGTTTACGCATCAACCTTTTGGGAAGCACAAGGAAAAAAGGAGTCTCGTTGGGGGGTGATGTGGCTGACCCCATATTCATCAACCCTGATTCCTCCCAGGGGGGTCCCCAAAACGTGGGGCTTGCTCGGACTTGTTACACAGCCTCCTTTTGGTTTCGCTTTGAAGGTTTGAAGGGTTGGAACAAGTTTTGCCAAGCGGGCGACGCTCTCTCTCTCTCTCTCTTGTTTTTTTTTTTCTCTCTCTCTCTCTCTAGTTTCCGTTCACAGCGCCAAAGGCTCACGAATCTTATTAGCACCAGGTGATGTTCTTCGGAAGGGTGGGGTGCCTTCAGAGAGTACCAAGCACGGAACTTTGGAACTATCCGCAAAAGATGCAGGCCTTCAGATTGGGTTCAAACCCAATGTCCAGAATTTTAAGGCCAGCAGGTGGTGTCTCTCTGTGTGGCATCCCACCACAAATTACGGAAATCCGGACTTTTCTCAAACTGGAGCCCCAGCTTTGGTTTCTCTTCTTTTGGCTCCCCTTTCAAACCCACCAAAAAGCAGTTGGGTCTAATGGAAGCCGCGCTGGGGTTGGATGGCTGCGGATCAAAAAACCGGGTAACCCCAAAATGGCACCCTGGCAAATGACCAAAACCTGTGGTCCAATTCCTGGCGGTTTAAGTGTGACCCATCGGATGCTTCCCACTTCGGGACGGCTCGAAGCGAAGCCTCGGTCAGGGGACCAGGCGAACCCCTTGGCGGCCATGGAGTCCTGCCAGAAGGACTTGACCACCGCGCAGGACGCGCAACGGGGCGGGGGGGAGAAAGGGGGGGTGGCATGGTCGGGTGTGTCCTGTTAGGGAAGCCAACCCCGCTTTTTTTTTGGGGGGGAGGGGGGGGATTTGAAGGGCAAACAAAAGGAACACACAGGTTGTTTTTCTTTTGTTGAAAGGGAAAACACCTCTACGTTCCCTTATTGTGAGACAGACCAGGCTGTGCGTGTTTTTTTCTTCTTCTTTTCTTTGGGGGGCAATGCCTCTTTCTGTGATACCGTGCCAAAGAAATGCTGCTTTGACAGTGGCAACCTAGTCATGATTGGGTGTCATCACAGAAAGGGATTTGTCCACCACCCTTATGAATACTGGCCAAAATTGTGTGCCAAGGGGTGCGAAGCGGATGTTGTCCGCAGTACTAAGCCCCACTTCAGGAGGCGATCGGCTTAGTGGTACCCCTGGTTACCTGGGAGACTTGCGGTAATTTGGGCCACCAGGATTAGAGGTAGCGAATGGACCGCCTAGGAAGACCCAAACCGAGTGCGCAGGAGTCTTTGGCCGATACAATGTCCAAGATCAAGGAGAAGATGGAGGGCATCAAGGGCCCGGCACATAATTACCTGGTTTTGCCGCTGGAAACGGTTGGCCGGAGAAAGCAAGAGGAGCCTCGATGCCTTTTTTTGCTTGGAGCTGTGCAACAAAACTGTGGCGGTTTCATTCGAACTCATGGGAAATTCAATAGGCTTCTCCCGACCTTGTTCCTCCAAACCCCCAAAACCCCTAACCCACTTCAGACAACAAAAACAAACAGATCCCCCAAAAACCAGCTAAACCGGAAAGCAAGAAACAGAACACAACATACAAATCCACAACTGGGACAAACGCGAGATTTCATACAACAAAACAGCAACGACTCCACGACTCCGCGGCCTCCAAAACACGTCAATGGCACCCGAGGCCAGACGCTGCCGAAGGGCGGGTACCTGGCGGAGGCGAGGAATGGCCTGGTGAAGCTGAAGGTGAAGGCGGCTGCTTTTTTGTTTTGGAAGTGACGTTTTTTTGTTGGGATTTGGACCAGTTTTTTCAACTTGTTTTCGTTTTCTTTCTTTTCTTTTTTGAAGGGGGGGAGGAAGCGACGTTTTTGTTTTTTCCTCTTTTTTTTGCAGGATTTGGACCAGTTTGTTCAATTCTTTTTGTTGGGAGGGGGGAGGCAGTGACGTTTTGCAGGATTTGGACCAGTTTTGTCAAAGCACTAAGAATCGGGAAGTGAGAACTAGGGCTTCGAGTTTTTCAGGATTTGGACCCCCAAATGGCTTCGGTCTTCCTTTTCGCTTCCACTGTAAAACTACCAAAAAGGCGTACCCTCAAACCAACCGGGGCTTCGATTTTTGGGTCCTAAACAGGGTTGGTTGGTTGGCTGGTTGGCGGGTTGGCTGGTTGGCTGGTTGGTTAACTAGTTGGTTGGTTGGCTGGTTGGTTGGCTGGTTGGCTGGTTGGCTGGCTGTTTGGTTGCTTGCTTGCTTGCTTGCTTGCTTGCTTGCTTGCTTGCTTGCTTGCTTGCTTGCTTGCTTGCTTGCTTGCCTGGTTTGGTTGGTTTGTTGGTTTGTTGGTTTGTTGGTTTGTTGGTTTGTTGGTTGGTTGGTTGGTTGGTTGGTTGGTTGGTTGGTTGGTTGGTTGGTTGCCTGGTTGCTTGGTTGCTTGGTTGCTTGGTTGCTTGGTTGCTTGGTTGCTTGGTTGCTTGGTTGTTTGGTTGCTTGGTTGCTTGGTTGCTTGGTTGCTTGGTTGCTTGGTTGCTTGGTTGCTTGGTTGCTTGGTTGCTTGGTTGCTTGCTTGCTTGCTTGCTTGCTTTTTTGCTTGCTTGGGTGGGTGGGTGGTTTTCCTTTTTTGGTCAGTGAGAACCATCAGCAGCGCCCCCTAAGAAATGGGTGTTTGCTTTTTCTTTTTAGATTCCCTAACCCAAGTTTTGCCCTGGCTTTCCTTCATTTTCCCTTTGCCCCACAAACCATGACCACTTGTTGCAGCGGCCCGGGCGAATCCTGGCGGTAACTTTGATGGCACCCTCGATCTACTGGGATCATTTTTGTCATCACGGTCCCTGTTTTCAGAGTTTCCCGTAACAGTGACAAGGAGTTTAGGCATGGGTTTCCCTTTGACCCCACAAGGAGTAGTTTCCGTGCCATGCGAAGCTGGAGGAGCTTCAAACCACTGTACCCCGACAGGTCGAACAAGAAGCATATTTTAATGTTTTCTTTGACCAGACGCAGGTCCATTGGGCAGGTAGCATGTATATATATATATATATACATATGTAAATATCAAACCAGGCAATCAATTTCAATTCTGGCAATTTCCCCCCCCCCCCCCCCCCCCCCACGCGCGTTGTGCTTAGCCGTTATCTCTAAATGTCTGCGCGGCTGTTTGGTTTCCTTTTCAGAGACCCAAAGGGGTCGCAGGTTTTCTTTGCAAACCGGGTGCTAAATAGCCCTCAATCTTTGATTTTCCCAACAAGCCACCACTTTTCACGGTTTCCTTTTGGGACAGTTTACACACGATATGCGTAGAACTACCCCATTCCCTATGTGTCCCCAAAAAATACGGTTTGCCTTTCGTGCTCGGATTCTTGGCATTTTTGCCAGGCCAATCTCTGAGATTTCTTCACCCCGGCCGTCCTTTCCTTCCATTGGCTTGAGAATATGTGTCATTTTCCCCGGTTGGTTGTAAAGGGAATCTATCACTACTGGAATTCTGTTTGTCCCTCTGACTTAAACAAATGGAGGGATTCAGGGAACCCATCACTACTGGAATGCTTGAGCAAATGGAGTTTTCGCGTCAAGCCCGTCGGAACGCGTCCTTTAGGTGGGCGCCATGGAGAACAAGTGCAAGAAGCTGGTCTTGAGCCTCAAGAGCGCCCGAGAGGGCATGACCGCGCAAGCCGCGCCTTGGTTTAATTACAAACGTCGAAACGAACATGTGGGTGAAGGCCCTTTCCCAGAAAGCAACCCAGGTTTCCCTGCTTAAGGGTTCCCTTCACACAACTATGGCACTATGGCGCTTTTCGTTTCTTGAAGTTGGGTATACTTGGAACTGGGCAGCCAAGCTTGTTTTCCCTCATGCCAACATATTTTTTTGTCCATCATTCTGTTTGAAGCTGTTTCCCCTGGTTTGGTGGGTTTTCTTCTGGTAGGCATCCTAAGGACGGGGGTTGGTTACCCCAACTCTCTTCGGGTCAGATCTGAGGAAGAAGCGCTGCTGACCGCAGTGCAGGTCTATGCTCGACAGCAGGCCGGCCTGTTGGAGTCGTTTCCCTTTTCTTTGCGATGTTCAACCTGGGGAGCTCTCAATTTTCCCAAGACTTGGTGGTGGTTGGGTTTACATTTAAGCCACTAAAAGTTAGTCACTTTGAGCAGGGGATGTGAGGACAGCCCAGAAGGATGGTGCCAAAGCAATTGTATTTAAAGGAGAATTTCCGGAGTGTTTAAGTGGGTAACATCACAGGCAAGCAAAACTGCAATCTTGCCAACCAACCAAAGTTCCAACAAAGCAAGGCCTTCCAACTTGCTGGCCAACTGCCAAACAGCAGGCCTGGCAAGGTTGCAGCACTCTGCCAACCTGCCAAAGTTCCTACATTGCAAGTCTTTTAAAACCTCATTGCCCAAGCATGTCTGCCAAACTGCAAAGCTGCCAAACTGCAGCTCTGCCAAGGTTCATAATACTGTAAGGCCTTCCAACTCACTGCCCAAGCAAGTCTGCCAAGCGGCAGACCTTTCAAAGTTCCAACACTGCAAGGCCTTCCAACTAATTGGCCAACTGGCAAACAGCAGGCCTGGCAAGGTTGCAAACTGCAGCTTTTGCCAACCTGCCCAAGTTCCAACTGCAAGGCTCTTTCACTCATTGTTCAAGCAAGTCTGCCAAACTGCAAAGCTGCGACCAAACTGCAGCCCTCGCCAACCTGCCAAGATTCCAAGCAACCTGCCAAATTTGAAAGACTCACAAACAGCAAGCCAGTCTGCCAAACAGCAGGCCTGGCAATTTGCAAAACTGCAGCCCTTGCCAATGCCAAAGTTCCATCTACCAAAGTTCTAGCACTGCAAGGCCTTCCAATTCGCAGCCCAAGCAAGTCTGCCAAACTGCAGACCTACCAAGCAAACACTTGCCAACCTACCAAAGTTCCAACACAAGGCCTTCTAACCCACTGGCCAACGTTGCCCAGCAAGACTGCAGCCCTCCACATTCAGCTGCCAGCAATCCAACTCACCGCACAAGCAAGTCTGGCAAACAGGCCTGCAACACTGCAGCCAACTTGCCAACCTGCCAACCTGACAAGATTTGGTTGCAAAGCAGACAGCAAATTTGAATTTGGTTGGCTGATGGCGGGTTGTTGGTTGTTGTTTCTTGTTGGTCCTTGGTTGTTTGTTGTTCGTTGGTCCTTGATTGTTTGTTGGTTGTCTTGATTCTTTGTTGGTGGGTTCCTTGGTTCTGTTGGTTTGTTGCTGGTTTGTTTTGGTGGTGCGTGGTTGTGTGGTTGTTGGTTGCTGGTTGTTGGTTGTTGGCTGTTATTGGTTGCCCCCCCCCAGTGCAAGCACTTTGTTTGGATCTTCCCAAAAAAGGCACGGGAGTTCAAACCCAGGGTCTTGTTGTTTTGTTTGCATGTTGTTTTTGTTTTTGTGTTTGTGTATTTGTTTCTATTTATATTTATATTTGTTGGTTTGTTTGGTTTTACACTATTTGCTTTGTTCTTGTCTTATTGACTGCCGCGAATCCATCTTGAAAAGACACATCCACCCGCAGTCATGAAAAGAGGATTCGTCCTGATATGTAAACATGGGGCACCGAGCACATGTGAACTCCCAGCGATGAACCAATTCCCGCAGCTGCGCATACGTAGAATGATCCGACAAAGCAAACTCACGTACGAACAAAGTTGGCCAGTCAAGCACTGCATGAGCACCGACAGGTTTTCCTCTTGTTTTTCTGCAACAACCGAAGCCAGAAGGGGTGGGCCCCGCTGTCAGAAAGCGCACATTCCGGCTTTGTCTCTCCCCCTGTTTCGTGGTTCGCTTGGGAAACCCAAATCGGACCCCACTTCTGTACCGCGGAAAGTGCTATTTCCTTACCATGGCATGCAATGGGCACCTGAGCCATGCCTCAGCGTTAGGCTTGTTGGTTATAACGAGCAAGCAACTACCGAACGCAATATAGCAAGACTACGGGACGGGGAGACTGAGGCAAGACGAAAGGAAGAAGACCGCAAGACTACAGGAAGACTGGGTGCCTGTGTCTGCCGTAGTTTTTCTTGTACAGCTTCCATTCTGCGGGGTTCAAACGCTACTTCGTGGTTAAGACCCCCTCCCCTCCCCTCCCCTCCCCCTCCCCTCCCCTCCCCTCCCCTCCCCTCCCCTCCCCTCCCCTCCCCTCCCCTCCCCTCCCCTCCCCCTCCCCTCCCTCCCCTCCTCCCCCTCCCCTCCCCTCCCTCCCCTCCCTCCCCTCCCCTCCCCCCTCCCCTCCCCTCCCCCTCCCCTCCCCCTCTCCCTCCCCTCCCTCCCCTCCCCCCCTCCCCTCCCTCCCCTCCCCTCCCTCCCCTCCCCTCCCCTCCCTCCCTCCGCCTGGGCGTTTCGTGGCAACCACCACATACCGCGCCGTACGTGGTTTCAGGGCCTCACCGCAGATGCGCTCTTCAAGCAGCTGAGCAACGGGGAGCCGGAGGTGAAGCAGGCGAACCTGCGCCTCGGTTTCTCAGATGGCCATGGGTCAAAACCCAAATCGTACCCCCAGTGAACATCCCAATCCAACCACTAAAATAGGTTCTAAAATGGGTGGTGCACCTACCCCAAAATGGGATCCCATTGGTTTTGACCCGCAGCCAAATGGCAAACCGTGGGCAGTTGAGTGCCAGGGGGGGGCGCTTGGCGAGCCTGCGTTGAATTCTGTCACAATCAAGGCAACTCAACTCGTAAAAGGCCCCTTTAATGGGAAACCACAAGGTTGTTTCGAAACTTTTTTTTTTCACACGTAGCAAGGTGAGCCGCTCAACCCTGGCTGACCTGGGAAAGCAAACCGACGTTTTGGACCAGCATTTTGAGGCAACACGGTGGTGTCAAAGGGACGCCAAAAGGAAGAAATCGTTGGTGGACGGTCCTTCGCAAAACGGCGGGTGGGGCAGTGAAGAGATCCACGTGGCCATGGCCTTGCGGACACAACTCTAGATGAGCGGTCTATGGAGCGTGTGTCCTTTTTTTCTCCCAGTTTTTGGCATGAGTCAACATGCAACCACCAGGAATTGGACTGCAGGTTTTAGTTCAGGTTTCCATTTACCAGGGTTCCATTTTGGGGTTGCCCTGTTTTTGACCCACACCTTGTGCTTCTTCCTTGGGGAGGTGATTTTAACGTGAACCCAAAGGACCCAAACGGAAGCCCGTGTTGGGGTCTTCCGAACTTCCAATTTAGCTGAGCGATTCACTGAAGAACCCCTAGGGTTGTGGAGGTACTTGAAAAGCAGCACTATGACAATTGCCAGAATTGACGTTTCAGATTTTCCTGCTGGCTTTGACATTTCGGATGCTTGAACTTTGATCACTTCAATATTTTTTGAAAAAGACGGCCACAGGGGAGAGTTTTTCTTTCCTCTCACCCCGTGCGTTTAGACCAAGAGCGCCATTCGGCCGCCAACTAATTTCTGTTCATGGACGTGACCAGGGCGGGACCGTCTCTTGGAGGGAGCAGATTTCACCAGAGTCATAATCAAAACCCGGTATTAAAATGGTCGACCCGGAACCATGTGAAGAATCAAGAAGGCGGCCGCACCTATTTTGGTTGGGATTGTCCCTTGCTAACCTTCATCTACCCGGGTTTTGATTGTGGCTCACCTGTCAAACAGGAGCAGGGAGCAATTTGTTCCGACTATATACTTGCCCGTGCATATGTGATTGGCTTTGCCAATTGCACGAACCGAGGAGAGCATTTGTGGAGAAGATCCCGGGATCACCCGTCAAGGCCGGTGTGACACCGGGCCCGGCCGTGCGTCAAGCTGCCTCGCGAAGGGCAAGTGACCGCCGAAGCAAGTGGGACCAGAGTTGAGGGGCCCAGCTGTGACGGACGCCGGCCCCTTCGAAGTGATCCAGGGGGACTCCCAACCCCCAAACCCCCCACCTCCTCCCCCCCCACTCCTCCGCCCCCACTCCTCCCTCCACCTGCCCTCCCCCTCTTCTTTGGCCGAATGATTTCGGGCGATTTCTCCCGTCAGATTCGAGTGGAATCCGGTCAGGCGAGCCAGCTGGACTTGGCCTTGGACAAGTTTGCCTCGGGCATGTCCAAGCTGAACGTCCTGGAGATGGTGCAGGACACGCGCGGCACGTGGCACATGGCCATGGGTTGCCTAACCTATGGCGAGCCATTTGGAGGTGGATGAACATCCACTTGCCACCTATTTTGATGTTCACCAGGGGTACAGGGTTTTGACCCACAGCCACGCGGTAGCTGACGCCTTCTCGATGTGCGGCACCGGCACCCGAGACATTTGCTGAAAGACTCTCTTGTCATACTCTGGAGGGTTGAAATCGAAATCCATCAAACGCACCACCGTTTAGAAGCCCTGGAATGATTTGATTCCCCTGTACATACCAACAAACGTTACGGTTTCAACCATGGTTTTAAAGTGGTGCAGGAATTTGTCCATCCACAGTAGGTGTCGTTTTTAGGCTAGTTTGGTTAGAAATAGATGGGTTCCACTATTCTAGCAGAAGGACACCTATGCTGCCGGTTGTTTTGTTGTTTGTTGTTTGTTGTCTAGTTTTGGCTTGACTGGAATCTACCGCAAGCCAAATTACCATGAGAAACTGGGGGCTGCCCGTTAAGTCTTCTGTCACTGGGCCCGCTCGATTGTGTCTCGTGAGCTCTGAATTTCATGCTTGGCAGGAGTTTAAGAGGTGCGTGAAAGAGCAGCTTGGCTTTATGGTTTGGAGCGCACTTGATGTTGCCGCTCAAAAGATGCATGGTTGTGGCAAATTGGGCTTCAGTTTCAGTGATGTGCAGGAAATCCCCCTTTAAAGTGATAAAGTCATAGGGGGCTGCCAGGAGAATCCCCTTTAAAGTGACACTTTGTCCTCGCAAGTTGCTGCACTTCGCGACAATTCCGAGGGTCGCCCTGACGAACACGCTGGAAGTCAAGGACGGCAAGACAGTCCGAAAGCTTGGCCTGGGCGAGGCCGGGTGAGCAATCTCTGACAGCAACCAAAGCGAGCTGCAACAAGGGAAACCGTCCATCGGCTTCCCTCTAAATGGGTGTGTCGTTTTTAGTCGACCCTCCTACCCATTCTTTTGAAAGCCACCAAACATGTGGTGTCCTCAAAACAGCACCCAAATGAGTCTCACGCGCTGCTTCCCTCCAAGTGGTTTGTCAAAATTAAGGAGCCCTTCAGCTTGATCTCCTTTTGGTTCTCCCGTTTGAAAAAAAAGCACCAGTTTTGAGAAACACCCACATGAGTCTCCCGTTCGATTCAGGTGCTGGAGGTCTTGGAAACCGGGCGCAAGGATGAAGTCACCGGCCTCTCGCGGCTGCGATGCCGTGCTTTGGTGGATCTCAAGGAGGGGTCCACGGAGCAACTTTTCCGTCCACGGACCATCCTCACTTCCTGAGTTCATGAACTTTAAACTTTTTGGGAAGACCATTTTAGTGGTAAATATAAAGTTAGAACTTTTTTTGGGCCATCCACTCAGCAAGGGACCAGCTCGCTTGCAATACAAACACCGAACTCGGAGACTTGCGGTGGATTTATTCATTGTGCAAGTGTTCCAGTTATGAACTGGTCATCACAAGCAGGTGTCATGAGAAATTCCACATAGGGGTCAAAAGCGTTGATGACCATATCCAGTAGCCTTACACCGCGTAGCATAGGCTTGCATAGGCACCCTTCCATGGTTTGACACACCGGCGGAGGCCCCGGGAGGCATGGCTGCCAGTGCATAGGGCCGATACACCCAACAAATGCTCTACTCAATTCGCCTCAAACACGTGATTCGTTTTGGTGCTTGTTTGTTTCGTTTTGTTTTGTGTTGTTTTGTGCTGGGTTGTGTTGTGTTGTTTGCTTGTTTAGTTGTTAAGTTGGTTGGTTCTGTTTAGTGTGCCCGCTTGTCTGTCTGTCTATCTATCTGCTTGGCTGGAGAGCGGGGCCAATCGGCTAGTTTCCAGATCCAGCCGGTGTCCGTGTCAAGTCACTGAAAGCCTATTTGCTTAAAGTGGCAGGGCACTTAAGTGGGTACTCAAACCATGGTTCTTGTCAGTCTCCCAGCTTTTCCCACGGTGGGTTTTCACCGGGCCCCTGCCCACACCTTCTCGCGCTTCCGCCTTCTCGCCTCGCCTTTTTTTTCAGGAGGGCTGGGTCACCGTGGAGGGCAACGCGGGCAGCAGCTTCCTGGAGCCCTGCCGGAAGCCCTACTTCTGCTGCGAACACGAGCCGCGGCCTCAGTCCGATAAGAACGCCTCCGATCAGAACGATCCGAGCGAGCCTCCGATGCGAGCCCCCGGCTGGGCCGGGGAACCCCATTGGCCGGCTGGAGATGGGCCGGCCGGACATGTTCGGGTTAGGAGAAATGGAAGGAGCCCCTATTCAAAAGCCACGCCCTAGGTGGTAAAAACCGGGACTGAAGGGGCCTGAGGGCTGAAGGGGCCATTTTCTGTAAACCATCCATCCGAGATGTGGTTTTCCTTTAGTCGGGAATCCCCAAAACCGGTTCGTTCCCTCATTCGGTCTGAGCACCAGCAAGTTTTGGATTGGTTGCTACCTGGTGTACTTGGGGGTATAGTAGTCCCGATAAGACTTAAAGGAGTCCCTAAAGGGCAAGTTTAGAGTCGGTTGCTACGTGTTTACTTGGGGTTCTGTTGTATCCCCAGCCTCAACCATGTAAGAACCAAAAGTCAATGGGTTTTGGGCACTGATTTGCGGGCAGCCAGGGCTCAAAACAGCGCCATATGCTTGATGTTCCCCATGTTTATCTACAGATCACCCGTACAAGGGAGGCACCATTTCGTACGGCAACCGAAAGGTGATATTTTGTGGTGGCGTGGATTTGTCAGTCAATGTACAGCCTTACCGTCCCCACGCCCATTGGGCCTGATTTGTCTGTAAAGCCATCCTTTGGCCAAAACGCTTCACTCTCTCTGCTTTTATTCGCCCAAGTCTTTTAGACGGGGGTTTGAAGGGAAAGCCTTTGAGGAAGCCAATGATTCTGGGGAGTCGAACACCTCCGAGACATCCCCCCAAAAGACCAAAACACCTCATGACTCCATAGTTTTTTAGTTTTTTTGGTGGGTTTGCTTGCAACATCGAGGGCGATTCATGGTGGCCCTGGCGGCGACAAATCATCGATTTTCCGAAAAGGACACCTCTGCTCGCGACCCGCACTGACGGATCCAGCGAAGGAGTGTGCTGCAGCAAACCTTCGAGTCCAACAGTGCCACGCTAAAGACGCTGCAGGTGGGCGATTTTCGAGGACCACCACCAAAAAGGGGGGGCCAGCCAGCTCGATTTTCTTTCTTTCTTTCTTTCTTTCTTTCTTTCTTTCTTTCTTTCTTGTTTTTAAACAACACGCTTAGGATGAGTGTCTTGACTTAAACATCAGGTTTTGGTTGCACATGTACCGTGAGTTCCTTTTTGGGAGAGGCTTGACGGGGAAATCAGACTGCTTTTTGTTGAGGGGAAGCCGGGAGACCCATTCAAACTGATTGAGAAACTAAGCGTTCAGGTACGCCGGGCAGCCTTTCGTTTGGGACGCCCTAGAGAAAACCTGATGCAGGTACATACTTCTTTTGTGTTTTGTTCCTTCTTTTTGGGGCCGTAAAATAGGCGACCCCCAACACAATTGCAATTTTCCATTTGGCTTTCCTTTAAACACCCACCCCCAAAACAGGTCACCTCAAAAAAGTGCAGACACTCCGAAAAAGAGAAGAGGGCTGGTCTCCACCCAAAACCCCAGGGGGGGGGAGAGAAGGCTCCTCGAGCTTCCGTCTGCAGGTGGGGGAGGTGCTGGAGTTGGCCGAAGGCCCTCGCAAGGAGGGAGTCAAAGGGAGAGGTCTCTGCCGTTTTTTGCTTTTTTTAAAGGGAGCTCACCTGGGGATAGAACGAGCACGCCATGGAGAAGGTCCTTTTCTTGAGGATCCCTGAAAATGCAGCTGTTAGAGTAGATGTTTTTGTTTTCCATTATTTAACAATGGAATCCATCTATTTCACCAAAAGTGATCCGTATGGATCAAGGGGGCTAGTTCTGGCCGATACGACTCGCAAGTTGCTGATTGATTTCCTAGAACCAGTACCCAGTTGCCCGGTGGTGCCTGTTTTTTTGTTTTTGCAAGGTTCCCTTTTAACGCCGCACACAGCCCAGCAAAGCTGTAGCTCTGCCTTTGGCCATGCTGGAATTCATGTTGGGTCGAGGACCACGTTGGGCTCCGGAAGAGGTGCCAGAGCCTCTTTCCAGATTCCAAGAAGGCCATTGCTGGAAGGGGAAGTGAGTCATGTGGAGCTGGGTAAGATTTCAAAGTCATTTTTTGAAGGTTTTGGAAGCCGCGCTGTTGGTCGCGAAAAAGTTTTTGTCGCTAGACTCGAGCGCATGTCAGGAGAACCCGCCGGGAGTCATGCGAGTGAAAGCCAAGACGCTCAAGGCGGGAGGGTATGTCAAGGAACTTGATGTGAACAAACTCTTTTCGCGCCTTGTAAGGAGCTATCCATGTCTTCTTTGGTCTCCTTTTGAAGCCCCCTTTTGAAAAATTCGATCAGAGTAGACTTGTTGCTTTTTCTTTTGGAGATGTTTATGTCACCCGTGTGGCAAAGGCATGTTTATGTTTGGATCGCACATGTGCTCGATTTCAGGCTCAAAGTGCATTTCCAGTTGCAATTGAGCAAGGCTTCCTATTTTTCTGTTTTGGTGGTTTCAATATCACCTTTTGCTTGACCATTCCAAATTAAATTCCTTTTGGTTGGTTGGCCGGTGTCAGGTTGCACATCTAAGGACCATTGAAGGGTCCTGGTCTAACGAAAGAGGGCGCAACCGCTCAAACGCTCAAACTTTCATCCTTTGAAAGGCCGACTTTGGTGTGACTTACCATAGGGGACCCCAACAAATAGCGAGTTTCCTTCTGGTTTTCCCACTAAAACCGCTTGAAACACATTTACACGGCCATGAGTCCATGAGTAACTCACGAGCCAGGATGGCAAAGTCGGACCTTGCCTCAGATTTTTCCCTCGCCGAGGGCACGCGGTCTGAGTGAATCGGTTGGGATCCATCGGTCCTTTTTGGTAGGGAAAGCCTTTGAAGCCAATGATTTTGGTTGGAGTCCAACACCTTTCAGACATCCCCCAAAAGAACAAAAGAACACCTCGTGACTCCATAGGTTTTGTTTTTTTGGTTTTTTGGTGGGTTTGCTTGCAACATCGAGGGCGATTTTCCCGGCTTCCCTGGCGGCGACAAAAATCCTCCAGTGGCCATCTACGTTCGGATCTCATGTCTCCGAGCTTTCATGTATGGATTTTCAAAGGAGCCAGGGGAGCCAGGGGAGCCAGGGGAGCCAGGCGGTGAAAACAAAGGTCGACAAATAGATAGGCCCGTCCTGGGATCCGATTCTCCTCGGCTTCTTTTGGAGCCACCTCTGCACGGGACGCGGCTGCTCATCCAATCCAAAAGCTGGCCTGATCCGATGCCTGTTGACAACTTACTCCGTTTTAGAAAGACTCGGTCAGACACAGTCACATGGGAGCGCGTCTTGTAGGGGACCCCCCCTTACAGGTGGTTTGGCTTGTTTTCCGGCTCCTTTTAAGGGGCGGGGCGTCAAAAGAGACTTTGCAAATGTGGCGGAGAACTCCCTCACGCGCAGAATTTCCGAAGCCTGAGGCTTCCTGACTTGCAAAGATGTTGCCAAGGACCGGCACGGGCGCATGGGTTTGGGCTCCAAACAGATTTCGGGAAGCCAAGAGGAAAGCCACCATTCTGGGTGTCACCCTATTTTGACACACACACACACGCATCTACTGCACAAAGATGGTTTTCTCTCCAGCGACAGCTAGGTCAAAACGCCAATATCCTCAAGTAGCTCTGGGTTTGGATTGGTGGTTTGGATCTGGATTTGACATTTCTGGGGATTGAGATGGAAGCCAGCCCACCAAACCACCGATTCGGCTCCAAACTGCCAAGCAGGAAGCCGAAATCCAGGTTTTGAGGAGGGTCCAGAGCTTGGATAGCGCGGATTTTTGTTTGAGCACATGGACGGTGAAACGACGTTTCGCACGTCAGCCTTCAATTTTAGCAGCACACGGTGGTTTAATTTCCTCTTGAAGGGATCCCCTGTTCAGGAGCCATCTATGTGAAAGAGTGTGTTTTTTTTTAAGCCCGCCTTGCGACGTGTGCTCCTTGCAAGGAGTACTGGCGACCTGCGAAGGTGATGGTGTGCAAGCAAAGCATCGCTCTCACCACCGGCTTTGACATTGCCGCCGGCAAGGCGGGGAGTCCTCAGACAACCGCAACGTGCAGCTCGCCCTTTTTTGCATGTGCGCGTGAGTTGTTCTTTTCGAGCTCACCGGACAGGGGAGTTGTTCGAGCTCACCCACAGATAAATTCAGACACTTGTGCCTTAAGGCCCCAGATGCTTGCGGGAACACCTTCAAAGATGGTCGGTGGACAGAAGTCCAATTCAATCGCAGCCTCGCATGTGCCATTGTCAGCGACCTGAACCCGTTCTTTGCCTTTCAAACCGCCCGAAACACTTTTTTCTTTGGGTCCCCAACTCAACCAAAGACATTTCAAGCTTTTAGTGGCAACCAGAGAGTTCGATTCTTGTTACCCATCCACTCAAAGTCGGCAAAACGGTCTGGTTCCTCATAAAAAGAAACCAAGTGTCCCATTTCGGGCCTCCCATGTCCTTTTCGTGGCTTCTGCCCCTTTTAGGGGGGGACCTGGGATATGGGGACATGGCGGAAGTTCGTCCACTTCTGCCCTTAGCTCCATGTAGCGGTCCGGGACACCAGTCTTCCCCATGTCGTGCCAGGCCGTGAGGAAGCTCGAG